TGTGTGTATTTTATTATATAGAATTTACTATTATTTGACATACATTAAGTGTTATGTATGAAGTATTAAATGTATATAACTTGTTAGAGAGCAAGTTACTTTTTGAATTTCTTTACAATTATTACATTGGCTACATTTCCGTTCGGATCACTCAGATGACCCCCAAAAATTTTGTTATTTTACGCGGCAAATTCAAATTTAAAAAATATACAAATTTTTTATAAATTAAAAATTAACAATAAAAATGACACTGAAGTTAGCAGACGTCTAAAAATTTTTTATTTTTTTTATTAATTAAATTACAACTAAAAAGATATCTCTAAAAAATTGCACTTATAGTTTTTCAAGTTTTTTACATGTGAAAATTTTTTTTTTAATTCAATTGAAATTTTTTCAATAAAAAATTTCTAAAAATTTTGGAATATCAGCTAACAGCTAATCAGGACGTATACGGTTATATTGAAAAATTATACAGCTTATGGGTAAAAAACCACATTAGTTCAAACTTTAAATGTTAATTTTCACAGCTTTAAATGTAATAAATATGTATATTTTATAATGTAATTCATGACACTGAAGTTAGCAGACGTCTAAAAATTTTTGATTTTTTTTTTTTTTAATTAAATTACAACTAAAAAGATATTTATAAGAAATTGCACTTGTAGTTTTTTAAGTTTTTAACATATGATATTTTTTTTTTCAATTGTTTAATTGAAATTTTTCCGATAAAAAATTCATAAAAATTTTGAATTGTCAGCTAACTTCATTTTCATTGTAATTCTTACAAAATGTGTAAAGATTACAATCTGAAATTGCTCTAATAGCTCTTTCGTTTCACTAATCTTTCATCGGTAAGCAAATAATAACATACATTACAAACTTGACGGTCAGATATTTTTATTCGGTGCAACTAACATGTTGATTTATTGAATAGTTGAAAAAATAAATATATTAGGAGAAACTAAATGTCTGAAAATTGATTGACCCTGCAAGCCATCCCTTGAATTTTACGCTATTTACAAAATTAAAACGCTCGAAAAATTTTTTATTACTAAGTTCTGAACGTTTTTTAAACTAAAAAATCTGAAAAGCAGTAGACCTGCAGACCATCCTTACACAGAAAAAAAAATTTATTTGAATCAAGTAAATAATTTTGAAGAACTTTATCTTCTTGATTTGAGTAGAAAAATTTTTAAACTAACAAATTTTTCTTGGTTTAAGTAAATTTTATTTGATTCAAGAATTTTTCGTCTTGATTCAAAACAATTAAACTTTTCAAAATTATTTTCTTGGTTCAAGAATTTTTCACTTGATTCAAGTTAATTTTTTTTTTTTTTGTGTAGAACTTCCTGCTTTTTTTGAGCTTGAAACGCTTAAAAATTTTTCAATCAATTTGGACCGATTCGGAACAGTAGATTTGACGAAATTTCGAAAAAACTGTGAAAAAAAATTTTTTTTAATGTGGTTTTTTTGAAATAACTTTTAAACGGCTTTACCGATCAATTCCAAAAACTAATCAGCTCTTAAGGTTGTACGGACACTAATGAAGATCAGAAGCTAATTTTTTGATATGTTATGAATTGCTATCTCATGCGTCTAAATTAATTTTTTAGAATAGATCTGATGAAGGGTTATTCTTTAATAAATTATTAAAAAATTGAAATTTAACGTATAGCCGAGCGGGTCAAAATTTTTTTCTAAAATGGAAAGACTTGAAGCGAATATTCAAGCTTGAATTGAATAATATACATATATGTAGTGTAATAAAAGAAACATTTAATGTTTTCACTAATTACAATCTAAAAAAAACTACATCGACAATTAAGAGTGTGTGTGACTGATAAAAATTAACTGACTCATTAGAATTTGCGATAAATGAGTCATGCCCACATACTGTTCTTGCCATGCTAATTTATGTTTGCGATTCAATCAAAAGTTTTATACTGTGGTCTAATGAATTAAATGAAAAAAAAAAAATATATATATATATATATATTTAATTATACTTCTATAAATGTTTTTAAAAAAAAATTTTTTTACTTTTATTTAGATGAGAGAAAAATTTTATTTAATAAACGCTAAAATCAATAAGATCAATATTTAAAAAATTTAGATGAAACTTTTTCAATTTCTTTGATCATATATTAGAGGAAATAGAGTAAATAAATAAAATTTGAAGATAATTTTAAATAGTAAAAAAATTCAATAAATATTATGGCAGCTACTGATTTAAAAGAAAACGGTAAAAAGAAAAGTGTCTTTACAAAAAAAAATATTATCATTACTATTTCTCTGGTAGCTATTCTTATATTAGTGATTGTAAGTGTAAGGGTAAGCTTAGGTAATATTGCTGAAGAGTTTGAAGGTGAAAAAATCACGAAAGCTAAAACAGTACTTGGTCAATTATCAGTAATCCCAATACAAAAATCTGATACAGAAAAATTAAAGGGTTATAATGAAGACTTCAATAAAAACACAGATTGGAAAGATAATGAGTTGATTTTAAGTAATTTATGCGACTTTGCGACACTTCTTCTCAAATATTACAACGAAAAACCTGATGATACAGAATCTAAAGAATATCTTAAGTTCGCAAATAACGTAATAAAAAAAATAGACTCGAAAATTTTCAAACCTAAAAATTATTCTATCATCGCTAAGTCCAGAAATTACTCCCTATTCTGTTCTTTAACGAGATTATTGAATACTTTCGAATATTTCGCTGACGATTCGTACCGCGACACTAAGATCATTTGTCATAATCAAATACTACATATGATACCAGACTTCAATAAACTGCACTTGGATGGAGTTACAGATTCTAATATTGGTGGATATTTGAAGGGTTGTGAGAGTATTTATACAATTACAGCGCGATTATTGACAAACGCTATTAGTAATAGAGATTTGTACAATGTGGACGTTAAGAATCGGGGGGTGATCAAAGTACTCAAAGAGCAATTCGCTGTTCTCTCCAATGATGCCGAAAAGAAAAACAATTTCAATTTATATCCATACTATTACAATATGTATGAAATTTTCAGTAGTGGGCAATCCTAAATACAAGATTTGATATAAAAATTGTATTCTTTAAGCTTAAAAAGAAAAGAAAAATAAATAAATGGGAAACAATAAACATTTGGACAAATTTAAATTTGCTTCCGCATCAGTTTACTTGTAGAAAAACATGTAACAATATTAGAAAAATCTATTAAAATACTATTGAAAAAATTTTTTATTTTTACAATTTGATTTGTTTTTTAATTCATCGATCATCTGTAACTTAATTTCCTTACACCATACTTTTTTTCACATGCTTTTATTAGCTTGAAAAGTATTTATAGATATTTCTTATATTGTATTAAATTCATTGGAAATCATTCAAAATTATCTTCTAATTTTTAGTTTGGTGTAATATTAAACCATTTTTTGCACGTCTCATAGTGCGTAAAGTTGTAATTTATACCCGACTCGTCAAGGTTGAGCAATTTTGTAACGTTGTAAAACTATCTTATATTTTCTAAAATCATTTAATGTGGCTATTTAAAAAAAAAAAAAAAAATTTTACGTGAACGTCCTGATGTCACCCCATTTTATTATGTAATCAACGATTACTTCCGAAGAAATTGATAGTCCGAGACCAGGATCTGACCCAAATTTTGACAACTGACAATTATTGTAATTTTTTTAACAAATCAATTTATTCTACAAAAATATTTAAAAAAATTCGCGCACTTTCAGTTTTTTTTAATTCCTACATGGGGAATATATTTATAATAAATTTTTTTATTCTATTTTAATAATTATAAGAAAAAAAATGTCAGTTTAACTATTATATATCAATGTCATTTTATTGAAAAAAAAATTTTTTAATCACTTATATTTAGACGAGAGATTTGGTTAATTTGTCAAGTAAATACAAAAATGGAAGATATTGATAGGAAATTAATTATTGGCTTCGGAGTGATAATTGGTATATTGGTTATCACGGTAGTGATTATTTCTATATATTCAAGGAAGAAAGACAATGTTACGATTAAATTGAAAGATATATTAGGCAAATTATGCGAAGGCCAGTTGAAAATTTCTGACACTGACTTTAAAAGAATCAAGATATTCGAAAGAGACCGTCGAATTTACCTCACCAAATCATCATTAGAGTGGAAAGATAACTCAGGCATATTTAGTGAAGTCTGTAATTTCGCAGTGCGTCTTCTTATATTCTACCATCATAACCCTGCGGTAGGAATTTATATGACTGTCGCAAACGATATAGTTCGCAAAATAAACGACCTTGTTCTTCAGCCGCATAACTACAATATTATAAGAAATTCACAGGGTACTAATTGGATAGTATTCGTTAATTTATTAAGACTGTTGAATACCTTTGAGTATTTAGCTGATGAAGATTTTTTAATCTCTAAAAAAATTTGTCATGAGCAAATACTCGAGCTTGTACCAGGGTGTACGAAACTTTATTTGGAGGAATCGGTACGTGATGAAAAAGCTATTTACTCGACAACGGCAAGGTTGCTCACAAATTTCTTATTTAATAAAGAACTATACAAAGCAGATATTGAGAACAACAAAGCTCTGAAAATTTTGAAAGATAATTTTGATATTCTGGAAAAATCAAAGGACAAAAAATTTGTTTGCTACGATACTTATAAATCTTTGTATAATGTTTTCCGTTCGTTGAATTAATTTGCTGCAACTGAATTTCAAAAATTTCTTAAATCTTGAAAATAATAAATTAATAATAACAATATTGATTTATTAGACTGTAAGATAAAATTTTAATTGTAAATTGATGAGATATTCACTCCGAAAAATAAAAACTACATTTCGCGCTAAAATTTTTTTTAGTTATATATAAGCTTAACAGTTGATTTATAGAAAAATTTTAATAACAATATTTGTGATTAATTCTCTTCAAATCAGGCACAGAAATACCATTTTTAGCGGCTAGCTGTCGCGTTCTTTCCATTACATCTATTGACGGATTTTGTTCTCGAGTGAATATGATCACAAAAAAAAAAAATAAAAAATTATTGAATTTATGCTACTTTCTATATCATCAAGAAAAGTTTTAATTGAAAATCAATTTTTGTCTGTTATTTTAAATAAAGAAATTTTTTTTAGCAAAAAATTTGAAGTTCTAGAAAAAAAATAAAATTATTATTCTCCTAATAATCACTTGGTAGAAAACTAACATCTATTTATTGACGCAGCTTGGTATTAGATTAAGGAGCAGATTGGTGGCTGACTGATTGCAAAAATAACGCAACATTTGCTTGCAACCTGCATGCAAATTGATAGAAACTATCTAATGTCGTGTTTTATGATTGAAAACAAGCAAGTCAAGCCAAGCCAGATCGCCAAACATTGATATAGCTATTTGGATGTAGACTGACAACAGCTTCTGGCTTTTCAACACTGATAAAAAAATTAACTTGACTCAAGAACCAAAATCTTCAAGAGTCAAGAAAAATTTACTTAAATCAAAAATAATTTCTTGACTCAAGAATTTATTCTCTTGCCTCAAGAACATCATTTTCTTGAAAATAGTATTCTTGGTTCAATATTTTGGCTCTTTAGTCAAGTTAATTTTTTTATCAGTGAACTTTTGCAGTCAGATTACCTTAAATCTGTGCCTTACACGCGCAGTTTAACAGCAAGGCGTCAATTTAACAGCAATATTTTAAGTCTGGATTTGTATTTTACTTGATACCAATTATTGGATAGCAACTTTTGCACGGCAGCTTTGATGATTATTAAGGTAATTCTGGACAATTGATAAGGGTTCAAGAATTTTACGTATTGATTAAAGATAATAATGTCTTAAATCAATACAAGTAATAATAGTTACCAACCGAAGGTACAAATCTCTGTAGTCAAGAAGAATAATTCAAGATAAAAAAAAAAATCTTTAAACAAAACAACTGATTGTCTTTAAAGAACTTTTTTTTTTTTATGAAAATAATTTTTTCATGAATAGATCTATTTTTTAGTTATTATTTTTTAACTATTTATTAGAAGACGAACCGGTAAATATTCTTTCTATAAATACAATTAATAATTATAAAACCTTCCTTGAAAGAAAAAAAAACGGCTATAATAAATAATGGCTATAAAAATTGATGAAAAACAAATCGTATTGATTATCCAAATCTGTATATTGCTTGGAGTATCTATAGTGTTGATAATTGTCATTTGTAGACCAGTTTACGTCCCCGAAGTGTCAAAATATGAAAAATTATTAAGGGAACTCGGAAGTACCAGAATTACAGCTCAAGATTTGAAAATAGTTGAGCGGTTTAAGACTGACAGAGAAAATTACTTCGTTACCGAAAAATTAGTGTGGAACAACGACGTAGATAAATTCATATCAGTGTGTGACTTTGCGACGCGCATTCTTAAAGTATACAACAATTATCGCAACGAAGACATCTACTTACTTCTCGTGACTGACATTATTAATAAAATACACCAGCTTGTGTTCAAAGAAAGAAAGAACGAGATTCTAAAAAAAGAAAACGATTACCAGGCAATAGTCTACTTGGCGCGATTGTTCAACACGTTCGAGTATATCGCTGATGATAAGTATAAGACTACTAAATCTATTTGTCACGATCTTATAATCGATTTGCTTCCTGAGTTCAACTACATTAGGATTTTGGGCATTTGGTTCAATACGGAAAATATTATTTATACAATTATACCGAGATTGCTGACGCATTATTTAGAACCAGATAAAAAAAATTTTATTTATGATGTTAAAGAAAACAAGGCTCTGACGATCCTCGAAGAAAAATTTTCTGAGATTCATAGTTTTGCTGATAAGCGTGAAAAGATTTATTTGTATGATTATCATTATGTTATTTATCAAATTTTCAAGGAAAAACAACAAGTTGGATATTTAACAAAATTATTCGGAATATAATTGCAGTTAAAAAGTTGAATTAAAAATAGACAAATTGTAAAATTTAAAATTTATTTTTTACAATTTAATCTTAAATTAAAATGAACAATTTTTTCATTAAACTTTTTGTACCACTCATTTTCTTTCTAGGGAAAGTTCCTAATGATGTATTCTTCATAAAAATTTTAAAACTAAAAACTTGAGTATTTTTTTTATGTTTATTCAATTCATTTCACGGGAATTATTCGTAAAGATAGATCAAGCTAAAATTCAAAAACTCGATAGAAATTTTTTTTGCTCCGTATTTTTGTAAAATATAATATTGGATTTATATAAATAAATAGGTCCCAAAAATCCGATGTTCAAAAAAGTTCTATTTTTCAGTTTGAAAGTAATTATTTTGCCTGAGCTCCCTCTATTCCCATAAAGATTGACAACAAAGTCGATATTATCAGTAGAAAGCTTAAATATGACTCACAGGACAGAATTATTTTAATATCTTCAAAGATTTTTTTACTTCATAAATTCTCAGAGATAAAATTTTTTACTTCCCAAAAAAACTTACCTGAATATTTTCAAGCTTTTAAATTACTCTGGTTGAAAAATTTGAATTAAACTGGTTAAAAAATTAAAAAAAAATTTTTTCAAGAAATATATTTTGGGCCTTAAAAAACTTTAGAACTCTTCACCAACAAAATTAAATTACAATTTAACTAACAATTTTGAGTTTTAAATTCTTTTTCTTATTATTAAGCGACCAGAAATAAGGAATCAATAATTTGATTGTTATTTTAATACAACTGTACAAAAATATATTTGAACTTTATTTTGCGATGTTTTTAATAAGAAAAATAAAGCTTTGCTTATTATTAAAAAAATTTTTCTCTTTCTCCAAAGTGTTTTTGACATACTGTTATATCGAAAATAACTTTTAATGTAATTGCACATTAGGAATTAAATAAAAAAATATTTGCTCAAAATTATGCAATAGTTTTTTTGAGTTCTAGAAAACAAATTATCTGAATAAACAATTAAATTAATAAAAAAAAGTATTTCCTCTATTTACCCCTACTATGCACATTTTGTCAAAATTAAAGAAAATTTTAATTCATGTTTTATTTTAATTTTCAAAGTAACTTTTTAGTTTGAACAAAAATCCAAAAATTATTTTAGAATCATAATTTTTTTTGACATATTTTTTAAATAATAATTTTAATCCGTTATCATTTAACCAACATAAAAATGAATAATTATAACAATAATAATCTCTGTTTATTTTTTCAATTAAACAATAGACAAATAACTATAACAATCTCATGCAAAATGATCTTCATGTGTATAATTTACTTTCACTCAATATAAATTATTACACTTTCATCCTTCCCTTCACCTTTGCTCTATACTTATATTTAACCTCGCGAACGTACTCTCACAATTGTTACAATTTACTCAGATAAATCTATTCGAAAGTACTGAGTGATAATTAAATTCTCATAACATATCAAACTTTTTGCCGGTAACACGCATATGCTATAATACAAATACCAACTATTCTTTATCTCTTTCGATTAAAATTCTGTTATCCAGCTCTTGTATTAAAATAAAAAAAAAAAAATTATCGGAATAAGTACCGCATTTTAAAATTAAATTTTTAAAAGCGCATTAATCCATAATTTTGAACCCGTAACACAAAATCGGTGAGCGTATTATGTAAAGAAAGAAATCTATCGTCTACAGAGTTTACAGAGTGCTGCCATTCAACCTTCAGCGGGAAAAGAAGTATCTCTTCTTTAGAGTAATTTTTATATAGCGTAATAAACAAATTTACATCAATTTCGATAACAATTATCAGCTTCAGCTTAATTAATTAATTACTTGATTGGTTAAACGGAGCGGCTGGTGATTAATGATAAATGATTATTCTTAGAGTTCAGGGCTATGACGTTCGTTATCTAGTGAGAGATTTCGTATACTTTACTTTTACGATGGAGTAAAGAGAGAAAGTACAATGCGCAGTTATGTAATTACCGACAGAGACGCTAAAGACGGAGTTTCGAAGCATCAAAATTATCAATATGGCTGAAGCTATTCAGCTGTATTAATACTCCGAAACAGCAGTATACGCATCGCAGATATTTATTTTACTATTTTTTATAAATAAAAGTAATACTTTTTTTAGTTTTATTGTGAATAAATACACCATTAACGATATTACCGTCCCCGGATTTTTTAAACCAATGGTAAGTGATCTGTTATTTAGATTTTATGTTATTAGTTCATGTTTGTTTTTTTACTAATACCGAGAATTGTTGAACCAATTGGCGGGATTTTTTTTAAATACCGATAATGTATTTTTATTACCGATATTAGGTTTTATACATTTTTTTATAGAACAAAAGTAATTTTTTTTAAGAAAATTAAAGTGTCTAAAACGTTAATTTTATTAATGTTCGGGATTTTTTTGAGAATTTTTGTTTTGAATAAAATAACACGTTATGTTTACATAAATATATGTTCTGTAAATTTTATGAAATAAGTTGAAAAAAAAATATTAGGTAATTATTGTGTTTTTATTGCTGTTTTTTATGAATTTAAATATCGAAATATTTAAACGGCGTCGATATGTCGGGAGATAAAAGATTACGTGTTTATTTTTTTTATTATCTAATCTTAAGAAGTTAAGAGAGTTTCGATAAATGTGACCAGAATTTTCAAAAAAGATGAAATTTTAGGTGTAGAAATATTATCCTTTATGGATTTAGAATTTTTTTTAGTTTAGTAAATTTTTTGGTAAATTAATTAAATTTCGTTGATGAGAAAAATTATTGTGATAAAGAAATTAGGGTTGAAAGCGTGAAATGGACTTTTTAAAAAAAATTCAAGGGAAAAATGACTAATTTTGCTTATCAGTAGTAAAAAAAAAAAAATTGATGCAACGATTGTTTTGAAATCATACCACCTTTATACATATTTCAAATTCTTTCTAATAAAAATCTTCAATATGACAAATATATAATGATTTTTAGCAAGCTAAAATTTTTATTAAATCAAAAAACTGGAAGGACATTAAGTACAGTATAGTAAATTAAGTACTAAAAAAATAATAAAATCAAATCATTCAGATGATTTGTTATCGAGTAAGCAATTTTGAAAAATGTAATTTATAAGAAAAAGCACTTCTTTACAAAGATATATTTTAAAAGTTATTTAAAATGCACACTTAAAATTTACTATCTTATTTTTAGAAGCCCAAACTATAGAAAAATGCAAAAAAATTATGTGTTGAAAATTTCACGAAGAAGTAATTTTTGCGACTCAATTTGCAGAAAAAATATTCTTTTCATAATACAGAAATCGGTGAATTAAAAAAAAAAAATTTTATCCGGTTTAAATATTTTTAAGTTAATGAAAATTAAGTTAGCTGACATCTAAAAATTTTTATAATTTTTTTTTATTGAAAAAATTATTAAAAAAAAAATTTCATTTAGTAAAAAACTTGAAAAACTGTGAGTGTAAATTTTTAGTAAAAAAATTTTTTTGTTCTAATTTGATTATTAAAAAGAAATCAAAAAGTTAAAAACGTCGGCTAGCTTTAGTATTATTTTAAGTTATCAATCCATTAACTCATTATTTAAAAAAATTTTTTTTTACTTTGTTCAGACTATTGGAAAGTGTATTAGTGACGAAGTAAAGAATCGAATTTCGTTTTTAATTTATCTTATTCAGTGCTATGATAAATAATTCATGATCATAAAACATAAGAAAGTTAGTTTCAGGTCTCAGTTTGAAATCTGAAAATTTTTGATGATTCTGAAAAAAGACCGTCATAAAGTTTATTTAATAAATTACATGATTTCTCGTTGGAAAATAAATGTGGCTTACTTTAAGAGTTTATAAATTCCAAATAAGAGATTTTAATTTCACTACAAAAATTTTTAATTACAAAGATTAAATATGTAAAATTTTACACGTGAAAAAAATTAATTTTTTTGTCCCTAACTTTAAAATTTTCTTGAACGTAGTGTTTGAAATCTTCAATTACAATTTTTTAGTATGCAATAAATTTCTTTCCGCAAAATATATGCTTATGCTTATTGAAGCTAGTGTATCATATACATGTTCATATGTACACACATGAAAGAGATTATGTGTACATATTGCTTTAGGATCGTATTTCTATAGTTGCAAAAAAAAAACGTGTATTATGTGGTTTTATCAACAGTATCGACTTGAAATAGTCTTTCTTATAGTTATGGTAGTAACATATATATATATAGAATTTATATTCACCCTTTTTTAATCTCCCTTAAGTGGATTAAATATCTTTTACTATCACGTTACATTTATTTGTTTCAACCATATTTTTTTCAGCACAAACTAAAACTAAATCTCGTCTGTAATACTCACAATTCTATTTGTCTTTCATCACTTCAAATATTAATCCGTAAATAACTTCTTCTCACAAGCTAAATGGAAAACCTTTTCGAGAATATTAATATCAATGGAAAGACCCAGCGCTCATCGTCGGCTTTAAAAAACTTCTTTTTTTATTTAGTCATTCTTTTTTAAATAGTTTTAGTAGAGCTTTAATCCAGATGGTCTCGTATTAAACGTGACGATAAAAATAAGGTGATTAATTTTTCATAATCTCTCTGAATGACGACGTTAAATTTTACTCGTAAGTCAATACTTTTTTAATCTCTATAGTTTTTACTCTTCAAATTTATTTTAATAATCGGAAAAAATAGTTTATTTATTTTTATTAGTTCTTTTTTATTTTGGAAATTCGATTGGTGCTAAAGAAATCAGAAAAGATGATTGATAGAAGGTTAAATAATATTTTATATTACTTCATAAAATTAAATAATAAATCATGATTAATACTTTTATGTTATTGAATTGAATAAAGTAGGATAAGTTATTTTCTGGGTACAGAGATTGAAAGAACTTGCGCAAGTTGTATTGCGCCAATGACTATATGGAAAAAAATTAATTCGATTCCAAAGTAAAATTCTTGAACCGAAAAAATCATTTTGAAGAGTTTTATTGTCTTGAATCAAGACACATGTGATGTACACATACATGTAAGCACATTACTGCATTTTTTATAATTTTTAGACCTTAATTTCAAGTAATTTTTCTTAAAAATATTTATGTTCAAGTATTTTCTATTTATAAATCAAATTTTTTATCAATTTGGCGCGCAAACTTTTTTTTTAATAGAAAAATTTTTAATAATCTTAAAATTGTCAGTTAGTGTGTTTTGAAATTGGGCAGCCAATTTATATGCGTCAATACATTTTAAAATGTAAATAAGCATATATATTTAGCACAAAAAAAATATATTTTTCTATGCAGGAAAAATTCTCAGTTCATAAATTTTTTTACTCAATTCAAGACGAAGAGAAACTCTTAAATGATTTTCTTACTTCAGGAATGTTTCTCTTCAGTTTATAATATGTCATCAATTTATATATATTTTTTCTAGTAATGAATTTCTCAAAATATTGAATTTTCAAAAAATAAATCGTATAAAATGTTTTAAGCGAAAAAGTTAAAAGTATAATTTGGTATTCGTTTTTTTCCGAAATTCACATTTGACCTAAAAAATTTTATTCATGTTAATTATAAAAAAAATTTTTTTAACGTTAACAATGTAATGACGTCATTGAGATATTGGGTGAAAAAAACTTTAGTAGATTTCACACGTTAGATAGATAATTTATTAATTGAAAAAAAAAAAAAATTTGACATTTAATTCTTCTCTAATATTTATAATATTTATATAAGTAATTTCAAGTGCACTTGAAACTATTAAGACCTTGATTTTTATAATCGTACCACCTGGTAGAGATCAATATAACTTAATAATAAATAAAAACATGTTAAGATATAAATCAGTCTTTCGTACGTCAATGACGAGTAAACAGTTAGTGAAAAAGCAGCTCGAAAAATACCTGACAATGGTTATCCAAATGGTATGAGCGATTTATTTTTATTTATTTTATCAATTTTCAGTTTCAACAATAATATATTGTATGTAAAAAATAACAATGACACATTCGATCATTAAATTTAATTAACAATTGATAAAATGGCTCTCGAAGCTCATTAGTCATTTGATGTCTGGGTAAATTGTAATTTTGAAAAAAAAAAAAAAATAATCGATAATAGCTCTTGTTGATTTACTAATTAAATCATCAGTATATATAGACTGTATAGCCTTATCGCAATTAAAACACTGTAATTACGTTTCTGTATTACATCATTATTGGTTTTGTCTCCGGTAACATAAAATGTATATGAAATAACACCTTTTATACCACAGTTACGGTATTATATTGACTCCGAAATCGATCTTGCCGCTATCCTTCGATTTTTTTTGTAAATATCACGGTGTCGTGGGTTATAAATTATTGATACTTTTCCGTGGGCAGTTCGATTGGTTTTATTAGATTTCGACGTAATCGAAAGGGTCAGAAAAATAGTTAATTAAATTGCCAACTAAACCAATTAGATACGTAATTTCCGTTTAATGCATTGAATGAAGAAAAGAATTAATTTGAGCGAAGTACTTTTTTTTCTTGAGTCAATAAACTTTATTATTTTTAATTCAAGAAATTTTTTTTTAAATTAATATTATTAAAGAAATTGAATGAAGCAAATAATTTATTATTTATTTTAAATTAAGATAAAAATTTTTTTGTCTAAAGCTACTTATCAGGTTTTATTGAATTAAGAAATTTACTCACAGCTCAAGACGTAAATATTAAACTCAAGAACGTTGATGTTCTTGGCTGAAGGATATTAATTTTTTATAAATTAAGAATAATGGAAAAAAATACCCACGGTAAGGCTTGAACCCTGCTTAACTCGGACAGAGTAAAATCACACTAGCCGCGCGGCTATTTATTGAAATTTTAGTTAGTAGTTTTAAACTTTAGCGGGATTCTAAAGGCGACACTGCGGTTTCTATAAAATATATTAATGGAAAAATAATTTTACTTTATTTAATTATTAAAGTTTTGAATCAAAATGTTCAAAATCAAGAATAAAATATATTCTTTTATCAAGAATTTGGTCGTGTTTCTATAAATGTTTTCTACAAATGTATTTTTACAATTTTTTGTTGACACATGCTTTTTGAACTTTAAAAAACAATTTTATCCAAGTCCGAAGGGTATAAATAAAAACATTTTTATTTTTTGACTTTTTCTGCAAAAAATTAATTTGCATTAAGCTTCTTCAGCAAATAAACGTAACAATATTATTATTATTATTATTATTATTATTATTATTATTATTATTATAGAGCAGATAAATCAATCGCTTACAGAAATTTTCTAATACAATAAAGCCAGTGTAATCAATATTTCGGTGCAAGGTATCTAAATCTGAAACTGTTCATACTATCGATGGCCTAGTTTTCGCTACAAACGATTCGCTTTAACCGAGTAATGAATTAGATTATTTACAATCACTAGCAACAATTTAATTAGTGACCAAGTTATACTCCTCGTACCGATAAACTATCGAATGTTTAGACTATTTTCGCTTATTTAACTTATTTATTCCGAGATATTGTCGCTCAAATATTGATAGTCGCCAATACTTTGTTACATCGGCTCGAACCGCTAATGAAACAAAGTGAATTTTTTTCCAAATGGAAAGTATATAAATTAAACAAATAAATCTCTCAGTCAAAGTAAAAATTTTTTTTAACTTAAAAAATTTTCCTATCTAGAAAAATTTAATTTCACCCGAAATAATAATTGTCTCCTTAAATGTATTTTCGAGCAAATAAATCTTTTTTTTTCTACTAGACTTTAAACTTCTTAAGGATTTATACCATTTCTTTCTGCAAAAACAACTAAAACATCAAAAATATTGACGACAGTCTTTACGATTAACCAATTATTTTTATATAGCAATAAAAAGGATTCATGCTCTACAGAATTTTGCATCGGTCACGCAACTTTAAGCTCGACTATACCCTCAAACCGCTCGTTAATAATTCGCAATTATCGCAGCAATCTTAAGTATTAAAATAAAAGTTTTTCAATAGATATTACGGTCATATAATACTCCATGCATTAATCAAATCACACAAGACGTCTTTTGTCATCATCATCACTTCTTATCATCATCTTCACATCGTCAATTTAAATCCTACTGAAGATTCCCTCATTATAAGTATCAAATAACCATCCACTTTCAATTACGTTATCGAATCACGCCTATAAATCAGTAATAACTAACAGCAAAACAAAAAAGCATTGATACCATCAATAAACAATCAAATCAATTACGTAACAACTCATCAATCATCATCTTCAATACCCCAAGTCCCATGATTATGATTTACGATAAATCTAAAAGTGGAAAATGTAAAAAAATGATCATTAAGCAATACAAAAAATAGACTATTTTTCTATTTTCATTCTAAGTACATTCATATGTATGTATAAAAGTACATACATTTAAAGTATAAGCAATAAGTAATAAGTCTTATCAATTGATAAGACCTGAGCAATTATTTACCTCAATAGTGTCAAGGAAACATTTTTTATGTATTCACAATACAATAAATGCTTTCTACTCGATGAATTTAAGTAAATAGTAATATTTCACTTTAAACATACAAATTTAAGTTATCCAAACAAATATAATGTTGATGTTGTATTTGTAATTGTATAGTATATATTATAAATTATTATATACATAACACTATGCCGTAAGAATCCAAGGTGGGATCATTTTTCACTTTGGGGATCTGATAGCACACTTCATTGTCAATCGGACAAATAAAGGGACAAAGGGTGATGAGTTTTTTATTTTTAGTCGGAATACTATCCAAAAAGTCAAGTTTTGGTTTCTATGTATTATATATTTTACACATGTATACATAGTATATATAGGAATAATAAGGACAACATGTTTAAATAGAGTGGGGTAAAATTACTCCCACTTGGTCACCTACTTTTATGTAAACAATTATTTCGTTTGAGTGGGGGATCATATGAACTACCTTCAATATATTATATTTTTATACAAACATATTAGTTCACTTGTTGAATTTATTGAAGTTACAAGAGTAAGCTTCAATTTTTTTCTCACATCTAATAGTCAATTTTTTTTAGAAATGTGAGTCTTTTTTTGCGCAAAGAAATATTGTCGGGATAAGTTAGGTATTTTGTGATTAAGGAAAAAGAGGTTGTAAAAAGTGAAAATGAACGACGAAAGTGGAAAAGACGGTAGTTCGCCGGAGTCAGTGATTGCGCGGTTATCATTCGATAAGAAAAATGATAATGATAATGTCAATGTTGGTGATGCTACTGAAGAGGATGCTAAGAGTACTTCGACGATTACGGAATTCAATGTTGATAGTATCAAAGATAACAGATTTGATGGGGTTGAAGATACTGAACTAGAAGTGAGTGCCAAAAATTATGGCATTCCGATTTTGGAGAAACAAGAAAGCTTTTCGGAGGAAAAGAAAAAGGGGAGGTTGAAGAACCCTTTCAAGGACCGGTTGTTTAAGAGGAAGAAGACTAGGAGCATTGGGTCTCAACCTTCGATAGACGAGAATGAAACAGGTTTTTTGGGGTTTTAGGGTGACTATTTGCTGATTCGTGGTTTGATTTTGAATGAATTAGATAAATTTTTTTAGTCGTCAAAATACTTAACGACAAAAAGGCATAAAATGTAATCCGATGCTGGCGCATCAGCAACATATCAATACAATTCTTTTGAATTTTTAGAAATTGATAAGAATTATTTTTTCAATAAAGTAGAAAGATATAATTCAGCAAATAGACATCCTAACAATTTTTTTTTGCAATTATTTTCTTCATGCAATCAGGTTAAATATGCACCGTGAGAAGTTTAATTTTAGAGAAACATTTATTTCTGCTTGTAACCTAAAAAGCTTCTTTTAGGCATGAAAAAAATTTTCCATGCAGAGGAATAACTTTTATCTTAATTACGAAGTTCGCTCAAAGAAGGAAGGAATCCCTTCGCTTTGTGGATAACTAATAACATGAGCTTGAAAGTAAATTTTTTTCTACTTTGCAATTTTGTTAAGATTAATTTTTTTAAGGAAATTAAACTTACACCAAAATTACAACCAATATTTTATAAGTAACAAGATGAAAAAATATCTTTACGAATTTTGAATCATTGATATGTATATATTAATAGCGAAATTTACTCAGAAAAAAAGTTGGCTATTAATGGAAAAATAAAAAAAAGAACTTTATCAAAAAACAGCAATGTTTTTATTTTTAAGTTCGAGAATTTTACTTTTTTATTGAAGTAACTTTCTTATCCCACTTCCAAATGTCATGCAATAGTAGAGCGGAAGAGAAAAATCAATCAATCGAGAAATTTTTCACCCCTAAAAGAAACTTTACACTGTAAAAAATTGGGAATTAATTCAGGATACATTTTTAGAGTGACTTCAAAGTAAATATGGATTTTAATTGAAAAAACATTCGAGTTTTTAGACTAAAATAAATTTTTATTTATCTGAAACAAGTTTCATATGCCAAATTACAAACAAATGCTTGAAAAAATTTTTCTGAAATTTAAATTTGTAAATAAAAATTCAGATTACATTATTCTGAAAAATTTAACTTGATAGAATATTAAATCAAATTTTTGTAAATATTATTTTATCTTCAAGTCTTGTTGATAAATCTGAACGTAAAAAGTAAAAATTAATTACTACAATTAACTGATCTATTGCAATTTTTAGGATTTATTAACAAATAAACTATTATAGAAAAAATTAATCAAAAAATGCTATTTCAAATATGAAAATTTATTTATTATATTAAACTAATTTTCAAGTATGCATTTTGTAATTTTCAAATGAAAAACTATTTTCTATTTTTAGTCAATAAAAAAAAAAAAATTAATTCCATTGAATTTTCTGAATTGTGTTTTGTGAATTTTACATCAGAGATATTGAATCAATTAAGAATCATCCTCTCCGAAAATTTTTTACAGTGTATGAATAAGCAGAAATATTCTCAATACATTTCAATCAACTGACAATTAATCAATTAATTAGGATTACCTTCACCACATAAAAATTTTCTAACAAGAAAGAAAACAGAAGGATTGAAATAATGAAACAGAAACAAACCTATACAGTACGACCCAGTTAATAAAATCATTAGAAGCCTTAAATAGACCGACTGGTTGAATATTTTATTATTACCGGCGGTTTCTTTCAGAGCCTACCAAGAGAACAGTCACCAACAAGTCTGTTGAATACGACAAACCTAGTCAGGCTCCAGAGCAAAAATCTCCGTCAACATCAGGATCAAATATAATCAAACTATCAGGATTAGGAGTATCAGGTTCATCATTCGAAGTCGGCGACGACGAGGATCAAGATTCGGATCAAGTGCCGGTGAAGAAAATGATGAAAAAGAAGAAAACTTCGCTGGTTCGCCGACTGAGTTTGAGCAAATTTCGGCTGAGTTCAACCGAGCAGATCCCTGAAGTTCGACAAACTCCAGAGGGTGACAGCAGTCGCTCCCAATCTTCCCAGGAATCGCCGAGCCATGAGGACTCCGTTAAGACTAAATCGGCATCATCAGGATCTGGACCGATCGCCAAAAAAGGGTACAGTAAGTTCGAGGATAAATCCCATTTGGCTGAAACACAAAAGGGTAGGGATAATAATAAATCAACGTCGGTGGAGAGGCGCAGTTCGAGCGGTACGTGGGGGCAAAGAGAGAAGGGATTACCCACGACAACTACAACGAGTGAACAACGTATAGACGACCCTCATCGACGACGACAGAAACCATCTGAGAACTCGTCTACTGACAAAACAGTCACCACTGTTACAACTGTTCTGCAAAGAAGGTCCCCGTCTGTTACCATAAGGACGAGCTTCATTGAACCGGGTGAGATTTTGATCTGACAAATTTACAGGGTTTCTTTTTTTTTATTTTGGAAATCATTCGGGTTGAACCGTGTTTTGGAATAGGCTTGTGGTTTTTGTGATTTTTAATTCAAAAGGGTGTAAAAATTTATTAGTGACATTTCTAATGAAATTTGATTCATGTCTTTGGAATTTGATTCAACATTTTGATTTTTTGTATGGTCTTGTGTGTACTAAAGGAATTTTTTCTGTAAGTTTTTAATTATATTATTTATTTGATTATTTTTGTAAGTTATCAATTTTTCTTAGAAACAAGTGTTGATTCATGAAATTGAAACAGACCAAAAGTTTACACTTTTTTTGTAAAAGTTAAATTATTTATTTTTAATTCAAATAAAATTTTAATGATTTTTTTTTTAATGTATATTTGATTTTTTAGTTGATACTACACTGATCAAAAAATAATTTGAATCAAGAGAAAAAATGTTAAACCTAGAATCTTAAATCAAAAAGAAACATTTTTGGACTAAGGAAATTTTCCGGATTCAATCATTTTTCTGCTTGATTTAAGACAATAAAACTTTTTAAAAAAATGTTATTGGTTCAAGATTATCGCTCTTGAATCAAGTTAATTATTTTTATCGGTGAATTAAAATTTTGTTGAACTTTTATTAAAAAAAAAATCAAATATTTCCAATTTTTGAATGCTTATAAAACTTTCTAATTTTTCCTTCATTATCTCAAAAATTGACTTACTATAGTTTCAAATTTTTATAACAAAAATTGTTATTTTTTATACACACAAAAATACATAAAAATAATTGGTAAATTATAAAATTACTACTGTATGAATAAAATTAGCGAATTGATCAAAATTAAACACCAAAAATTTTTTTATTAAATAGTACACTGAAAAAAAAATTGACTTGATTTATGAGTAAAAATCTTGAACCAAGAAAATTATTTTGAAGAATTTCATCGTCTTATATCAAGATAAAAAATTTTTGAATTAAGTAAAATTTATCTGAACCAAGGAAAATTTTTAATTCTAGAATTTTTCTACGATCAAACTCTTCAAAATAATGTTTTTTTTCTTGAGTCAAGTTGAATTTTTTTTTCAGTTTAAGTTGATATAATTAAAAATCAATGAGTAATTTTCTAAAAAAAACTAAGCTTAAAATTTCCAAAATACGTGTATTTACAACTGATTTCTAAATAATTTCAAATATCTAGAACAATCTTTAAAATCAAGTCACTATTTGAAACTAGACCTTCCACCAGTCGGCCAAGAGTCGCCTCGATCAATCTCAACCCTTCCGTCCGAAGTGTCCAAATGGCCTGAGACAAAAGGACCGCCTAAGAAGCCGAAATTCCCCGCAAAACTCGACCGAGAGTCAGGATTGAAAGAGTACAAGCCGGGCGAATCGCCACCCCTGGAAGCTAAGCGAAAATTATCGTTGGTGAAGGAAAAGCGGGCAATATTCCAGCGAAAGTACTTCGAAACATCGGAAGTTGGTTACTCGCAGGACAATTCATTGGACACGGTGGTTGGGAATGTTGGTGCTGGTATCAGTGACTCACTAACTTTTTCAGATAATACAGTCTCTATTGACAATGACGACATAGATTTAAACAAACGCAAGCCCTCCCGTCATATCAGTGTGCGCACATTTGATTCATTTTCGACAACTTTCAAGGAGTCAGTTGAAGAGCAGGATCCACCATTTGAAGAAGATCAGCTGCACAGCATTGACATCACTGATCACAACAACAGAACGCTTGCTTCTCTTGAAGACCAAAACTATTCTTCGACTCCAATGGCGGTTAGTAGTGCAGAAAGTATTGAAATCCAAAGAAGATTCAGCGGCGATACCACGGTGAGATTTTATTTGTGAAATTCATTTAATTTATTAACAATTTGTGTCGTGTATTTTTCAGCGACTGCTTTAATTAAGATAAAAATATTCACGCGTAATTCTATGATGCAGATCGATAGCTGCACTTTGCGGTTCTCGCTTGTAGTTTCAAGTTACCACTCGTGGCTTCCCATACTCCCTCATTTAGCTCTTTTAAATGTAAATATAATATATTGAAGGTAGAAATGAGGTTTACCCTGTCAAACAAACTTGTTTTACTTCTATCCAGAACAAGTCAAGTTTGTTATTTGTATCAGACTCCAAAAAAACAAAAGTTTGAAAAAAGTTCTTATGTGAGTCTGGTTACAAGATACAAGCGCTTTCATTATTTATGATCGCGTATAATATTGTATGTCACAAAAAAATCCCGGAAACTTTCCACTCCTTTTTTTATTTATTAATTGTATGCATTGTAATCGCTATTTTCGTTTGAAATAAAAATTCTAAGCTATTATTAAGATATCTGCCGACTGTTATATCTAGTGGGGAAATGATTGGTGTCATTCTCCTCTGCATCTTTTGATTCATTGCGATCATAACTCTTGTATGAACAGTGTCTTAAAAGGTAGATCTTTAATAAATATAACAGTTTTTTTTTTTTTTGAGATGGAAATGGATTTTAAATTTTGGCAGACGCTCAAATCTTGTGAGCTCGCTAGGTGGAAAATTAATCCAAAGTGGAAATGGTTCACGGTTTGTTGGTTTAAAATAATTATTTGTAATTTTTTTTTCATACTCCTAGTGTTTTTATTGTTGTTTATTTTAGTGAAGAGATTATAAATAATAAATATTTATAAATGTAATTTTTCATTCAATTCTATGGTTCAATGAATTCTCGGTTGATAAGATAAAGATAATAGTAATTATATGAATTTTATTGTATATTTCAATATTATTATATTGAGTAAGATAATGGTTAATTGTTAATTGTTATTGCCGACGATTCGTAATTATGGTGAATTTTTTTAATTATATTAAAAGATGTTTGAAAAAAATTGATAAGAAAATTAGAAAAAATTATTTTTTAATTCTTCTGATCTATTAAGGTGCACCTGATTTTTAATAACACAATACTCCGGGATTAAAATAACTAAAAAGTAAGATTTAGAGTGAAGTGTCATCAATAAAAAAATTTTGTCAAAAATCAAAAACAAAATTCAGATCAAAGTTATTTTTTATAAAAAAAAACATTTCTATCTGTTTATTAATTTTTTTTTATCTAATAATATTTTTAATAGATTTAGTCTTACTACAAAAAAAAAATGCATTATTTAAGAAGAAGATAAATATTTTATAATAATTTTTATAAATAATGAACTTTTAATAATATTTTTAGATGTCTGTTGTAATTTTAATCATACTGGTAGAAAGGTTAGCTTGACTCAGAACACAAATTTTTGTACCAAGACTACTTCAAGAAAAACAATAAATTTTCTAGGACAAGAAAAAAAGCTCTTGAGCTAAGAAAAATTTTTTTTAACTTAGAATTTCATCTTAGGCTAAGAATTTTTTCTCTTGTCTCAAGAAACTTATTGTTTTCGTTATTATAAAATTTTTTCGCTTGAATCAAGCCAAGTTTTCTATCAATGCATAATCAAAATAAAATCAATTTGTTCTTATATGATTTCCTTGTCAATATAGATAGATAACTTTAAAATTTTCATCCGAAATTGTTTCCTCTCAAATCAAATAAACTTTATTTCAAAAAGTTAATCTGAGAAAAATTTTGATTTCCTCAGCTAATAAATAAAATTGTTGAAAATTTTCAATAAATTAATTTCTTATCTCAAAAATTTCCATATTTTTCAAAAGAAATTTTTTCTTCAGTGCAGTAATCAAAATTAATGAAATATTATAATGAATAATAGTTTTTTTTTTCTTTTTTTAGTCGACACACAATAACGCGCCTAATAGCGGCGTAACTGAAAAACGTGAGCATCTATACAAAATCCTGGTTATCGGTGAACTAGGAGCTGGAAAGACATCAATCATCAAAAGATATGTCCACCAGTTTTTCTCACAACACTATCGTGCGACAATAGGCGTAGATTTCGCCCTGAAAGTACTCAATTGGGATCCAAATACAATTATAAGACTTCAACTATGGGATATTGCCGGTAAAAATTATTAATGAATCCAACAAAAAATATTTTCTATAGATTATAAATCAATTGAAAAATTATTTTCAGGCCAAGAAAGATTTGGAAACATGACGCGAGTTTATTACAAAGAAGCCGTAGGTGCCTTTATCGTATTCGACGTAACGAGAAGCGCGACATTGGACGCTGTCGTTAAATGGAAACAAGACTTAGACTCAAAAGTACAATTACCCGACGGATCTCCCATTCCGTGTGTGTTATTAGCGAATAAGTGCGACCAGTCCAAAGAAGGTCTAGCAAATTCTCCAGGAAAAATGGACGACTACTGCAAGGAGAAAAATTTTGTTGGCTGGTTTGAGACTTCCGCTAAAGAGAATATTAATATCGAAGAAGCAGCGCGTTTCCTCGTCAATAAAGTAAGGAATTTATCATCATATTATTGAAAATTTATATTTACTAAAGATTATTGTTATTTATTGCCAGATTCTTCAAAACGACCAAATAATGAAAGGAAACGGAGCTCAAGATCAAGTTGACGGAGAGCGATTTGCATTAAATCAATCACCGACTGGTACCAAAAAATCTTGCGCATGCTGACGAAATGTAATTATTATAACAATTCAATTCATTATTACTATCATTAGTATTAATAGTGATGCTAATGATTAATAATAATTAACTATCCGGCCAAATTGGGACATACGAATTAACTTAAAGACTGTTCCATTTGCTACTACATTTTATAATAATGATAATTATTATGATTAATATTATTAATTAATTGTTAATATTACTATTTAAATGATTATTGAATGAGAATGTGCAATTTTAATATTTTTTGCACATCGGAATAATGAAAATTTATTAATGACAAAATATCCGTTTTTTTCGATTGTTTTTAACGCTTTGATACCAGTGAAAGAAATTTTTAATTATTTATAATTAAAAAATTTTCATGAAAATTATTCGTATAACTTAAAAAATCGCATATACAGTTAAAATTAAAACAAAAAATTCATATTTTCTTCGGAACATTTACTGCAAGGATTTGCACATGCGTGAATTGAGTTCCATAATTGTGCATGCGCAGTTTTAAATTTTAGTTTTGTGAGAAAATTACTCAAGAATGTGAGTTCTAACTTAAAAAAAATTTTTTTAATTGGAGATTAAAAAATTTTTAAATTAACGTTTGTTATTTTTAAAGCTTTAACCGCGTTAAATATTTTTATAATTTTATTAATTCAAGGAGATATCTAGAGGCTTTTTATACTAATTACGTGACTAAAAAACAATCGGGAAAAATGTATAATTGATTTAAAAAATTTTAAATATACTCGAGATTACATTCCATTTAATGCCATCTTTAAATTGCTTAATTTATTTATTATTAATTATTATTATTATTATTTTAGACATTGCCAATAATTGTTGTGAAAAAAAATTATCATTAATTGATAAAACTAAAATAAAATTTTATATTATTACTTATAATTATTTTTGAATAGATATATGTTTACATGGAGCCTAATTAACATTTGTAGTATAGAACGTGCCATTTTTTCATCTACGAAAAAATTCAATAAAACATTCCATTAGAGTTATATTAAATGAAAGTAGATACTTATAGCTATAACTAATAAAAAAAAAAAAAAAAAAAAAAAAAAACTGAAATAATATAATGAATTAACAAATAATATTAAGTATATCCCATAATTTTTTGTTGGTTTATATCCTCATAAAATATTGAAAAATTTGTGTTCATATAAAAGTAAATACTATCCATAAATACTGTTGGCTATAATGAAAAATTTTATACGTAAAAAAATATACAGATAATTTATCTTCCAAAATTATATGATAAGTATATTTAAAAAATTAATTGATGCAATGAAAAATCTTTTTATTATATTAAATATACGTAAATAGAATGATTAAATATAATTAGTATATTATAATAAGTAATAAGATAAAAATTTTTTTCTATTTTTCCGTCTCTCGGTCATCGCAATTTGATGATTTTTTTTTTATCTCTGAATTTAACTTCTAAATATATCATGTAAAATTTATATTTTTTGTTTTTAATGTAATAATTGTGCAGCTAATTTTTATTCAGTGTTGTATTTATAAGATAAATTGTTATTGTAATAAATTTTTGTAAATAAAAAATTGCGATGTTAAAAATCAATTTCGTTATATAATAGTTTCATTTATTTAAAAAAAAATATAACAAAGATTTAATTTGCACTGCAATTGATTAACTTTGTAGTAAAAACACCTGTAAGTACGAAGTTATCAAGTAAATTTTGATATTCATGTACAACCAATTTAAACATTTTATGACCTCCCGTACATTTTTCAAAATTTATTTCAAAAATTGATGTTCTATCTTGTTTTAAATGCACTCGACATTTTTTCTTATTTCCTTTAATCCACATACGACCTTTACATCCCATCTGAGGAGTGAAAACTACCAGTGCAGATTCTGGTTCGCATTCGTAATAAAACATGCTTCTACTCTGTTGAAATAATATAAAAAAACGTAAAATATTATTTTAAAAATTACACTTTTTTAATTATTAAAACTCACATGATTAGTCAGCGTAAAGCCGCTCAGAGAGAAAAGGATCCAAATTATTGAAATATAACAAACCAAATTCATTATTGAAACTTCAAGCATATGAGGTTTTTTTTTTAATGTTCAACAATTACGGTTGAAAATACGGTATCGGGGGAAGTAATAAAAAGTTTAAGTTTATTTTTAATTTTCATCGCTATTATGAAAGTGTCAGTTATTATTTTTTCTTATTACAAACAATAATATACTTAAATGTAGCTTATTTAATTGATCATTAATTACTCACGGGGAATTACTCTGATAATTTCAAGAATGGAAATAGATCTATTAAATTGTGTAATGTATAGGTAAAAAATAATGGAGAACACTTGTAATAATTAATGGTATCATTAGAAAAATTCTAAAAATATATCTATAAATGTACTCAACCATTTTTGAGCTCGAAAAACTCGAATATTCGTAAATTGATTCATAGATGAATAATTGCAATGTTTTACAAATTTATTGAAGTTTCAACCTGAGACATGACATTAAAGTTAGCAGTTACTTGACCAGTTTTTAATTTTATTTAATAATCAAATTTGTTCTGAAAAATTATTTTTAAAAAATTTCTACATGTCAATTTTTTTTTCTAATATTTTTTTGCGGTAAGTTGTTTCTTAAAAAAATTATCAAATTATCTGCTACTTTAACTTTCATACCTGAGTAATAAATTTTTTTATATTTATTCGAGTCAAATAAAACATAAAAGTAATCAGGTGTTTAGCTTCGCGTTTTGAAAATGAATAATTAACAAAAAAAAAAAAAAAAAAAAAAAAGAAGTTATCTTCAGAAGCCAATTTAACTATTTTTGATTAGACCCGGCCGTGTGTGTATGTATGAATGGATGTAAATAAAAATTAAAAAATTAATTTAGCAGATATTTTATAATTTTAAGAAATGTTTTAACAATTAAATTATGTCAAAGAATATGAGAAAAAAAATTGACATTTAGAAAATTAAATAAATAAAAAATGCAATTTTTCAGAAATAATTTTTCGGAGCAAATTTACCTATTAAATAAAATTAAAAAATTATTAAGTCACTGCTAACTTTAGAGTCATGAAAATGATCTATTTTCCAAACCCTGGTTAAAAATACTGATTGAAAAGAATTGAAAAGAGGTCACTCAATGCAAACTGTATATCTATGTATACAAACAAAAGAATTGAAATTATTGAAAAGAATTCGAATTTCATCATTTTTAATTCTTTTCAATCAATATTTTTAAACAGGGAACGCAGAGATAAAATCCTGAATGCCGCTTTTACTCAAAAAACATTTATAGTGTAAATCCGAAGTATTAAGTCACATATAATTTCACTTTTAAAGCCTTTTACAAGAAGACAGACCGATATAATTAAGAGGCTAATCATCCCCTAAACTCAATTTTAATGTCTCTGTGGGAAGGAGCGTGAGGGCATTATCCACACGCATGAGACTGAGTGAGCCCGATTGCACTGTTAAGGCCCCCTTGGAGCCAACAGCTAAAGTCATTCAGAAAAAAAGTATATAAGTATTTAGTGTTCTACCCTATTGAGTGCAGCTGTGATTTCAATAACAACGTGTATAAAAACAATAAAAATATTTGCAGTGTTTTAAAAAACATAATGGCTTCTACATCAAATTGTGTCTTTTGTAAACATTCTGATGTAAATTTAATACTATTCACGGAAGAGACATTAAAAAAGTGTCGACTAATTTTAAAACACAGAAAAGAACATAAACTTAAATTTAAAGACGTTGTTTTGCCGGGTGATTTATTTGAAAATGGGTATCACAGACAATGTTATAAATCATTCACAGGGTTACATAAAAAATACTATTTACTAAAAAATAAATGAATCGAAAAATTTACTTCAAAAGAAAAGTCATTAAATATTGCAGAAAATTCATCTGTAGGATCCTCAACGGCAGCTAAATTAGACATACCATCAAGTATTGAGCCAGAAGCATCTACTTCTCAACATTTTATATCAACGACCACTTGTAAGAGATATAAACCTGACCCTCTAATAATATCTAGCCCATCTATTTTACCTGAGTTAGTCGAACCAGTTTCTTCAAATGTAAAAGACCATATTGAGCTCTTGGAAAATATTGATTTACTTTCTGACAATAATATCGAGGTTGATACTGATGTAAGTAATACTCAAAAAAGTCTTACTTGTATATACTGTGACCAAAAAAGTAAAAGGCACAAGTCCAAAAGATTGTCTCTAATTTCCTCTGACCATAAAGTTTTTTTATCTAGAGTAAAGGAACAAAATGAAAATCATACAGAGTTTATTGATAAAATTGTGAATTATTCCCATCCTCAAATATATTATCATAAGATCTGTCAATTAAATTTCTCTTACAAAGCTTCATCAAACAAGAAAACTCCTAAAACCGATTGGCATGATCTTCGTCAACAACATCAAGCTGCTTTTGGTGAAATATGTTCCTTTATCGAAGAAAATATAATTCAAAAAGGACGGTGTTACTTTTTGACTTATATTTTTCAGTATTATATGGGATTATTAGAAGAAAGTAAGGAAAATAATGGTAAAGAAATTGGAGGGGATTTCAAACCACATACCTTAGAATCCAAAATTCGGAAAAAATTTGGTAATGAAATAAAATATTTTATGATTCACCATACAATATTATTAGCGCCGAAAAATTTAGAGGCTATTGATGAGCAATTATATGAAAGTATGAAAGACGATGATACTTTACTTAAAGCTGCTTTAATATTGAGAAAATCTGTCTTGCAAGCTGAAAAGAAAAAAATTACCACATGATGTAACTGTGAACAATTTTGAGGAAGGAGAAATATCTGTGCCAGAAGATCTGCTGCAGTTTTACTCCACTTTGATAGTCGGTAATAATCAAAAACGTAAAAATAATCCTAATTGCATCCATCAAGTCAAGTCACTCTGTGAAGACGTCGTCTACGGTATTTACAATGAAAAAATAAAAACACCAAAGCACATTATGCTCGGAATGGCTTTAAAAAATCTAACGAGTAGCCACGAAATTATTGATATAATACATGGATATGGGCATTGTATCATAGTTATCCAGAAGCGGAAGAGCTCGAAACAGAAGCAACACATGAGTCAGTAGAAAAATACGTCAGAAAAAAAATAGAAGAATTGTCTAATTTCAACGACGATGATGAAGATTAGAAGTTACTACTTAAAAATGTTGAAGGATTAATATTTTTCTACTTTGTTTTTTGTAAGATTAATTCCTAATAAATAATCAATTAAAAAAATTGCTGTTATTTAATTAGTTTTTGAGATTTTATTAAAAAAAAAAAAAGATAATCGATCAAAATTTTTTGTTTTTCAGATCGCAAAAGATGTTGAGAATTATTAGGTTTAGCAATAATGGGATCATAACAATTTCAGTAACTAGATAAGTTACAGGTATCTCAGCTACAGACGTTTCACAAAGCATATACAATTTGAATTTTGATATAAAATCTTCAATATTTTGTTGAATATTCATTAAAGTTTAATCTCTGCATTGAAATGGTTAATTGCTATGTAACTTGTTTCTTTTTTTAATTCCAATAAAGTTATCTTATTTATTTTCTTTTGCGTTAATATTTATTGAAATAATTTTTTTTTTTTTAATAAAACCAAAGGGAATTGATAGTAAAATTCATAAAAGATGTTTAATTTATTTGAGGCTTTTAAAAATAAATTAAAAATTTAGACGCCTATTGTATCATCGGAGATAACAGCCGCGGGTGTACATTTATCCGAAACGACATTTGTCCACAGCCGCGTGCTTGTCATGGGTCGAATAGTCAAATAATCAGTCAATTTTTATGATGATACGGAGATTAGCAAACATCTGTCAATTTTTTGATTTTTGTAACAACTAAATTATTGTGAAAAAATTATAATAATAATACTAAATTTAGCTGACAGCTGTCAATTTTTAAAATTCTTATAACAATTAAATTAATTACAATACTAAAAAGTGCTTCTAAAAATTTATTTTAATTTTCACATGTGGAATTGTTTTATTAAATTTTTTTCATAATTTAATTGCTTTATAATTTTAAAGAAATTTCTAATTCCGGTCAACTTCAGTGTTATTAGTAATAAAATTCCATGAAAATTAATTCAGCAGACATTTAATAATTTTTAAAATTTTTTTAACGAGTAAATTATGGTAAAAAATAATTAGAAAATAAATTGACATGTAGAAATTTAAAAAAATAAAAAATGCAATTTTTTATAAATAATTTTTTGGAACAAATTTATTTGTTAAAAAAAATTAAAAAATAGTCAAGTGACTACTGCTAACTTCAATGTCATTAAAATTCCACATTTAAAAATTAAGAAAAATTACAAGTGTAAGTTCTTAAAAAATATTTTTTTTAATGATTTATTTGGAATAAAAATAAAGAAAATTGTCAAATGCCTGCTAATTTCAATATTCAGTATCATAATTTTATATTACAAGATAAGAACTCACCCCCACTATGTTACTCATCACAAAATCCAGGCGTGTGACGCACGCGCAGTTTCAATTTAGACCCACGTTGAATCAGTAGATTATGGAGACTATACACATTCGGTGCTTCAAGCTGACTGTAGAATAAATGTACACTTTAGTCATACTCATCTGAAGTTAGTGTTGTGAGAGTTTGAGAAACCGGTCAATCACGATTAACTATCCACGAATAACTGATAAAATAATAAAAGCATTTAACCATGGCTAGTGTTTCGTATCAAATAGCCAACTTGCTGGAGAAGGTAAAACTTAAGTTAATTATTTTCTTATAAATTTACCGGATAAGCATAATTTATTTCCCGACATTCTTTTGTTCTGAGATGATGCATCAATTTCGGTTATAAAATCCTCTATGGCATAACCTAACTTTTTTTGCGTTGCTAAATTATATTTTATGTTATTATAATTTGTATTACATCTGACTATGGATTCTAACATTTATTTCCATTTGACAGATGACCTCCAGCGACAAAGATTTTAGATTTATGGCGACAAATGATTTGATGACTGAGTTGCAGAAAGATAATATTAAATTAGATGATGATTCCGAGCGAAAAGTTGTTAAGATGCTACTGCGATTACTTGAAGACAAAAATGGTGAAGTACAAAATTTGGCAGTCAAATGGTAATTTATTATTTCATATTTTCACCTTTTTTATAAATAAATTATAATTAGAAGTTACAAAGGTTTAAATTCCTGCTTTGAACATTTATAAACAAATTATATGAAAAAAAAAATTAGCCGACATCTAAAAATTTTTATTAAAAAAAATTTTTTTCATTCGTAAAAAACTTTACAAACTATAAATGCAATTTAAAAAATATTTTTTTTAATTCTAATTTAATAAATTGACCAAAATTAAAAATGTCGGCTAACTTTATTATTATACAAATTAAATAAAAAAAAAAAATAAGTTTAAAAGGCAAAAATTTTAATTTTTCACGTATTTTTTTTATGACATTAAAGTTAGATATTACTTTACAATTTTTTAATTTTATTTAACAAACAAATTTTCTCTATAAAATTATTTTAAAAAATTGCATTTTTAATTTTTAAAAATTTCTAAATGTCAATTTTTTTTTTGCCATAATTTATTTATTATAAAATTATTAAATATATGCTAAATTAATTTTCATTTTTTTTTTACTAGAATTAAGTATAGAGTTAAAATTTTATTTAAAAAAAATTTTTGAATGATAATTAATTATTAATAAAAATCAAAATTTATTTCAACAGCTTGGGACCTTTGGTAAATAAAGTCAAAGAATATCAAGTAGAAACAATAGTGGACGCTCTGTGTAGCAACATGATATCAGACAAAGAGCAACTACGAGACATTTCAAGTATTGGTTTAAAAACAGTAATATCAGAACTGCCTGTCGGTTCAAACGATCTCGCAGAAAACGTTTGCAAGCGCATAACTGGAAAGTTAAGCAGCGCTATCGAGAAGCAAGAAGACGTTTCAGTCCAATTAGAAGCTTTAGACATCGTCGCTGATTTGTTATCAAGATTCGGATCACTTTTAGTGAGTTTCCACCCGACAATCCTGAACGCTCTGTTACCGCAGTTGTCTTCTCCGCGTCAGGCGGTAAGAAAACGAACAATCGTCGCTCTGAGCCACTTGTTAACTTCCAGCAACAGTTTTCTCTACAAAAAATTGCTAGACCACTTGCTTGAAGGTTTGACCTCTCAAAAAGTAAAGAACGTAATTCGCACTTACATCCAGTGCATCGCATCTATTTGCCGTCAAGCCGGGCACAGATTCGGCGAGCAAATAGAACGAGTAATGCCACTGATAGTCCAGTACAGCAACGAAGACGACGACGAATTACGCGAGTACTGCCTCCAAGCCTTTGAGTCATTTGTCTACCGCTGTCCCAAAGAAATTACACCTCACATAAATAAAATAATCGAGATATGCTTGAAGTACCTCACTTACGATCCAAATTACAACTACGACGACGACGTAAACGACGAGAGCGATGGCGAGGGCAATGTAATGGAGACCGAGGAAGACGGAGACGAAGACGGTGAAGATGAGTACTCTGACGACGATGACATGAGCTGGAAAGTCCGTCGAGCTGCTGCTAAGTGTCTTGAAGCCGTCGTTTCAAGTCGCCGAGAATTATTGTCTGAATTATACAAACACGTTTCGCCTGCTATTATCGCAAGATTCAAAGAACGCGAAGAGAATGTAAAGTCTGATATTTTCCACGCATACATCGCATTGCTTCGACAAACCAAGCCAACATCAAGCGTTGCCATGGATCCTGATTCCATGGAAGATGAAGAATATCCAATTTCTCTTCTACAACAGCAAGTTCCATTAATTGTAAAAGCAATTCACCGCCAAATGAAGGAAAAAAGCATCAAGACTCGACAAGATTGCTTCTCGCTGCTCAAAGAACTTGTAGTTGTCCTGCCTGGCGCACTGACAAATCACATTCCCGCTTTAATTCCGGGAATTCAATATTCTCTTAGCGACAAAAATTCATCATCAAACATGAAAATAGACGCTCTAGCATTCGTTCACACTCTGCTGGTAACTCACCAGCCGGAAGCGTTCCACCCGTTCATGGTAGTCCTAGCGCCTCCGATAATCACCGCAGTAAGCGACCCATTTTACAAAATAACAGCCGAGGCTCTCCTAGTACTCCAGCAGCTGGTCCAAGTAATTAGACCCCACAACAAGCCAGTCAACCCTGAATTCGCAGTTATATCCACTGAAATTTACCGCAGCACCCTCTCAAGACTCAAGACTGCTGACATTGATCAGGAAGTAAAGGAGCGTGCTATTGCCTGCATGGGTCAGATAATCGCTCACTTAAGCGACACACTGAACGATCAACTGCCTGTTTGTCTCCCAATATTCCTCGACCGTCTCCGCAACGAGATCACACGACTCACCACCGTGAAAGCTCTCACCTGCATCGCTGCGTCGCCCCTGCGTGTTGACCTGGAGCCAATCATGGAAGAAGCGATACCAATCCTCGGATCTTTTCTGCGGAAAAATCAACGAGCTTTGAAATTGTGCTCACTGACACTTTTGGACACTCTGGTACGCAGTTACTCGTCGAGTTTACACCCAGAATTACTGGATAAAGTCACGACTGAGTTAACAGCTCTGTTGAATGAGTCAGACCTGCATATTGCTCAGCTGACGCTTACTCTGCTGACAACGATCGCTAAGTTGCACCCTGGAGCGCTTACTCGTGTCTCAGACAGCATTCTTCCGGAGATTCTGGTCCTTGTTAAATCTCCATTGCTTCAGGGCGCAGCGCTGTCGGCGATGCTTGAATTTTTCCAAGCACTGGTTCAAGCAGAGATTCCCGGAATCGGGTATCAGGAGCTTCTGGCGATGCTGATCGAGCCGGTTAATAAATCAGCGCTACACAAACAGGCCTATCATTCATTAGCTAAGTGCGCGGCTGCGCTGACAATAACTTGGCAAAAAGAAGCTCATGGTGTTGTCGAGCAATTTATTAAAAATGTACAGCACCCGCAAAATGACGCTCAGCATATTTTTGCCCTGCTGGTTATTGGAGAGATTGGCAAGCATGTTGATCTAAGCAGCATTTCTTCACTGAAACACGTTATTCTCAATTCATTTTCTTCATTATCGGAAGAAGTCAAGTCTGCTGCCAGTTACACGCTTGGTAATATCGCGGTGGGAAATTTGCCGGAATATTTGCCGTTTATTCTTAAGGAAATTGAGGCTCAGCCAAAGCGCCAGTACCTGGTGCTTCACTCACTCAAGGAGATAATAACTTGCCAATCTGGAAGCTCTTCCGGAGTTTCACATTTGCAAAATTTTGTGCCTTCTATTTGGCAATTGTTGTACCGGCACTGCGAGTGTACTGAAGAAGGTACGAGAAATGTTGTTGCTGAATGTTTGGGAAAACTTACCTTGATAGACCCGACGACTCTGCTTCCAAGACTCCAGGAGTCTTTGAAATCAACTTCTCCGTTGATGAGAACCACCACGGTCACTGCGGTTAAATTTACGATCTCTGATCAGCCTCAGCAGATCGACGCGATGCTCAAACAGTGTATGGGTAGTTTCCTGGTGGCTCTCGAGGACTCTGATCTCAATGTCAGGCGCGTTGCATTAGTGGCATTTAATTCTGCGGCTCACAATAAGCCAATGTTGATCAGGGATCTTTTGGACTCTGTTCTGCCTAAACTTTACGCTGAAACTAAAACTAAGGTAAGCTTTTTTTTTGTTAGTTAATATTATTATATTTAATTGAAGAGTTTTTATTAATGATGAATTATTTAAATTTTCAGAAAGAATTAATTAGAGAAGTAGAAATGGGACCGTTCAAGCACACTGTCGATGACGGGTTAGACTTAAGGAAAGCAGCTTTTGAGTGCATGTACACATTATTAGATTCTTGTCTTGAAAGACTGGATATTTTTGAATTCCTTCAACACGTGGAAACCGGATTGAGAGATCACTATGACATTAAGATGCTGACTTACCTTATGACGGCACGATTAGCGCAACTCTGTCCTACTGCTGTATTACAACGTAATTATTTATTTTTTATTATTATTTATTGATCATAAATATGCAAGTCATTAATATAATTATAGTAATAATAACAGTAATATTTATTATTAGAATAATTATTATTATTATTTAGATTTTTCTAACTAATGCTTTTAATTTTTTTTTTTTTTAATGACTCAAAATTTTTAATTTATAAAAATTGATCAAGTTTTTGAGAACTAAAAAAATTTGTGAAATAAAAAATTGTCTAAAATTAATGAATATTTTTTTACAGGATTGGATAGGCTAGTTGAACCATTGAAAAATACATGTACCATGAAGGTGAAAGCGAATTCAGTGAAACAAGAGTATGAAAAACAAGATGAATTAAAAAGATCTGCATTAAGAGCCGTCGCAGCACTGTGGACAATTCCGGATGCAGGTAATAATCTTTAAAATTTTTAATTATCAACTAGCAACCTTGCAGTCACTATGTGACTGCCGTGACTTGTGAACTATAAACAAATAAAATTTTGCTTCATTAAATAATGAATTTTGTTAAATTGCACTGTACTTTCTTAAATATTGACATTTTTAAAGATATAAACTCATCCTGATGTTACACTCATCAAGAGCTTTCATTTGAGTACCCACATGCATTTTTGATACATTTTTCATATATACATATATTTTATATATATAAATATATAAAATATATGAAAAATTGATGTAGGTACTCAAATGAAAGGTCTTGATGAGTGTAATGTCGGGGTGAGCTTATATCTTTAAAAATGTCAATATTTCACAAGATAAAAAGTCATTTTTTAATTATATATCTAGAGACTTTGCAATGACATTAAATTACACTAAAAAAAACCGATTTTATCATATGACTATTCTGGACACAAAAATTTTCTTAATGATATAAATAAATACCTTTAATAATAAATAATAATTTATCATATTTATTATAATTACAGATAAAAATCCGGCGTTGAGTGACTTTATGAATGTAATTAAATGTACACCAGAACTACGAATGTCATTCGACGCAATTCAGAAAGACTGCTCAGGTAACAATGTAAACGAAGCCAACACAATGGATATGAGTTAAATCAGAGCTCATCTGGTGATAATATATTTAAAAAACAAAAAAAAAAAAACATTTTTCTAAACGATAAAATAAATAACTAAAGTATGCGAATTTTACGCTACATAAATTCATCTAGTTTATATTAATTTTCAATATATTTTTTTTTATACTAAAAATTTCATTTTAATTATAATTATAATTATTCTTAAACTTAAATTTAAACTAAACGCGATTATTATTTAAAAATACATTATTTTTTTTTTTTCATGTAAACAATGTATCTAAAATTTTATATTCCCTAAAGAATATATAATTAAAAAAAAAGGAATAATGACAAGCTTTTTGCATTAATATTAATAATAGACAATTGTTGATAAAAGCAGACCGACTTGCTATTAATATTAAGTGTCTCGGTTTCTAAGTCCTTGTTACTCAATAAGTCTTTGACCTTTTATCCTCCGATAGAAAGAATCAATACAATATAAATCTTTACCATAAAAATTAAATTCTAACTCAAATTAGATTTCTAATTAATTCATTAGTAGTACAAATATTTAGCGAAAAAATTATTAACCGCTGGTAGGGACAATTGGCGTACGTCATAAACGAAATAAATTAAATCTAAATTCATTGTTACATTGAGAGATAATTTTTTAAATGATAAATGTTATAAGCATACTTTATAACGAGCATTGCGCCAATAGGCCGCGTCCTCAGTATATTTATATATATATATATATACGTAATGTGTGTATTAGTTTATACTGACAAAGAGACCAGACTATAAGGATAGTCACGTAGGCACTTGTGAGTTATTTTACGACGACAAAAATATATAACTAATATAAGCATTTTATTGAATCCATATTCACATCACTCATTTCATTTCAGTATCCCATTGATTTTATATTAGTGTCAACTACTAAAATAATTTGCATAACATTTATCATAAATAATATTTACAGCTCAGCTAAGCACACACGCATTGATAATACCGATTACGTTTATTTTAATGCCTAAAAAAATAATTATTATTTAAACATCTTATTTCGGGATATTTCATTAAGACACCAATAATAAATGTGTGAGGTGCCTTGGCGTTACGTTTAAATATTTACGTCAGTTTCCAAAGTAAACAATCCTCCTGTATATTTTCACACGTACGCTGTCTTTGATCGATACATCCCACGCCTGGATCGGAATAAAACCGATCATTAATTTATCATCGGTTACTTATTTTCATTAGATTAGATATTAAATATAAAACTTAAAGCAGTTATTTTAAATGTTCAAATGAATTAAAATTTTTCGATAATTGACCGCATAATTTTTATGACAGAATTATTATACCTGTTAAAAAAAAATATATGATATGATTTATAGTATGAGTTGAATTTCTCGAGATATTTTTTTATTTTATTTTGCAGTAGACCCACTGCAGCGGGTATACGCCAAAATCAAGGACTTAAACTGGTTTTGTATACGCTAATATATACACGAATATATATCAACTCGGTTATATTAGGAATACATGATTCTTTACATTATTTTAATCTTTAATTCCAAATTTTCTTACCTAATTTTTTTTTTACTTTTTATTACACACTTTTTACACGTGTATTTCTAATATTTATTATATCTTCATAAATTTATATTTTTACAGAGATTTCTTCTATAATTATTAATATTTTTTCCAATTATTTTTCCATCAATTTCAATGCCATTAAAATTACCAGCTATTTTAATTTTTTATTTTTGCTATAAAAAATAAAAAATTAATGCTTAAAATTAAAAAAATTATTTTTTTTCATTCTCAATAATATTTTAATTACTTCTACAGGGATTTCTTCTACAATTAATATTAATCTTTTTTCCAATTATTATTACATCAATTTCAAAGCCATTAATATTTTTTCCAATTATTTTTCCATCAATTTCAATGCCACTAAAATGACCAGCTATTTTTATTTTTTATTTTTGCTATAAAAAATAAAAAATTAATCCATAAAACTTAAAAAATTATCTTTTTTAATCCTCAATAATATTTTAATTACTTCTATTCAATAATAGCTATTTTTAGCGTGATAATCTGTACAATTATTTGTTCTCCAATTAATTTAATTTTAACACATATATCTTCAATAATTAATTTTATTTTTACTGACACAAAGTAAATTTATCTATTAATAAATAAATTAGCTATTAATCATTAATCTATACGATTAGTTTTGGTTTAAAAAAAATCCCCAACAATTTTTCTAAGAACCTAATGATAAAATTGACATCCGTCAAGATAAACCTTAATATCACCTTAAAAAAGAATAAATTTCCTTGGCTCCAATAAAATTCTAAAAACTAAGTACAATAAATAATCCCTTTGTATTAGATCTGAATTGGTTACCTGTACCTCTCTCTCACGGGTAATGAGACTGAGTAAAACAACTCACATTTACCAGTTGGTTTTTCCCCTTCCTATACATATATGTCCTCCAGCACTAGCCGGGAATTGAGCCGCGACTATAAATACGACCCCGCGATTCGGACGTACCAGTATGCAATCACATGTGCTTGCAAACGAATTGCTTGTAAAATTTCTGCAATAAATAAAATATACCTGAGACTGAAAGAAGAAACTTAAGTTCTTAATTTTCACCTTTAAGTTTTCAAACAATGTGTATTCGTACGTGTACTACAGACGGGGTGGAGCTTGAGGACAATAGCTTAGCTAAGGTAGTGGAAAATCCGGCAGCATTGGGTCTGGACAGTTCAGTCGAAATCCAAAATTCAGCCGAAGTGATCACTCAACAAGACCCAATGAATTCTGTGGAAGAAATCAAGAAAATCTCTGAAGAAGTTACTGAAAAGCCAGAGAGCCCCAAGCAGTGTCCGTTTGCTGCTCAGAGAAAAGTATTTAAAGGCAAAGACAAATTCATCAAGAAGTACGAAGAAATTATGAATCAGAATCAAAATTCAGAGCCTACTTCTCAAGATAATTCTACTCGTTCACAAGGTTTTTTGGGAAAAGCTGTCGCCAGTTTCAAAAAACTCACTGATGTAATCAGCTATTACTGTAATATCAACCCAGAATCGCGGATCTATAAGTAAGTACACAATTAAACTCAATTTTCGCATGGTTAATTAGAAAAATAAACAGAATTGCCAATCAAGGTTCATTCGTAATTTATCATTTAAATTAGAGCATGTCGTTGCTTGAGTTTATATAATTAAATGTGAACAGATTTGTTTATTTTAATTACGGTATATTTAAAAAAAATATTTTTTTTAATCTAAAATGAAAAATTTGCATGGGTAAGAATTTTTAGGAACCACGTGGAAATTTTTACAAGTATAATTTATTTTTAAAAAAAATATTGCTAACTTTAGTATCATAATACATGATTATAAATTAGAATTAGAATTTTATGAGCTTGTTTAAAAATTTTTTTTTTCATTTTTTACCTTGAAAAAAAATGTTCATTGTAAATTTTTAACCTTCAATAGTTTTGCGCAAAAAATTTGTTTCTCATTTTTATTGCAAAGAAAAAAAAAAAAGCCGATTTTTAAAATATATTCTTTTTTCTCTAATTTAATTTCTGGACTCTAAAATTTTTATAAATAATTTTTATTGATTAAAAATAATTTATACTGAAATCAGCAGACCTTCAATAATTTTTTGATTTTTTTTCATTTACTAAATTAGAATTAAAAAATATTTATAAAAAATTGCACTTATAGTTTTTAAAATCTTCTACATGTGAAATTTTTCTTTTTAATTTTTTTGTAATAATTTTTTTAATAAAAAAAATCCTAAAAATTGTCAGATGTTTGCTAATTATGAAAATTAAGTTAGCCGATATTTAAAAATTTATGATTTTTTTTTTTCATTAAAAAAATGATTACAAAAAAATAAAAAAAATTTTCATTTGAAAAAAACTTTAAAAACTGTAAGTGCAATTTTTTAAAAATATTTTTTTTGTTCTAATTTAATTATTAAAAAAAAAAAAATCAAAAAATTAAAAACGTCGGCTAACTTTAGTATTATTTGCTAATTTTATTTTCACAACTTTACACCATCGAACTTCAACAGAAGAAAGAGAAATGATTAATTACTTCTGAGTTATTTTAATCAACAAACGATCGTGTAGATCTATAGATAATAAATTATATATCTAAGCATTTCGAATGTACTAAATTAATATGCATGATTAGTACTCATGTCGCATTTCTTCACGTTTCCATCGTATCGGCAGTATAATAACCCAGCCTTTGATCAATTACCCCACGGATTTATCGTACAAACTCTGAGCCGAGGGTCGATGAATTGAATGAAAACTCGGATCATTTGCTCCAGCATATGATATATGTAAGGTCCAAATGCCGGTGATTATCCGTGAGACCTACAATTATATTCATACGTTAAAATTTCAAACTCATTTTTTGAGTATTAAGTACTTTTGAAGGTCATAATTCTACAACTCTAGTGTAAGTGGTGTACGTGACTTTTCACATAGAAATCCAAGATAGTCATTAAAAATAAATGATCCCTAATGACTTATGACTTGGCTAACTTAAGTTATGATGTTTGCCTCGGGCATTACTTTGTTTTCTTCCTAATATCTGCTTTAGTGCTTTACTTGTTCAGGTAAATTTTAGAATAAAAAGAACTTGAGACAACATAAATTCATTTTATATTGTTGAAATTGAAATTAAATTTACTGAAATCTCAAAGAAAATAATGGAATTCTATTTAGCATATATTTAATAATTTTATAACAAATAAATAATCGCAAAAAAAAAAAATTGACGTAGAAATTTATAAAAAAATAAAAAATGCAATTATTAAAAAATAATTTTTTTAAACAAATTTTTTTGTTAACTTAAATTGAAAAATTCTCAAGTGAATGCTAATTTTAATTTCATAAAAAAATATAATTGAAATTTTTTTTTATTTATTAAATCAGCACTAAAAAATTTTTTTTTAAATTGTGCTTCTATTCTTTATGAATTTTCTAAATGTGGAATTTTTTTACAATAATTTGTTTGTAAAAAAAAATCCTGAAAATTGATGGAACTGTTTAGCAAACATCTGTCATTTTTTTCGATTTTTACAACAAATAAATTACTACTAAAAAAATATTTAAAAAAAAAAAATTACAACAGTAACTTTTTAATACTTTTACAAGTAGAATTTCTTTAAGATAATTTATTTATTAAAAAAAAAACCTAGAAATGATCGTTTCACCTAACTTTAATGATACTGAAATTAAGAGTCATTTGATAATTTTAAAAAATTCTTTAGCAAATAAATTATAGCAAAAAAAATTTATTTAAAAAATTTCATCTTTAAAAGATCTAAATAATTGCAAATGCAATTTTCTAAAATTATTTAATTTTTTAATAAAAATCCAAAAATTGTCAATTTTTTTTTAATTTTTATAACAAATCAATTTCAATAAAAAAAAAATGCTTTAGAAAATTCCACTAATAATTTTATTTAATTCTCAAATGCGGAATTTTTGTTGTTAAATTTTTCAATTTTTGATAATAATATTGAAGTGACAATTTAAAGGATTCTTTTTAACAAATAAAATACTGCAAAAATAATTTTTTCTGTTTAAATTTATTTTTTAGTACAATGCAATTATAATAGATTTTACTTTCTGTTTGAACAATTGGTAACAATATTTGGACTTTTATAATATCTAATTTACATATTATATCGGCTAGATTTATCGTCAGATTTTTGTGTTGGTGATAAGAACTATTTAAAGACTTATCTAAATCTAATAAATTGTTAAACAATTAATTTCAGTATCATTAATTTGTCTGCTAGTTATCTGCAAGTTCTATTTAATTTTTCAATGACTTGCCACACTGTAATATTGACTTAGATTTAGATAAGTCTTTAAATAGTTCTTATCACCAACACAAAAATCTGACGATAAATCTAGCCGATATAATATGCAAATTAGATATTATAAAAGTCCAAATATTGTTACCAATTGTTCAAACAGAAAGTACAATTAAATCTATTATAATTGCTTTAATAACTTACATTACCAGTTCTGAAGTCAAAAGTAAACTCGATGATCAATAACCATTTCCTGTTAAGAGATTATATAATGAAATAATGTAATAATAATTAAAATTATAATAATGATCAATCAATTTTTTTGATAAATTACAGAATACTGTCTAAAACCACGCAGCCGGCTCACGTAATAATGATCGGTGTCGTTCTGTACTTGTATTCAATCTTTAATCCGAGTTCTGTAAACCAAGACGAAGATTTTAGCAGTCCTCATTCTGGTGTACTGTCATTCATTTATCTTTCTTCTTTTATAATCCACATTGGATCGCAATTTTGGATGACTTTTGTGTCAGGTAATTGTATCAAAATTTTTATCTAAAAAAATTCCTATAAATCATTGTAAAAAAATTATTTCTTCTTTAATACTAAAAATAAAAAAAATAATCTAATTAATAAGTTCTATAAAGATAAGTTAAAATTTCCTCATATCAAATTTAATTTAACATTATATCCTCAATTATATTTCAATTATTTGACCACAATTATCTTGATTGTACCATTAAATTTTTTTTATTACATCAAACTTTATTTTTTTCTATTAATCAGCAATAAAACATATTTAGATAATTACAAATTAAATTTAATAATAGGTCAATAACTTATTTATAGAATTGAGAAAAATAAAAATAGTAATAATATATGAATTAATAAATAAATTTTAATTGTTTTCTATTATTAGGTCTTTCGCTGTACTTCGCATTACCAAGGCATACATTTAATGACGTTCAACGTGTTCTGTTTCCTCGTTACTTTACAATAAACGCTTGTTTAAGCTTTATAACACTCGTTATCTTCGTTAAACATCATCCGGTCGAAACATGGGATACTGAAACAACCATTCAAGTAAGTTTTAATATTCCATTATTAATTACCAAGCAAATAAATAAATAACTTGATCAATAAATCATGCTTTTAATTGATCTAAAAATAATAATATAAAACTTATTTTTTTCAGGTAGCAGCAATGTCTCTAGCATTGATGCTTGAATTATTAATCCGTCTGTACTTGACACCTCCGCTTTTGCGTCTAATTGACGAGAAAAAAGGAATCGAACAGGCTGCAGGAGTCGGAAAGGAGACTGGTTGTCAGAAGATCGGTGCCTTGAAAGACTGTCCCCACTACATGGAGATCCATCGCTCCTTCCGCAAGACCCACGGGTGCATCGCGATGGGCAACGTCATCACTATGGGATGCACTATTATGCATCTTTTCTACATATCCAATAAACTTTGTGTTTTAATATAAAAATAATATTAAGAGTAATGATTATTTTATAGATATTTAATTGATTAGATGTATTTTTTATAAGTAATTTTAAGTGACTTTAATTTATTGATTTGACTGACTAGCTTATTTAGGACAATTTTGTCGCTAATGTCTAAAATCAATTAACGTCAATATCATTTTTATAAACTGTAAGATTACATGGCAATTACTTTATATTAATTCATTTATATTTATTGATTGGTATGATGTACGATATAAATAAATGACTTTTTCTTTTTTAAATAAAATCATTTTATTTATCGAATGATACACGGATGTAGAATACTGATATTATAATCTACCAAAGTATCTTATACATTATTTTTTATTATTTCAGTGGCAGATAAAAAATTTTTTTCACAAATAGGATATATACATAATTAATTTTTTAAACAAATAATTTAAATTCAAAATATTAAATTTTTTAAAATGTAATTCTTAAAGTTGAAGATTAAACTATTACAAGATAAATAAATGCGATGTATTGATTCACTTAATGATTAATAAGAATTATTTAAGTCTAATAAATATAATTTAAACCTAGTAATTATCAAATAATAATAATAATATGATTAGTAATGAGTGACTAATGATAAGTATAAGTACACTGAGAGAAAAAATTTATTTAAAAAAAAAATGTAAATTTCAGCAAAAAATTTATTTGTTTAAAAACATTATTTTTAATTTAAATAGACAACTTTTGAATTTCCGTTCAAAATTGTTTTTTTTTTTCCAAATCTAGAAATTTTTTTTTACCTAAGAAATAAAATTGTTTACAATTTAAAAAAAATTAATTTCTTATTACAGAATTGCTAATTTTTTTTCTAAATAAATTTTTTCACTCAGTGTAATGTAAGTATTAGGGTGGCCCAAAAAAACCGACTATTTTTTTTTTTTTTAGTCGAGTGAAAAAATGTTAGTTTTTGATTTAATTTTTTTTCTCATTACGGTATAATTTTATAGACCAAAAAAAAATAAGTTTCTGAAAGTTTCACTTCAAAATTTAAATTTTGAAAGGTCGCTCATAATTTTTTTCAATTTATTAGTGCATTAGTTTAGATTTTTTCGAGCGGCATTTTACTATTCAAATTAAAATTCCATGCATTTTTTTTTTTATTTAGTACAATAATCGATAAAAATACATCACAAGATGAACTAAAAATCAAGCACAATATAGAAAACTTAATTTTTTTTTAATTACCAGCTTGGTTGAGATTTGACCCTTGCCGCGTAGGTTAAGATTTTTACAAACCAAAAAGACCCCAACGTACCACTCCCAACAGTTAAAGTCGGCGATATGACTAATTAGTAAAGAAAAAAAAAAAAATTATGAGCGACCTTTCAAAATTTTAATTTTCAGAAACTTATTTTTTTTGTCTATAAAATTATACCATAACGAGAAAAAAAAATTGAAAATAAAAAAAATTTGATTTTTGATGATTTTTGAAATTTTAAAAAATTTGGAGCGACCTCTTGAAAATTTTTTTTTTGAGCTGTCTTTTGGAGAGGACTCTTAAAACATCAAAAACTAACATTTTTTTCACTCGAGACTAAAAAAAAAAAAAAAAAAAAAACTAAGTACGGTTTTTTAGGGGGTTAAGATTTTTACAAACCAAAAAGACCCCAACGTACCACTCCCAACAGTTAAAGTCGGCGATATGACTAATTAGTAAAGATTATGAGCGACCTTTCAAAATTTTAATTTTCAGAAACTTATTTTTTTTGTCTATAAAATTATACCATAACGAGAAAAAAAAATTGAAAATAAAAAAAATTTGATTTTTGATGATTTTTGAAATTTTAAAAAATTTGGAGCGACCTCTTGAAAATTTTTTTTTGAGCTGTCTTTTGGAGAGGACTCTTAAAACATCAAAAACTAACATTTTTTTCACTCGAGACTAAAAAAAAAAAAAAAAAAATAGTCGGTTTTTTTGGGCCACCCTAGTAAGTATACATAAATAATGGAAGTTATGATAATTATACACGTAAAATTTCCGCGGCTTTGTTGTAACAAATAGCGATCCAATCTGGCTGAGTAGCACCCCATTGAATCTGATTAACTTCGCCTTCAGCGGCGGTGTAAGCGAGAATGGGGTCCTCGATCGCGCGAGGCATTTGTTGGATATCCCAGATAAGCGCTTGGTGATCGTCTCCAGCGGTACAGATGTGACAAGAGGAGTGAGGAGCCCACGCAATGCCATTGACACTGGCTCGATGATTGTTCAACCTTGCAACAGGTGTACAAGGTACTCTTACGTCAAGAATAATCACCTCGCAGGCATCCATCGCCACCGTGGCCAGGTAATTTGGATCCTGCTTGTTCCAGGCGAGTCTTAGCAGCGGCGTGTGCTGGGGGTCCTCGTAGATTATCGTCGAGTGCTCCAGATGTCGAAGGTCAAACATCCTGACCGAGCCGTCTGCGCCCACCGAGGCGAACATGTCGCGACCACCGCCTGCTCGGCTGAATGCAATGTCGTAAACCTCTTTGTCGTGAGCTATCAATTGGGTTTTCACATGTCCGGTTACCATGTTGACGCGACCCAGTACTTGGCCTGTCTCCAGGCCCCAGATCGTGCAAGTCGTGTCGATACTCGAGGTACCGATCAAATTTGGATCAACCTCATTCCAGTCGAATGACGTCAACGGCGCGCAGAAATCCGAGTTTTTGTTGTTGTTTAACACGCACTCGAGTCGTGTTTCTGGCTCAGCTGCTCGCCAAACACGCAAGTAATCACCTGATGTCGCTAATAAATCGGGAAATAATCCTGTAAAAATAAAATTATTTATTTTTTATATAATTATGTTAAATAATTATTAATTAAACTGCTTACTAATCGGCAACTAAATAAGTTTATTTATTTTTCAAAGTACTAGATAATTATTATTTAAATAAATATTTGATGACATTGACATAAAATATTAAGACTAACAATTATGCAATAACTCTCACTTAAAGCCATGAAGCAATTATTACTGGCGAAATAAATATTGCATCATCAATTTCCTGTTACACATTTAATATTAATAAATTTTAAATAAAATTAATAGGCAGATTTAATTATTCATAATTTTACATTAATTTTGTCAACAAATATGTAACTTATAAATTATAAGTATTTTTAATTGTTACTCTGAATAAGTTAAATATAATTGCTCATATTTATAATCAAGTTTTATAACAATTAGAGTGAAATATAAAATTTTCATTTTTAAATAATTATTTTTAAAAATTGGTGAATTTAAAATTATTTTGAAACTAAATTTTTATTACTTATAACATGTAACCATTGAAACATTTAATCTTTTAATTTCCTTTTATGATAATTAAGTTAGCCGACATCTAAAAATTTTTAGAATAAAATTTTTAGCAAAAATAATAATGTAATTTGTTATTATGATCCTATCTGGTCCACATTCCTGATATAAAAAATTTATTAATTTTTAGAATTTTTTTTTGTTGAAAAAATTATTACAAAAAAAATTCATTTATAAACAATTTGAAAAACTGTAAATGCAATTTTTAAAAAATATTTTTTTGTTCTAATTTAATTATTGAAAAAAAATTAAAAATGTCGACTAACTTTAGTACTATTTTCCTTTTTAGATTCTATTATCTTTTTTTTTTTTTTTTCGCAATTATCAGGCATTGTTCTCATTCTCATCAATAGTACATCACAGAATTTAATATCTATTTTATATTTATATTATTAAATTATTCCAAATTATAAAGTTCCTTAAAATTTATGATGTCAGTCTTTTATATTTAATACTGTTATACTTTATTATAAACTTATGTATACTATTGTCATTCGGCTATTTTACCTTGGCATAAAAAATTGAATAAATAAATAAATAAAATACTCAATATTCAGAGTACTCTTGAATAAATTTTTGCATAAAAAAATCACCTTTGCTATCAGGAATCCACATTATCTTGGTAGTAGGATAAGGATGATCAAAAGTGCTCTTAGCAGTAAACTCTGACGTCTCCTCATCTAGAGAAACAATTTGGACTTTATTGTTATACTCTTCGACGAAGCTCCCCAGTGCCAAACGAAACCTCTTGTCGGGTCTCACAGACCAGTTCATGCTGTACAGAGGCCATGGTGCCTCGTATTTGTAAATCTCCTTCCTCTTAGGCGGTACGTTATGCAACGCCATTGTTTATTTCTCCGAATTATTTATTTTAAAACTGCAAGTTAATAAATTAAAATGAAAACTGACAATTTTTTTTATTAATTAAATTATTAAAATAAAAATTTCACATCTTGAAAATTCAAGTGCTATTTTTAAAAGATATTTTTTTAATTATAATTTAATTAATAAAAAAATTAAAGAATTGTCAAACATCATGAGCTGATTTAAGTATCATGATGATAAAAATTTTATGATTACAATAAATAAATACCGTGAAATTATCTACAGGTTAACCCTTGACTTACCAGTTAAACTTAACCCCAAGTTTTTCTGAAGGTTTCCAATTCTAACTCAGTAATTAATTAAACACTCAGTTTGCTACATAATACATAAAAATTGTAATTATTCAAATGAATAAATAATTAAACCGCTTTAATTATTATACTTAACTCCAATAATACAAAATAAGTACAACACAGCGTCTACTCCATTTTTTTACTTTTATTTTGACAAGAATCTCAATTACTCTCCTGTAGATGTCACCACCGTACGGTACGTAACTGTCAGATGGTACTTGTTGTCATTTTAACTGGCATGCGTTGTTATTAAAAAAACCGTCTATTTGTTAACAATTACAAGGTAATTATATGACACTGAATTTAACAGACATCTAACAATTTTTTAGATTTTTATAACAATTAAATTATAATGAAAATAATTTAGTAAAAAAAATCCACATGTAGAAATTTTAAAAAATTATTAGTGCGTATTTTTAACAATACGTTTTATATAATAATTTATTGGTTATAAAAATTTCTAAAATTGTGAAATGTCAGTATCAATAATACTAAAGTTAGCCGACGTTTTTAATTTTTTTCATTTATTAAATTAGAACTAAAAAATATTTTTAAAAAATTGCACTTATAATTTTTCAAGTTTTTAACAAATGAAAAAAATTTTTTTTTTATTGAAAATTAAGTTAGCCGACATCTAAAAATTTATAGATTTTTTTTTATGTCACTTGTAAAAAACTTGAAAAACTGTAAGTGCAATTTTTTAAAAATATTTTTTAGTTATAATTTAATAATACTAAAGTTAGTCGACGTTTATAATTGTTTGATTTATTTTCATTTATTAAATAAGAACTAAAAAATATTTTTTAAAAATTGCACTTACAGTTTTTCAAGTTTTTTACAAGTGACATTTTTTAAAAATTTTTTTTGAACCAATTTTTTCATTAAAAAAAATTCTAAAAGTTTTTATATGGCTAACTTGATTTTCATTATAATTTAATAAATTAAGCAAAATAAAAAAATCACAATGTCAGCTAACTTTATTATTATATTTTCATTCAGTATCATGTTAATTATTTATAATTTTCATTAAAACTCATTTTATTTCTTCATTAAAAATTCCAGAAGAAATGGATCGCTTTTACGAGAAAATCCAAACGACATTGATGAGACTAAACTCCGAGTATGAATTAAAAGACCTATCATCACACGTCACGCAGGAAAGCGCTGACAAAATCGACAGCGTGATAAGCGACCTGGCAATAGTATTTAAAAATTGCAAAGTAAATACTGAAGAAGTCGCCAAGACAGATGACAAGTGTGTGAAAGCGCTGCAGTACCTGATTTTCAACACCAATTTCCACTGCCAGGATCAGATGGCCGAGGATATAGTAAACGGACACCTGGTGGACATGTGCCCCGCATTAGCTCCTTATTTATTCCTCACCATCACATACAAATTCAACTACGAAATAATTTTAACAGAACTCGCTCTGTACTGTCCTTTAGAATTGTGTGTAGAAATAATGGAGATCACTCCCAGGTGTCTAAATATAATGAAATTCGAGCGAGCCCAGAAATTTATCATCAGTTTTATTTTAAACGCTTACAAAAAATTAGTTTTGATGAAACAAAACGATTTGCAGTCTCTTGAATTAAATGAAACTCTTGATCAATTTAATGTCCAGTTTCAGGAACTGGTTGCAGTGATTAAAGAGAACAAAACTCTGCGTATCGACGAGTCAACTGAAAATAATAAACTGCGACGTGGATTTATCATCAAGGACGTCACTAAGTTAATTATCGACTGCCTGGAGTGTCATAAGACGGGGGTGAAAGTCGATCCTGAGGAAGAAAAACAGTATAAAATAACTTTTGGCCGGGAATTTGTCGTAAAATGCGACCCTGAACTCGTCGAAAAGCACTTAGGGATTTTTAACTCATGCCTACTGTCTCTGATGTCTTCTATTTTGCAGGAAGTAGACGTGAATACTTACATGGAGTGGGTGGAGTTTGACTCACCTGAAGATCCTTCGCAGACCCTGCAGCAGTCAGTTCGCTTCGACTGCTACAAACTGCTAGACTTCTTGAAGAAGTCTGAGTTAAAATTAAACGTCGAGCTTCTTAAATGCCTTGAACACTTGGCTGCTAAACCCAAGCAGCCCAGCGACCTGGGGCTCGAGGAACTGTGCCGTAAAGTTGCCGAAGGCAGCAAGGAATCTCTGAAGCAGCTTACGAGTCGCTACCAGCAGTGGGACGAGAATATTTTCCTCGCTGTAAAGCCTCATTATTTATTATTTGACAAACAAGACTGTTCTTTTCTTCTAGAGTACTTGACAATTTTAATCGAAAATAATTTAGACGAAGATCACAAACAGTCCGTTTACAATCTTGTAACTAAAGTGCTCCTTAAATTGGAAATCACTGAAGTGTTTGAAGTCGCGCTGGAGTATATTAAAACCCATGAGGCTAAAAATATCCTTGAGTCTGTTAACACCCAAGAAATGTTCAATGATTTCATTACTACTAACACAAATTTTAAAGATCCTATGAAGTTGCGTATTTTGTTGTTTTTTATTATGAAAAACCCCAAAGAGTTTCTGATGACGCTGATTAAAATGAGCATCGGCAGCTCGCAGTACCCGTATGTGATGATTCCTCCAGAAGATTTGCTACTGCTGGCGCCAATAATGAGAATTGAAGATGAGACGGGTGTTAAGTTGGTGCTGAGTATTTTGCTGGTCAATATTCAGCTTAAAAAAACTGATTGGAAGACTGTAAAATTCTGTAACTTTATTATGACAATGATTGATCGGGTTTTTACAGCCGACGAGCTTACTAACGTTGTTTTTATTCCTATAATCGAGGATTCGTTGATGTCTATCGAGACTGTGAAGACAGTTTTAATTTGTTTGCAGAAAATAATGCCTTCTTTCACGGAAAATATTAATTTTACCGGGCTATTAATTGGATTAGCGAAAAAAATGAAATCCATTAGACGCAACAAAATAATTTCTAGATGCGAAAGCAATGAAATGTTGGAATTAATTATTAAAATTGTAAGAACAATGATTGTTAATTACAAAGAGTGGGTCGTTAAAATTAAAAAGGTAAAAGTAAACGAAATAATAAAAATTATTTTGCCGATAGATCAGATTTACTTTGAAGAACTTTTGAGCTACAACCAGCCTCCGGATATCACGGATATAATTCGTGATTACTCGAGACGCGTTGTAGCAACAATTGCGCAAGTTTTTGAAGATACTGAAGCTCCAGAGCTGGATATTAATTCGCTGTGGGTTGATTTTAAATTAAATTTAATTTTGAGTTGTACTGAGGAAGAGTTTTTAAGGATTGCTACTGAAATCGCGGTGATCCATGCGGACTTTTTTCATCCTCAGCTAGAAGAAGTCCTGGTGGATGATGCAGTGATCGATTTTATGAACCTCGTAGCTAGAGCTTGGAGCTACTGCTTGGAGATACCGAGAGCGACGCAGCCAAATACCTTCGGGTGTTTAATAAGATCTCAGGCGAAGTTTATTAAATTAATTATGCGGATTAAAGACAAGACCTGGGAGTATGAAAGAATTTTAAAGGCTCTTAAAGAGAATGTCAATGGTTTGAGCGACGGAATTAAAGAGACAGGTTATGGGGATTGTTATGAAAAATTGATCGAGTCTTTGGACCGTCCAAGCGGAGAAGAATCTTTGGAGTCGATCTTGCAGATTGCAGAGAGTCTGGAAACCTTCGGCAGTAATTGTTTGCAGACTGTAAGTGGAGTTGGTGGAGAAAAAAAAGTTTCGAGAGATTTGATGAAGCTACTGCTGGCTCAGGAGTTTATTGATAATTGTCTGAGATTTGAAATCCAAATTTCGAGTCTTATTATTAAGGGGATCAATGAACTTACTTCGTGTAAAAAAACTGATTAATAGTTTTTGGAAAAATAAATATACTTTTTTATTTAATGAATCATTGTAAGTATTTGTGCTAATTCTGATCCTGGGTGTTTTTTTTTTTTTTTTTTATGTTCTTAATTTTACATGACTCATCCTCGCTATCGTAAAATACTTTCTATTTTTATTTTTTTTTTATCTGAGTTAACATTTTTTTACAGTGAATATCACACGGGTTTTGGGAATTATTAAGAGATAAATTCCAGGGAAAAAAATAGCTGATAATTATTAGTGTTGAAATAATTTAATGGATTTATAATGAAGTTAAATGACTTATTTTTGACTAAGATAGTAAAATCTTCTTGGAAATAGATACTATGAATGACTTTGACTTAATTATTTTTTAAGTTTAAAAATAAAATGTATGTCGAGTGATATTTAATTATGAAAGTGTAAACTATTAAATTACATTGAATTGATAATTATTGGTCATAAAAACAAACCGCAGATTTAATTGTTAATAATTTAAATTGCAATTACAAAAAAAAAATTAAATTAAGCTAAGATAAATATCTAATTATAATAATCAAGCAAAAAGTAAATTGTTATTATCAATGGTTGTTTTTATTACATATATAACTTGATGCTATTATAATATTTACAATTATTTTTCACATTGTAAAAAATATAACATATTTCGTAATCATCAATACCATACGCAGGTAGCACTAAAAGGCCGATGTACATTCAAATGGTGGTGTTGTTGCATTTTCTTCATTACATTAATAATGATATTGTTAATTGTAATTGTAATAATCGAATTATTTTATTTTATTATAATTTTTTTAGTATTTTTCGACCTAATTGATAGTAATTTCGCCACAATATCAAGACATTCACACATACAATCGACGGTGCATCGATATCTGTTAAAAAATTGGCAGGTAGGAAAATCTGATTTGAAAAATCATTCTTATTATCTTAATCGTCCGACCGCGTGATATGCTAGTAGTAATTTATTTATTTTACTTATTATGTTTAATCATCTTTGTAATAAACACATTTTTTTTTTTCTATTTAGCACGCAATTAGTCGCGGTGTCTCTAGAAAAATATTATGCAATTTTTTTATTTGTTACTTTTCTTTTGGAATTGAATCGTAGTAGTAATAATAATAGTAATAATAATAGTAATTATAATAATAATAATAATAATAAAAAAAATACAAATTAATGGTAATCAGATTATTACAATCTAATGAGTTCATTGTAGAAATATATAAATCCCCGTACTGCTATACCCTTATTTTTAAAATTGCGAGTACCCTATAAGTCTGTAAAGTGTGCATTTATTTTCTTTACATTAACATAAAAAAAAATTCATTTAAGCGGATATTGTATATTTCCTGCTGCTTATATTTTTTATGTATTTTATGTACTTTACTTATTTTTTTTTGTTCTACATTTTTACATACGACAATTAAGTGTAATTTATAAAAATTGTTAACGCTATAACACCAACTACTTTTCCTTTTTAATAATAAATTTTATTATTTATTTACTCATTAATATTAGTTGTTGTTTTTAATTTTTTTTTTTCAGTGTTCATGAAACGTAGATTATGTGGACTTTATAACGATGACTCATTTACTTTACAAGTACAGTTTTATACAACATGCAAGAGGCACACAGATAATTAAATATCTGTTCCTTATATGTAATTATAATAATAAAAATAATAATAATAAAATAAGAAAAATTATAAAAAAATCATTTATAGAATATTACTTGTATTATTATTATTTTTTATAAACCTTAACAGAATCGTATAAACATTAATAAGAACAATTAATTAAATTATCATTGACAATTGATTTTTCATTATAAAACTACAGACTCCATATCGGTGCTTACTATATTATTTATCATTATCATTATGGTAATTATAACTATTACTATCGGTAATAAAATGTGTTCTTAATTCTAAAAATTAAAGAGATACAAGTGGACAAAAATCCATTGACTGTGTCACGTGTTACGTGTCAAAAAATTATTTTCCAGATACAAAATAAAGTCTCGTCAAAAGATTCATAGATAAAATAGATAAGGACAACAGTTACTTAGTACAGCACTTATTTACACGTCAAGTAATAAAACGTCTGTCATACATTAATAATAATAATAATAATAATATTAATATTACTTGTTGTTAATCTTTTTACAAAGCTCAAAATCCTTCAACGCCCTAGCTTCTTCTTGCCATTATCTAATCAGCACCTTATTTATAAATATTCATATGTATAATATATATATATATATAATTATTTATTTGTTTTCCTATTATTGTTAATTACAATAATAATAATTTTAATTTTAATTGTGATAGATTTTTGTCGATATCAAATGTGCCAATAAAATTTATAATTTCGAAAATACTCTGATAGAAAAATTTAAATAAACAAAAGTACAACTGTAATTATCACGTACGTAATTATGTCTGGTTCTATTGTTAAAAATAGTGCATTGGTCCTTGATTATCATAAGCTGTTTGTCCTTTACTTAAAAAAATCTTTAAATTCCCCCATGGTATTTCTTCACTATCATTTGTTTTTTTTTTTTTTTTTTTTGTTAAACTGCACTTACTTATATGTAATAAATTTACAGCGATAATTACATGTAATACTATTAATTTTAAATATTAAAATATTAAATAAGTGCCCAATTGGTCACTATATTTATTTTATAAATTTAAATTTATCTACTCCAATAAAAAAATTATAATTTCTCCTCTCGGTCGTCATAATGATAAACATTGCAAGTTTTTAATTAAATATTTAAAAGAAAAAATAATAATAATAATCATACACGGAAAGAACAAGATGACACTGGATATCATCCCAAATTATACTCAGTGATATCTGTAGCAAAAAAAATTTCAGATAGTAGTTAAAGAAAATCCAGATTATACTGTGTGATTAGATTATACTCATTGTAATCTAGATTATACTGAGTGATATCTGGATTATACTATCTACTAAACTAAAAAAAAAAAAATTAACTTGATTCAAGAGGAAAATTCTTGAACCAAGAAAATAATTTTAAAGAGTTTCATTGTCTTGAATCAAGACGAAAAATTCTTGAATTAAGTAAAATTTACTTAAACCAAGAAAAATTTTTTAATTGAAGAATTTTTCTACTCAAATCAAGAAGATAAAATTCTTCAAAATTATTTATTTGATTCAAGTAAATTTTTTTTTCTGTGTATCTGAAATTTTTTTTCACTCAGTATAATCTGGGATAATATCCAGTGTAATCTTGTTCTTTCCGTGTATAATGATAATAATTTTGAAATAATATTTAAATTTTCATTTCTTAATATTTTTCACAGCACACTTCCTGGCGGAGAAAACGTTTCAATTGTGAAGTAATCGTAACTGTTATTGTGATTAAAATAATAATCATAAATAAATCGACAATAATAATAATAATTATTATAAATCATCTCCACAGTAGCCTTGCAGTTAAAAGTATGATCAGTCTGGGCCCAGCGGCTTTTGATTAAGTATTAAAGGACACTGCAACAGCAATAGCTTTTTTTTTCTTTCTCCGGACTAAAGTTCATCTCTCTCACTATTTCGGCAAACACTTCATTAACATTGGTACGGTTTTTCGCAGAGGCCTCGACGAAGGGGCACCCCCAGAGCTCCGCGAGGGCATTTCCCTCAGCGGTGTCGACCTCCCTCTGGTGCTCAAGGTCGAGCTTGTTGGCGACCAGGAGAACGGGGACCCTTTCAGTCCCCTTGACCCGCGTGATCAGCTCCTTCATGGCCTTAATGTCCTGAAAAGTCTGGTGGTTCGTCAGACTGTAGACCACCACGAACCCTTGTCCGTTTTTTATGTAAAGGTCCCGCATACTCGCGAACTGCTCGGTGCCCGCTGTGTCCAGGATCTCGAGGACACATGGCGAGTTGTCAACTTCTATTTCTTTTCTGTAGAAGTCTTCGATCGTCGGGTCGTACTTTTCCATAAAGCATCCGGATACAAATTGCACGGTGAGAGCACTTTTGCCCACCCCACCCGAACCAAGTACAACAACTTTGAATTCACGCATTATTTCAACTTGTTTTTTTTTTTTTTTTTATTATTACTCCAACTACCATGTAGCTGTAACAGTAATAATAATAATTAACAGTTAAATAAAAAAAAAATTATTATTATTATTGCAGTAATATTTAAAGAAGAAATATTTAGATATTGATGTTTAAAAAAATTTTTAAATTATAAATTTACTAGTGATTTAAATTTACGTCAATCAAGTTTATAAAATCCAAGATAACACTTAAAGTTAACCGACAATTTTTATTTTTTAATTATTAAATTAGAATTAAAAAATTGCACTTTCAGTTTTTTACAAATGAAATTTTTTTGTAATTGTTTTTTTAATAAAAAAAAATTCTAAAAATTTTTAGATATCGGCTAACTTGATTTTCATAAACCCAAGGACACTTAAAATCCACAAAAATGTTTTTATCGTTTATTGATACCTTGGAAATGGTGCCAATAAAAAAAACTCCAATGTCAGCATCTACGAACACTTAATAAACTATTACGATTACGATAGTTGTGACAATAAAATAAAAATAACCACAATGACAATGACAAATAATAAAATAAAGAAAAATAAAGTAAAAAAAAAAAAGTTAAATAAAAATAAAAGACCCGCACTGGTGCACAAGTTAATCAAGACATGATCATGACACTTTAAACAAAGTAGACACAGATATCAGTAGTCTGTTATAGTTGTAAATGTCTCTGTCTGGCACTCAGCCGCTCCTAGTCTCTGAACTTCCACCAACACCCTCAATTATCCCTATAATATAATATAATGTAATATATATTTATTTATCGTCTTTTATTTCGTGTCCACACTTTGTCCCCCTTCACTTCCTCCACAGTCTTCATGACGTGTTGCATGATGTTGACGCCATTTTATCGCACTTCCTTTCAATTTTTCACGCATGTATTTTCAACATCATCATCTCCCTCTCCAATCTTCTGTCTCTCTTGCTCACTCGCTCTTGCTCTCTGTCACTGTTCGCTGAATTACAAAGACTTTTCGTACCAATGTTTCTCTGTACCAGCAGTGATTTTGATAAATAAAATTACCCTGCTAGAGCGACAGCTAAGAGTCTAGCTCACGAGACTACAATCAATAAAAAATAATATTAATATTAATTTTTAATTAAAATAATTACAGTGTAATGGGGATTATTTGTACACTGAATACCAACTACTAACAACTAGCCTTCCACAGGATGGGACTCAACTGTATATACATGGATTCTATAGATATATTGGATATATATATTGTGTAAACTTGCAATCACTGGCAACTGGCATACTACACAATACACTGAGCAGTACGGGCACAAGTTACAAGTGCCAGCGACTAAACTTAAAGGCAACTTCGTCGTCGTCACACGAAGTTTGATATGTCTCTTGAAATACATACACTTACACTACGTCTACACAATCTCCGATCACATTCCAAGTCATTGATTGGTGCATTTGGAGTTTCCATCGCCAGCTTCTCCCACATGAGGCTTGCATGCCTCTGAAGTTAGCGGACGTTTCATTTTAAAAATTATTCATTGATAAATAATACGGCTGATATTTTATTTATTGGAAAAATATCATTTTCTATTATGACACTCAAGTCACTTAACAATTTTTTTATTTTATTTATCAAAAAAATTTTCTCCAAAAAATTATTTTTAAAAAATTGCATTTTTTATTTTTTTAAATTTCTACATGTCAATTTTTTTTTCTAAATAATTTTTTAGAAGCATTTTTTTTTTAATTGTAATTGATTTGTTGTAAAAATTTTTAAAATTGACAGCTGACAGGTGACTTCAGTATCATTTTTCTATTTGGAAAAAAAAATTTTTTTTTAATTCATAAATTACGAAGATGATAAGGTAAAAATTAATTACTAATATTAATAAATTATTATACTGACTAAAAATTTTTTTTTCAGTTAATTAAATTACTATGAAAATATTTGCATCTGTCAAAAAAAAATTTTTTTTTTTTGTAATTATAGAATATAGGACAAAAACCAGTGAGATGTTTGCTATTTTTAGTGATATAAATTAAAATATGTCAGGTGTTTTGAGTATGAGACAGACAACTATTTTTAACTGAAGAAATGAAATAATAAAACAGAAATTTTATAAAAAAATGTAAGTAGAAATCTATTGATTATATATAAACAATTTTTAAAAATTCCAACGATACTTACTTTTTTTTTTTTTTTAGAGCGAACTTCATAAATTTTTATGAAAGATAAGTACAAAATTATTTTTAAAATCAAAATATTGAAAGGTTTAATGAATTCCATTTAATTAATTAATTTATTTTTTTTATATATATTATTTTTCAGAATAAGTTAAGTGAACTCTAGTCTTCCTGCTGTAGGTAACTGAAAAAATAGCGCGTAAACTCAAATTTTTTTTATCTCTTCCCAAAGAGAGACAATAAATAAGTTTTTCTTTTGCTATTTGGAATATATTATCAGCTTATCGCGTCAATGTCTCAATAACAATACATACTAACTAAATTATCTTATCGTAGAGAGTAAATAGATTCTTTGATATCCCCTTCACTTCTTATTAATTTACGCGGTTATTATTTTACTCTATACTTAGGATGTCACAATGGAAAGATGGTTGCTTCACCTCTCTGTTTCTTCAAAACACCACAAATATGTGATAATCTTAAAACTAGTTTTCTTCACTCACTGCCATCTCACACATAAGTGTTACTGTTTACATTAAAATGCAATAATTCAAAAATATAATTAGTATAAAATTAAGAAGTTGATATAGGGTCAGAGGTAACCGATTAGGACAATCAATTTAATTTCTTTTCTGTGATAGTATTGTAAGTAAAGTAAGTTTTATACAACTACAACTGTGCAGTGAATCTCATGAGTTTTGTAAACAAATCAATAAATAAATAAATAAATGATGATAATAATAATATAATAGAGATAATGACTGAAGGCTTTTCATTTGTCACTTTCTCTGTCACTGATCAAGTAATGGAGACTGAGTACTTGGAGTCTTCTTGGAAAAATAGAATGCAGTTTTTAAAACGCCGAGTTGTTTATTTGTTTAGAGAAGTAACGAGTAGATATAGGAAGAAAAAAGGATACGCTAGATTTCTCACCGACGAAGAAAAAAGGTAATTGTCGTTTTTTAATTATTACTTAATTAAAATTTTAAAATTACCAAAGTCTTCACTTTGGTTTTAATCTAAATTGATTAAAAATTCTGAATTAATTTATTAAAAATAAAAATAAGAAAAAATTATTTAAAAAATAAGAAATTTTCTCTATAAAAAAATCCTTATCAATTTTATCGTATCTCTGAGCTCTACACGGAAAGAACAAGATGACACTGTATATCATCCTAGATTATACTTAGTAATATTTGTAGTAGGGTGGCGCAAAAAAACCGACTATTTTTTTTTTTTTGAGGCTCGAGTGAAAAAATGTTAGTATTTGATGTTTTAATAGCTCTCTCCACAGGACAGCTTAAAAAAAATTTTTAAGAGGTCGCTCCAAATTTTCTTAAATTTCAAAAATGTTCTTTGGAGAGCGCTCTTAAAACATCAAAAACAGACATTTTTCCACTCGTGACTAAAAAAGTCAAAAATAGTCGGTTTTTTTGCGCCACCCTAATCTGTAGTGAAAAAAAATTTCAGATAGTAGCTAGAAAAATCCGACTATACCGTGATGGTATCAGGCGTTTTGATCCCCCGACAAAATATGGTTTTTCTGAAATAATAATTATAATTATTGAAATTTTCGAAAAATTTATTATAATTATTAAATTATAAATTATAAATTTATAATTATTATTTCAGAAAAACCATATTTTGTCCGGGGATATTTTGTCGGGGGATCAAAAATCATGGAACCACCGTGATATCTGGATTATACTCATTGTGATCTAGATTATACTAGCTACTACCTGAAATTTTTTTTCACTCAGTATAATCTGGGATGATATCCAAGTCATCTTATTTTTTCCGTGTGAGGTATCATAAAAATTTTTTTATATTAAAAAAATTTCACACCAATTTCTTAGTATAATTAATAAAAAAAAAAAAAATATTTAATTTGCAGGTGGTTAGCAAATGCCGAATACGATATATCGACTAGAACCAGCATACCATACAGTTGTTGACGTAATTGAATTAATAAATCATTGTTATATAGTTATAAATAAAAATTAATATTTAATATATTGTATCAGGTGTAATTTTTTTTATTTGTGTTCTCAATTAGCATTCAGTACATCGATGTTTGTTTTACAACTTTAAAACTTTAAATAATTAAATTTATCTTTTTCTCTGTTAACAGAAGGTACTCTCGTGTGGTGTTAGTCGGTGTAGAAAAAAAAAAATATTTTATTAATCATTTTGATTTTCAAGACAACGATAAGAGTAACATCGCTATGTTCTTAATAACTAATGCAAGCGACTAGTCAACATTAACATCAATTGCGATTTAAATAACTGCGAGCTTATTGACAACAATAAAACTATTGCAATTAAAATTAAATTGTTCTTTCAAATAAATATAAACAGCGTAAAGTGCAATTTAAATAATAAATAACAACCTATTAATTAATTGTTTTATTATTATTTACTTTAAGCTTAACGTTGTTTACTTTTGATTACTTAGTTTTTTATTATTATTAATTAAATTTTTAGCTGCACACTAGACTTGCATTAACAGACGTGTAATTTATTTTTTTTAAATAATTTCATTTAAAAAAAAAAATAATATTCCATTTTAAATTATAAATAAACTTAACTGTGCGTAAGCATTGAAAAAAATTTTATTTTTTCTAAGCTTGGTAACTAGTTTGTAATTGGTAACACTAAACCAACAAATTTAATTAATTAATATTAATATCAACTTGTTTGTTTATTTAATTATTTTTTATTTTTTTAATGTATCATCAGTCGATAATATTAACTTGACTGAGAAACCGCGCAATTATTGTACAGAATAATCGTATGTACTGTACTAAGGAATATTATGGGTTGTTTGATTAATTTTTGGGGTAACAAAAGCGCGATCACGTTTTTAGAGACAAAAAAAATGTTATTTGTTTCAAATAAAAGTCGCTTAAAGCTCTTTCTCGATCTTGATAAGCTCGGCAATACCGTCGTGCATTTCTTTAACGGCCTGGTACTCAGTAAGACCAAGACGGCGTTTGTTTGAGATGTCGTAGATTCCACCCTCGGCTTCGGTGTGCTCTCCGCGGGTTCCACGAACTTGGAGGTTGAATTTACCGGCAACTTCCTCGAGCTTGGCTTTGTTAGCGGCCAATTTTGGCACCTTGATGTGCACTGAAGCACGGATGGTGGTTCCAAGATTCGTTGGGCAGAATGTCAAGAAACCAAACCGGTCGTGGTGAGAGAAAGGCAATCTCTTCTCGATGTCGTTTACTGCAGTCACCAAACGGCGGTAGACCTGATTTTAAATAAATAAATAAATAACTTATCAGTTGTATATTTAACTAATTAATAATTAAATTATAGGCTGATCAATTGATGTTACCTGTCCAAGATCTCCACCCATCTGCATTGAAATAATACGCAAGTGATCTTCTTCGTTGCACCAGACGAGGAAAGTCTTAGCATCGTTGTGGTAAATACCACGACCGGTTGGCCAGAATCGGCAGGCGTTGGCAGCCTGGAGGAAACGATCTCCCTCTTTGAAGAGGAAGTGGTCGTCAATGAGCTTCTGTTGAACTTCTTTACTCATTCCAGTTAATGGGTAGAAGGTTCCCTTTAGCTCACCCTCCAGTCCACTCAAGGTGCTTGACACTTTGTCTTCCATCTCTTTGTACTGCGCTTCTGTCAAGCATGGGTTGAAGGGGTAGCCGTCGAGAGAACGACCGCATCTCACACGGGTTGATACGATGTACTCGCCCTGGATAAATACATTATTAATTATCAGTTTAATTTGATAATAATTTAGTGTAAATAATTCTTATTTAAGTGAAAAGAAATTTTTGATAAACAGAAAATATAATTAATTTGAATCAAGACGAAAAATTCTTAAGCCAAGTAAAATTTATTTAAACCTATAAAAATTTCTTAGTTTAAGAAATTTTTCTACTTAAATCAAGAAGATGAAATTCTACAAATTTATTTACTTGATTCAAGTCAATTTTTTTTTTCTGTGTAGTAGCTAATATAATCCAGATATCACGCAGTATAATCTGAATTTTTTTTAGCTACTATCTAAAATTTTTTTCACCACAGATATCACTGAGTATAATTTGGGATGATATCCAGTGTCATCTTGTTCTTTGCGTGTAGAATAAAGAGAAATTTTTTTTTAAATAGACGTGACATTTTCATTTCATTAATAACCGATACACAGTACTCTTGTTTTTTATCCTCAGCAAAAAAGGGTTCTATAAATATGAAAATATATAGAGCAATGTAAAATATAAATACATTAAAAAAAAATTAATTTGATTCAAGAGAAAAATTTTTGAACCAAAAAATCATTTTGAAAAGCTTCATAGTTTTAATTTAAGTTGAAAAATTTTTAACTATGAAATTTTACTTGATTCAAAAATTTTTTGTCTGGATTAAAGAATTTTTTTCGATAATCAAATTAATTTTTTTTTTTTTCAATGTAAAAATTTTATAATATTTTAAATGTATTAATAAATTTGAAGTATTTATACTTTTACAGTAAGATTTTTTTTTTATAAATGCAATTGTATAAAAATAAATAATTTTAATATCACCCTAAATAATTCACTTATAAAATATATGCAGTATAAAAAATATTTACAGTTGGGTCAAGATTGCCAAGAGTATCAACATCTCCAAAGTCCTTTGGAGGGTGCTTGTCAGTCTTCTTGAATCCACCATGGTAGTCATCGATGATGGGGTCGAAGAGATCACCGAACAGAGTGTAAGACTCGGCATCAGGAGCATAGATACCGACACCAGAGTCCAAGTTCTCGACTCCGGATTGGATGACGTCCAAAAGAGAGCAACCAAATCCACTCTTCTTGGTCTTCAGGGCGTCGAAGATTTCCTTGGTGAGGTGTTTCTTCAGCAGAGATTTGCTGTCGGAGTTTTGGAGCTTGGTGAATCCAGCCTCCAATTTGTCCAATACTGCCTGGTCAACCATGTCGTTTTTTTTGCTGCAATTGCAAGATTTTGTTTGTACTTTTGAATTCATGTTTTCAAGGTTTAGAGAGAAATTATGAAATGTATAGTAGTAGATTGATATATAAATAAGTATGTATGTATGTATGTAATTTAACGAGGTTACTATATATAGTATATAGTACAGCTTGTGTTTGTTTTTCGACAGTCAACTGTTGCCAAGATCGTCTTATTTTATTACACTAATTGTTCTAGCGTCTAAGCTCCCTTGCGGCTTTTATTACCTAGCATTAAATCTTAACACCCGATGATAAGATAAATAACCAGTTGACAATAAAATCATGTGAGATGCATAGTAAAAATAAAATAAATTCATTTTTCCTGTTAAATAAATACATTTGTCGCATACACCAGTTTATTGTTTCAGGGTCATTCACTGGAGAAATTTAAGCTATCATATTCATTGAATTGAAACGTTTCAATTTTTTATTGCTTTTTTTTTTATCTTTAGAAATCTGAAATTGAAATCATTGGATTAAATAAAATAATCAAAGTAAAAAATTAGAAAACTTTTAAATAAGTAATCAATATTTAAATTTTTTACTTTAAATTTAACCAAAAATTTTTTTAATTTCAAAATTTCAACTAAATTATTTTTTTAAACATCAATTTGAGATAATGCTAAAAGTTAGCCGACGTTTTTAATTTTTTTTGACTATTTTTAGTTTATTAAATTAAAACTAAAAAATATTTTTTACAAATTACACTTGTAGTTTTTCAAATTTTTTACAAATGAAATTTTTTTTTTATTTTTCTGTAATGATTTTTTCAATAAAAAAAAATTTTCAATTTTTAAACGGCTAACTTAATTTTCATAAATTTGAGTTAATAAAAAATTGTGTACAATGAACTTAAAAATTTTTTTTCATATGTACATACTTTTAAATAATTTTTTTTTAACAAATAAAAATTTAATTGAAAAAAAAAACTAACATTTGCTATTACTTAAAATGATACTAAAGTTAGCCGACGTTTTTAATTTTTTTTTAATAATTAAATTAGAAAAAAAAAAAAAATATTTTTTTAAAATTGCACTGCCAGTTTTTTACAAATGAAATTTTTTCAATAAAAAAAAATAATAAAAATTTTCAGATGTCGGCTAACTTAATTTTCATTTACTTAAAATACTTCTAGTTATTTTATTATTTTTTTTTTTTTAATTCCAACAAAAAATCAAAACGTATCTTCCCAAATCCAATAATTTTTTTCACTAGAAAAATGATCCTGAAATAACAAAAAAAAAAAACATTAAATAAGAAGAGGGTGTGCTTGTGATACGTACTCATCAGCCGGAGCTGTATCCTTGGACGTGCATCCACCCATGATTGATAAAAAATCAACTTACTCAAAGCACGTGCACTTATTTAAAAAAATCCTCGTAAAAAATGTAAAAAAGTCAACTAATATTATCTAAAATTAGTGGTCCCAATCCCAACACCGTAAATCACTGAATCATATAATATAATATATTTCTTCTTAAGTTGTAAATAATCAATATATAATAATAATAGTATTAAATATAAATATTTATATGTATATAAGTATAAATACAAGTAAAGTAGAAAATACAAAAGTACAAATGCGTAAAGAGGGTGCGGTGCGTAAGAGTCGCGACGTTAAACAGTATTGTACATATATTACACCGACAACGTACAACACAATGCAACCAATTGCTCGTCAAGTATCAAGTACAAAACCACTACACTTTTTTTAAAATCCTTCACCGACACTATCAAGACAAAAGATCTCAACAAAGATAAAGATTATTATATTTATGGTATAATTATTATTATACTTAAAAGTCTTCAATATATCTTCAGAAGATATATATATATATATATATATGGATATACTTTCAAAGTTAGGTATAAAATTATCAATAAATAGTAAATTTATCTCAAAAATACGGACTCTACTCTTACTAGACGTTCGTTAGATGATGTAAACACAAATCACTTATTTTATTTATTAATTTATCTGGTATGTAATATGTACGTTGATCTTTTGTTTTATCTTTTCAGGTAGAGCAGTCTATCTTGTCTATCTAAGTATCAAGAATCTCAAGTGTAGCACCAACAGAATGTTCCAACAAAGAGTAAAGTTAAGTCCTGGTCTTTGAACGTTGAGCGTACGAGCTAATAGTGTAACTATAACGCTAGTAGTGTCTAGTAGTATTATAGTAGGGTGGGGCACAAAGCCAACAGAGCCAGAGCCTGGTCACAGAACACCCTCTGTCTGTTACTCTCCATATAATATCCGCGACGGGAATCCGCGCCCGTCGCGCAGTCTATAAGCTGATACAGTGCGCACTGGATTCCAGGGTGGCTCCTGCCGGGCACGCACCGATTTAAAGCTAACTTCATAAAAACCCAGCTATACTGGTTACTGGAGTATACCTGCACCCGAACCCAACGGTCGATAGTGCGACGCATCCTTACTCGTGAAAAACGTACCCTGTCACTTGACACGCTTGCGCAATTAATAGTTTTTTTTTTTTTTTTTTTTTTTTTTTTTTTTTTACAGGCGATTGTTATTTACAACAATTATAAAATATTAATTGTTATCTTTATTGATGTAATTCTGCGATAAGATAGTGATTGCTAAATTCCAAGGATTAGTTTATAAACGTGCAATTAAATTAAAATTTACTAGAGAAATTATTTTTTCATGAATAAATTATGATGAAAATTAATTTAACAATTTTTCTAACAAATTATGGAAAAAAAAAATTGACAAAAAAAAATCCAATTTTTTAGAAATCATTTTTTGAAGCAAAATTATTTATTAAAAAACATTAAAAAATTGTCAAGCGACTGCTAACTTTAATGTCATTAAAGTTAGCAGTATGATAATAAATTTAGATATTTAATAATTTTTTTTTTAACAAATAAATTATGACCAAAAAATAATATAAAAAAATATGACACTGAAGTTAGCAGACGTCTAAAAATTTTTAATTTTTTTTATTACATAAATTACAACTAAAAAGATATTTGTAAAAAATTGCACTTCTAGTTTTTAAAGTTTTTTAGATGTGACATTTTTTTTTTTAATTGTTAAATTGAAATTGTTTCAATAAAAAATTTCTAAAAGTTTTAAAATGTCGGTTAACTTCATTTTCATAAAAAAATTGACGTAGAAATTTAAAAAAATTAAAAATGCAATTTTTTTAAAATAATTTTTTTTGTTAACATAAATTAAAAAAATTCTCTAGTGACTGCTAATTTTAATGTGATGTTAGAAGTCGCTTGACAATTTTTTAAAAAATAAATTTTCTCTGAAAAATTATTTCTAAAAAATTGGATTTTTTATTTTCTAAATGTCAATTTTTTTTTCTCATTTTCTTTGACAATTTATTTGTAAAAAAATTTTTTAAATTATAAAATATCTGCTAAATTAATTTTCATAAATTATATCAAGGTTCCAACGCACAAATTTTTTTAATGAAGATGATACTCTGAAGAAGAAATGAAAGATTTGTGTTAAATTTAAAGTAATAGAAAAATTGTATGATATGTCTTCTTTTTTCAGTGTCATGAATATTGAACTAACCTGACCGTGAAAAATGTACGTAGAAATTGAACTGTAAATCCGATGTCTTTAATGCGATATTGATTGGTTATGTTTATGCACACCAAGGACAATTTATTTATATTTTTAAAATCGAATTTCAGCATTGACACAGGAAATACTAAACTGGTATTCTTTAAATTAACGTGATGGGATTCACTGATATGATATAAAGAGACGAGAAGTGAAGGGTAAAAATATTGTGACGCTCGGCGAGAATTTATTTTTGGATAAGTACTGCTGTACACATGTAGCTTACATAGTTGTCTAATGATTCCCGGGGGTTCGTGATGGACTTGACTCTTCGTTCCGAGAATAGCGTACCAGGCTCTTCCTTTCTTTTTTTTTTGTTTTTTTTTTCTATGACATTCCAAATATTTCAACTTACAAAGTAAGCTATAGACAACTAACGGTATCGTATGACATTGCATGTATTATTTTATTTTATTTTAATAATGAAAATATCAGGTACTAAAATTTATTTTGAATAGAAAAATAAATTTTTAAATAAATTAAATTTATAAAAAATTAATTATAAATTTTTTTTCATTTAAATTTATTCCAAAAAATAAATTGTCGGATGTCTGTAATTTTTAGTGTCATAAAATTAATAACTTTTAAGATTAAAACCGTGAAGAAAAGGCCAAGAATAAATTATTAAAACCTACAATTAATTATGTGTTTTAGTAAAAAAGATGAGCCGAAATTACAATGATAAATTTAGTAGCTCGTCATATCAGCTTGTTCATACTGATGTACATACTTGACGCGCATAAATGATCAATTTCCGTTTTAAATTACTGAGCATAGCATATAATGCGTCATTTAAAATTGTGTCTAGTGTTATCCAGGCAAATCTTTGCAAATTTTCTCATATTAGCACATTTAGAACGCTCATGCCTGCCAGAATAAATAAAACTTATTTATTTTGTTCATTATATTACTCATCATTATGGTTGTTATTATCAAGAAATACAATCCTATCGATATCTGACATACCAAAGATATCCAGCGATCGAATTTATATTATCAGATTATTTATCGCTCAACTTAAATATAAATATACTATCAACATACATACTGTCAACTTGATTTACTAACTTTTACCGAAATTTATTAGTCTGGGTGTCTGATTGCGAGCCAGACACTCATCACCAATTACAAATAAAATGTCTACGCTATTTTAAATCCAGGAAGATCAAAAATAACCAGAGAAAGTTTTTAAAAAATATCATTTTAACGGAAGGGTTGAGCGCGTCGATCACGAGTTATGTAACGACTGCACCCACTAAAAAATAATATCCAAATAATTATTGGACTGTGAAATTCTATACAGTAATTATTATTTAAATGATACTACTACTTATTATTATTTTATTAAATCTATAGTCACTTATTGATTTTAAATTACAGGTTCTAACGTCATAGTGATTTACAAAACCAGGAAAAAAAAATCCGCAAAATTGAAGAAATAAATCCGAATTTGAAAAATGAAGCAAAGAAAGAAATTTGTAAAAAAAAAATAAGAGTAAAAATAAACTCACCCTTGCAGCTGAATGAAAAGAATACAGAAGAACAAGCTTAGTAGCAGAGATGCAGGAAGAAAATAGAAACTTCAAGTTTAGTTATTATTGATAAATAATTTAATATATAAATATTAAATATATACGTGTAGAGGAACACGGATCGGAACGAAATGCGTTCTCTGAGTTTGGCTTCGACTACTCGGACTCTCGGGTCTCTTCTACACTCTTCTACTCACAAAACCTCCCCCTCCCTCTCTGCCTATAGCTTATTCTTGCGCCCCGCCGAGTACCGATTTACTGGGTCTATACATAGTACCACACAATAATCTATACATATACAAGTACAAATACATTTATAAAACATACCAATACATACTTGGTACTATTCAGCCCTTCTTTCACGGCAACTGCTGGCCTTCAACTCCCACTTAGACAGAATCGCTCATTGAATTTAGTGTTCATCAATTTCCGGTTGATTATTATTATCATTACCAATAATATCTCATTTCCTGAACAAATCTATGCACAGAACATAAAACAGAGTCTAAGCAGCTCATCGGATTTCACACGTTCAAGGACTATTAGTCTGGCTGTAAGCTAATTTAAAAACTCGTTAAATTGCATTAGTTTTATTAAACCTAGAAGACAACAAAAAATACAGGTAAATTTTAATACAGATTCATTTATACATCTGTATATGTGCAGAGAATCAAAGTATGAATGTTACGAAATCAGCTGTTATGCGCGGTTGCTCTAGGTCATGCAGCTATCATCCCACACAATTTCCACCACCTACCACCCTTTTTTCTCAGCATCACTTACTTTGCGCAGCTGCTTGCCAACCCTCTACATTAAAGCATACATGTATTGTGTCTTTCTACTCGAGATGCAAACTTGATCTCACAGCTCGTGGGAAAATGAGGGTCACGATAGCTAAATCAATATTATGTGGTCATAATTATATCTGTCTATTTCGAGCCTATACTTCTCTTATCCCATTGAATTGTTTTATTTTATTAAATTATTTAATTTAATTTAATTCAATTTCATTGGATATAGAGTTTAATTTAATTTTTTTGATTTTTAGGAAGTTTATTTCTTCTATTACCAAGGTGATGGCAGTTTTTATTTATTTATTTCTTTTTATACAACCCAACAGCCAAAAGGACAATAACAGGGTCTCTAAATAAGTTAATACAAATTACAAAGTATAACTTAACTAGGTATTATTAATAACACCGTTAATTTTGTTTTTTGTTTTTTTGAATTTTTTTTTTTTATTTCTTCCTTTTTAATTTTTTCCAGGCATCGCCAAATAAACCTTTCTGTGTATAATTTCTGAGCCAAAATTCTCAGATTTAATAATTTATAATTAATATCTTATAATTTAAAGTATGTACTAATATTCCAAAAAATATAATATCATATTATAATTGTAGGAAGTTATGGATAGGATTAATAATAAATAAAGTGAAAAACAATATTATTATCCACATAGAGTGATTCAAATAGAATCTTTATTTTAAAGAAAAGAATCGTATCGAGAGAAGTGTCGTTACTTGACAGAGTTTAGTCGCAGACTAACTATAATGTTAAAAACATGTTTTTCTTCTTAACTAAGACCATAATATTTGATTATACTATACAGTGTAAAATAGAGAGTCCTTTGTACAACTCAAGTACCTAAGGTCATTAAATCAAGCCTATACAGGCTTTCTTATTCTAGCTGCACAAATGTGCCTTAAATGTGTTTTTCACATATAAAAACTAATAAAAGAAAAATTCGTTATTTTTCTAAAATAAATATTTCTAAGAACTAAATATATAAAATATAAAACTAAAAGTTTGTAACTGGAATTTATTTTTGCTCAGAGAATCCAACAATAATTAATTATAATAATACCAAAGTTAGCCGACGTTTTTAATTTTTTGATTTTTCTTCATTAATTCAATTAGAACAAAAAAATATTTTTTAAAAATTGCACTTACAGTTTTTCAAGTTTTTTACAAGTGACATTTTTTAAAAATTTTTTTTCTACCAATTTTTTTAATAAAAAAAAATTTTTTTAATTTTTAGATGTCGGCTAACTTAATTTTCAGCATATAATTATAATAAATAAAAATTGATTGAAGATGTTTAATTAAAGATGTGAGGAATAGAATGCAATTTTTAGTTTTTACTCAAGTATTTCCGTAATTATGAAATATATAATGATAATGATAATGAAGTTAGACTTATGTAAAAACGCCCACTATGCGAAGAGAGTCTTTATTTAAAGACCTTGGCTAGTGCCAAAGGCCTTCAACCTAGTCTAAAAAACAACAATCCTATGAGATTATAATTCGTTAAAATTTTTCAGTGTTGGCACCTGCTTTTATTTAAATCTAAATAATATTTCGGTTATCAAATAACTCAAAGTCCTTCACTTTGTTTTAAAATCATTATTTATTGTTGGTAAAAATTTATTATATTTATTTTTATTTATATATATATATATATATAAGTTAGTTTTAATGATAAATTCTTTGTTAAATTTTTTTCAGGTATATAAATTACTGATGAGCCTTATTACGTAATGTTTTTTCGGGCTTTGTTTTATTTATAAAAGTAAATTATCTGGCAAGGCTATGGATACGGAAAATTTATAACCGAGTTGATGTATCTTTGTAAGTTATTACTCTTATTATTATTATTATTATTGTTTTTATTACTGCTATTGTTTATAAGAAGAATATTGTCAGGGGTATAGCCACGCGATCGATCAGCCGACCGTGTGTAAGACCGCGAGTAATGTTTGCATTACTTCGCGACTTTGCTTTTTTGTTATTTAATATTTAAATATAATTAGATTTTATGTTTATTAATATACTCTTCAAATTGATTTTTAATAAGCGATTAATAATAAAAGAAGAAATATATTGATTTTAATGTTATAGTTTATGAAGCTATGGATTATAAAAGTTACACTTTATTAAAAATTTAATAACTATATTTTTATGAGGCTTTAAAACTATTTTAAGTTATTATTTATGAATTATAATAATTATGTATAAATAAATTATTTTATAGCTTCAATTTATAGAATTGTTTATAAGATTTTAAACATTTTGGAGAAAAAAAATTATAAATCAATAATTTATAAGTAAAATTCAATTTATTTAAAGAAGAAATAAAATTGCAAATTGTTATTATTATAAATTATAAGTAACTTTTATAAATTTTACAACAAAAATAAATCTAAAGTTACCAGTGGAAGATAAAATACAACCACTTGTAGATACTAGATCAGCCGCTGCTGGATTTCACATGAAAATTTCGTTATCGACTGTCCGATAACTAAACAATTGTTTAAAAATTATTTTTTTTAATACAAATAATATTAATTATAATACAGTTTAATTAAAAAAATTAATACAGCGAGAGATCAATAATTAATGAAGAAATAATACAAAATTTGTCAGGCACGTGACAAAGAATGTATAAAGCGATGAAAGGTACAATTTTAATCAACAATAAGTAATTTAAAAACCTCCAGAGTGTAATTTTCTAGTCGACATATATTTTCAATGTTTATTTTTTAAAACTGTCAACTATTTCATGGATTATTATGTCTAAGACGCGTGGCGACACGTGACTTTACCGCAGATCAATTTGTCACTGCTCTTATTTTAAACTAGTCTTCCTATACGTCATCGAGTACAATTATTGGAGTATGTGTGTGGATTAAAAAATTTATTATCTGAAATTTAAATAGAACCTTTAGCTCAAGATCTCCGACCCGAGTAATATAAAGTAACACAACAGAGAAAAGTTAGCATGGGAGGAGCCGAGACTATGGATTTTCTGAGGATCAGGTGCAGACACATCTGCAAAATTCCAGCACCATTTATGCGCCAGGAACACTTGAACATTTTTATTGATTTAAAACACAGAGAAGTATGTTTAATTGTTTAATTAATATTTTTTTGTACTATTTTCAGGTAATTAATTAGAAGAAATAGTGAAGAAATCCCAAGAATTTAACTTTTCTTCATGTTTAAATTTTCTATACTGATGGAATGAAATTTTGATTGATGGAAAATTTATAAAGAAAAATTGAGGCCTAAATGGCGGCTTTGGAAAAAAATAGTAGGCGTGTTATCTGTAATCACGCATGTTGATTCTCAATTGGTGGTCTCGACAAAAAGTTAAATTCGAGGGTGTGGCTTGTTTGAGGGTGGAAACTACCCTTAACCGCGCAGAGTCTCTCTCGCCCCATGGACCAGCGTTAATTCTTATCAGATATCTTATACTCGCTCTCTTGTGTACTTGACAATTTACACAAGTGTAATTGCTGAAAAATAGAAAAATTGTTTTAGTTTTGTAAATTTAAAATTTTAAAATAAATAAATTAACAAAATACATTTTTTAAAATTAAAAATTATTTTGGGATACTCTTATAGTTTTTTTATGTAAATAATTAGACTATAAAAAATATCTATTTTGATAGATTATAAAAAATATTTATGGAATTGTAATTGTGTGATAGTGTAATAGTCATAAATAAGAAATATTGTCACCCTGGAACTATTAAATGGAATATTATAGTAAGTACACGCATCGAATACATACAAATGGCTAGTTTAACATAAAAATTGCCAAAATATTTTCCCGCAGTGTTTACAACTCTTATAAATTTTTAATTTATCTTAAATAACTCATGACTTTTGTACGGAGATATGAAAACGTCGATTTTACACTGATTTTAAGGGTCGAAGCCAAGGGGATATTTTGAGATTTATTTCTGTGCTTTTTATACAAATAAATAATAATGAAAAACTAAAAAACGCTTTAATAAAAGAGTATAAAATAATGTTTAATGAGTTTAAAATAAAAAGAATGATTAACAAAAAAATTAATTTTATTGTAAAAAAGCGTGAGGTGCTTTTTAAGATATTTCAATAATGACTCAACTTTTACCAATAGTCAATAAAATATTTACAATAATTTGCATCAAGCACCCCGAGCTTTTTTACGATAAAATTAATTTTTTTGTTAATCACTCAATTCTTATTTTAAACTAATTAAAAATTATTTTCTACTTTTTAGTTAGCTTTTTTATTAAACCGTCTTTTTAACTTTTTTAAACAATTATTTATTTTCTACTTTTTAGTTCGATTGGCCGTCAAAGCGTATATTTTACTTTTTCAAGCAATAATTTTTAAAAATTGTAAAACGTAGGAAAGGTCCCTGGTTGATCCTGCCCTTAGTCATATGCTTGTCTCAAAGATTAAACTCTGCATGCGTTAGTACACGCCTTAGTACTTGGGGCATCAAGACACTGTCGTATCTTCGGATATAAAAAACCGGAAATCCTGAAGATCCTGGTCAGGATCGGGACAAACTTATTTAATTATTGTATTGTCATCGGTCCTTGATAAGTGTGCAAAGTTTTAATTTAATCCGACGTTTTGGTGGCCGGAAATCGAGTTAACGATTCCGTTACATACATAGATACAGGAAGAATTGATAAAACCGCGTTAAAAATATAAACTAGATAACAATAAAATAAAATAAAAGTACAATGAAAAGTAGATAATTAGTTATCTAAATATTTGGCAATTGTTATGGGAAAAAAACCAAAGGGGTAAACTATTGATCCGTATAATCAAATCACAACCCTATTTTACCGAATAAAGACAAATATTGAGACAAATAAAATTTTCCAGATAAAAATAAATGAATAACTACAATATTTACAATAATAACTATAAAATGGAGCGTGAAGCATTGCACCCAATAACGACCTGTTGTAATTTGAGCCAGTCTCGCAGTCGTAGGTTTGTAATTTTGATAAAAGAAAATTTTAAATTTCGGATAATAAAAACTAAATTTTTGCAGAGAAAGAGAAAATTCAATGAACGTAAGCCACAGCGGCTCTAACGGGATGAACTCAACGGGGTCATTGAGCACACTTTCGAGAGAAGAGCGCCGTCGGCGTAGGAGAGCTACTCAAAAATATCGAACTGCACACGCAACTCGGTAATGATTTTAAATTAATATACTATGACTTATTACTTGTGATATTTATTGAAAAAAAAAAAAAACTTAACTAGGGAGCGAGTAAGGGTAGAAGCGTTCAACTTAGCATTTGCTGAACTGAGAAAATTGCTACCGACTTTGCCGCCCGATAAAAAGCTGTCCAAGATTGAGATTCTTAGGCTGGCTATTTGTTACATCGCGTACCTAAATCACGTACTAGAAGCGTAAATAAGTGTAATTATTTGAATTTTATATTTAATTGACCAGTTTAATAAAGTAATAAGTTTATCTGGGAATAATTAACCAGTTTTATTTATAATTAATTGATTTAAAGCGATCTAGCGGGCATCTGTTCCCCAAAAAACGGGATCGGCGATTCCCTCAGGGTTACTTTAAGCTCACAACTTTTTTCCTTTATGTTGTATTGCATCTACGTTAAGTGAAAAAGAATGAGATTACGGAGGCCAACTTCACGGATCGTCGCCCCTTCTGGCCCCATCAATTCTTTCCCTGTTGTATAGTGTTATATTGTAGTTTCCTAATTCACGAGTACTCCACGATTTAACGTTCCATCGGACCTTAGAGTAATCCAATAAAGATACATCTCAATCCATCAAACTAAATATCTTTTTTTATTGCTCAATTATTGATGATCATCCTCGCGTCTATTCTATGTCAAATAGATTTTCAGCATATAAATGACAAAATTTAGTTTTGCTATTCATTTATATTGTTTAATGGTTGTCTTCGTCGCTCAATTGGATTACAATCACAAGGTAAGTCGTTATTGATCCAGCAAACTGAAAATGTTTAATTGAATAATTGTTTCTTTAAAATAAAATTTAAAACACTCTTCTTCAGATTTATGTATAAAATTAATAATGAATTAAACTTAAATTTCCAAATTATTTAAAAAAATTTTTATGTACAATTTCATGAATTGATATTTATAATTTATATTATTGAGAATAAGAAAAATTTTGTGTCCAGAATAGTCATGAAGAAATGACCTTGTATCTCGTGAACTATTGACATTTTTAAAGATATAAACTCATTCCGATGTTACACTCATCAAGACCTTTCATTTGAGTACCCACATCAATTTTTCATATATTTATATATATTATATATATGTATACATGAAAAATATATCAAAATGCATGTGGGTACTCAAATGAAAGGTCTTGATGAGTGTAACATCGGGATGAGCTTATACCTTTAAAAATGTCAATAGTTAAGAAAGTACAGTTCAATTTAACATAATTAAAAAACGACCTTGTACCTTGTGAACTATTGACAATTTTGAAGATATAAGCTCATCCCGATGTTACACTCATCAAGAGCTTTCATTTGAGTACCAAATATAATCAAAATGCATGTGGGTACTCAAATGAAAGGTCTTGATGAGTGTAACATCGGGATGAGCTTATCTCTTTAAAAACGTCAATATTTAAAAAAAATACAGTGCAATTTAACAAAAGTCATTATTTAATAAAGCAAAATTTTATTTATTTATAGTTCACAAGTCACGGCAGTCATATAGTGACTGCAAGATTACTAGCAATTGACTAATTTGTAACTTAAAGTTTAATTCATTAGTAAATAATAAAATATGTAAGGGATTAGATGTAAAAATATTTTACATAATAATAATAATAATAATAATAATATTCTAATACACTAAATTTAGTATATTAATATATCGACGGTACTTTGGTAAAACCACGTATCTTCTATGTATTTAAAATGAGAGATACGAGGTTTTACCAAAGTACCGTCGATGTGTGATTTATATGTATTTAAACTTTGTAAAACACTTGTGTGATAGAAATTAAAACCATTAATTTATATTTATTTAAATATTTCGAAATTTAGAATTATTTTATACTTACATTTCGTATTAATTTGTAACTGAGATTTATTAATCCGCAAGGTGTGAAGATTAATGGATTTTTAATAATTTGGATTGAAAATCGCTGAATTTCTTCACTGAAATCAGTACCATGTGATTTTATTTCCAGTTTATGAATTAGTTTACCGGTTCGCTTCCACTGAAAAATAATATTCATTGTTAATTTTAAATTTTAAATAATTAATTTCATCAATTTCGTTTAAATACCTCACATATTGTTCCGGAACAGGTATAATTAATGAAGATAAATTTAAAACTACTGTGCAAAACCCAACTTGTAAAAATTATACTGTAGGATACTTTTTGAATAAATGTAATTTCTTCATTTACATTCGAAGAATATACATTGTAGAGCATTGTCGTTATCAATATAAACGACGAAAGTATTGTCATAATCAATTGACATTCAAATATTTCGGTGATATCATTACAAATATTTGTCAGTTCTAAATGCGCGTTTCTGAAGAAAAAAATTTATTTAGAAATAAATAAATATAAATAATTTTATATCTATAAAACTTACTTTAGAATTTTAAAAACAACGAAAGAATGCTCCGGTGTTTTTTGACGAGTAAAATGATTGTTTACTTCTCTATTCAAGTTAATGACTGGTAAATTGTAACTATATATAATTCGGAACTTCAAAAGCGCTTCGTTAACAGATTTGAATCGAAGCTTCATGAGTAAAATTAATGAACAAAATGTAAAATCAATTAAAGCATTTACGTGCATTGGATGTTGGATAATAAACGCCATCATAATCTTCCTGAGAAAGCCTTTAATTTGAACACTTGATAACAAAGCTACGATGATGTTAAGTATAAAAACGCTTATTATCCAAATGACGATTAGCTTCAATGAATAATTGTAACTTTGTTGTCTGTTAACGGGAACTCCCAAATATTCAAGACTTTTGTCTATTTTTGAAATTTTTTTATTGATTATACACGCTCTCTAAAAAAAAAAAATGGTTAATACTTAATCTATGTTATTAAGAGAATAAGCAAAATTTTGTGGCCATACTCTAGATACATAATTAAAAAATGACCTTGTATCTCGTGAACTATTGACATTTTTAAAGATATAAGCTCATCCCGTAGTTACACTCATCAAGGCCTTTCATTTGAGTACCCACATGCATTTTGATATATTTTTCATATATATATATATATATACACATATATATAATAAAAGGTCATTTCTTAATTATTGACATTTTTAAAGATATAAGCTCATTCCGATGTTACACTCATCAAGACCTTTCATTTGAATACCCACATCAATTTTTCATATATTTTATATATTTATGTATATATGAATATATGAAAAATATATGAAAATGCATGTGGGTACTCAAATGACAGGCCTTGATGAGTGTAACTACGCGATGAACTTATATCTTTAAAAATATCAATAATTAAGAAATGACCTTGTATCTTGTGTACGATTGACATTTTTAAAGACATAAGCTCATCCCGATGTTACACTCATCAAGACCTTTCATTTGAGTACCCACATCAATTATTTCATATATTTATATATATTACATATATGTATATATGAAAAATATATCAAAAATGCATATGGGTACTCAAATGAAAGCTGTTGATGAGTGTAACATCGGGATGAGCTTATATCTTTAAAAATGTCAATAGTTAAAAAAGTACAGTGCAATTTAACAAAAGTCATTATTTAATAAAACAAAATTTTATTTATTTATAGTTCACAAGTCTCGGCAGTCACATAGTGACTGCAAGGTTGCTAGTAGTAAATAATTAACAACAATTGATTAAATTATAAAAAAGGATACTTACATTTCTATAAAATCGGCCAAAGAAAATATTAACTGCCAGTATTAAAAAATTGACTAAAACAACTAAAAAGTATATTCGAACATTATTGTTAAACGTGTGAGCACTATTGCTGTACCACAATGCTATATAAGTTAAAATAGAGCCATAAATGCTTATAATGAAAATTAAGTATAAAAATTTTTGGGCAAAATTAAAACCACTTGCAGAATATCTGATCATTTGATGACCGAAAATCCAGTTGAACGTCAAAATCGGCAACAATGACTCGGTTAAATTCTTTGGCTTGCACTTAATTCCAAACATTGAGAAAATTTTTACTCTGTTGCAATGTTTAATGTATGTGATATAGGTGATATAATACCAGCAACTAAAAGCGGGCAATTCATTAGCGGTAATTATGATTTTATCTTATGTTCATGTACTTGGCGCAACTAATTCATTAATAAATGTTCCCAGTAGATTATCAACTTTAGTAATTAATTACTATTTTAATTTATAGTGAAACTGCTATGATTATTATTCATGATATGTATGGTATGTTCAGTATGATCTTCATTTTATTATTTATTATATGGATTTGGCGCCATTTGGATAAGAATAATTAGATATGTTGTTATTGTTCCAAAAAACTGTAAAAATATTTATTCTGATAAGAAGAAGAAGAAGAAGAAGAAGAAGAAGAAGGATGTTCAATATTTTACTTACGTCGCGCATAAATGGAAAGCCCAGGTCGATAAATCCGCACGGGGAAAATTTTAATGGATTTTGTAACATTTGCAGAGAAAATTTTTGAATTGTCAAACAAAGGTCAGTGTCTTCAGACTTTGATTTTAAATTGTGAATTATTCTTCCAGTTTGACTCCACTATAAATAGGTTTTTGTATTAATATAAATATATAAAACGTATACAATATTTATATAGGACTTAGGAAGAAATTTTTTATTAAAAAGTATGTTAATTACAATTATACTTAAGTAGTTGGAAATTTTTATAAAATTATAAAAGTTTAAATATTAATTATTATTCGATAAATAATTAAAAAAATTTATAAATTTTATAATTTAAAAATTTAAGGTGCTTTTTTTGGAATTATTTTGAAGAAATATAAATTTATATTTTCTATTTAATTCCATTTATAATCTAGTTTTTTGTCACTTTTCAAAATCAAAATTTAATAACGACAGTTAAGAAATATTTTGGTATTTTTTTGTCTAGAATTACTTGAAATTTTTAAAAATTTTCATAAATTTTTTAATTGTTAAATTAATAACAACTTTGCTAGGACCTGTTTAAAAGCTAGCTTCAAAAATACACACCTCATGTACCGTTTTAGCAGCAATATAATTAATAAATTGAAAGTTAATAACATTAACAATCATCCAGCTTGAAAGAATAAAACTTTCATAAATTTTGTCAGAATTAATGACTTTTGGGTTGCGAGCCGTCAGGTACAAGTCATAAGATAAGGATGTAATTAATACAAATGAAGAAACTATGGTCATTATCAGCTGAACTCCAAATATGTGAGTGATTTTTTCACAAAGTGATGTCAACTCCAAGTGAATATTTCTAAAAATAATGTAAATAATTATCAATCGATAAGACTAAATAATTTAATTGAGTTTAAATCTTTCTATCCATACATATACTGAAGTAATTAATAAAAAAAACTTACTTGAGTATCCGAAGATTATGATTTAGCCGTGTCGAAGTTTGGCTCAAAACAATGCGATTCTCCGTTATTGATTCATTATTTTCAATTAATATTGAATCATTACTTTGCAGTGTTATAAATTTCCCAAGTGCCTTGTTGATCTTCCGAAACCTGAGACACATGTGTCGTATCAACACGCAATACGTCAAACTGAAAAGGTAATTCATGTGAATCGGATGGTTCAACGCAAATATGGCAAAAGTATCAGCTACTGCATCGTCAGAAGAAACGCTCCAAAGAACACTCATTAGATTAAGCAGCAACGCGGTAATTATGAAAATAATTGTCACAATAAATGAGTAACTGAAAGTTTTTTGGCAATTTACTGCAACTCCCAAATCTTCGAGTTTTTTGTCGACTTTTAAACTTCTGTCATAAATCATCAGTGATTTCTATTAAAAAAAAAATGATTAATTTAGTAAATATAATTTTTCAAACTTTTAGAAGAAAACACTGACCTTTTTGAAAAGCAATCCAAGAATTATGTTGATGCAAAATATCAAAAGGCTGACACCAGTGACGATCCAATATAGGTTTTCTTGATAAGTCACTATCGTTTCACTTAAAAAGTACACCAGAGAAAAGCTCCAAGAAACAGTGTAAACACATATTATAAATATAAAGTACGGAAATTTTTGCAAAAATATAAAATTCCTGTTAGGGTATTGGATTAATTGGTTACCAAATATCCAATTGCACAACAAAATTGGCAGCAATGATTCCGTCAGATTACTTGGTCTGAAGATTCTCTCGAACATTACACTGATACTGATGGACACGCTCTTTGGACGTATAACGCACGACTGTTACATTTTATTTAATACTCTTGCTTTTATATTTTTTTTATGCTTATAATTCTATATATAACTGGAGTGGGCTAATCCATTAACTTATTCATTAGTGCTGACCTAAGTTAACAATAAATAATTATCGTTCAATATTTCATTTTCAAATATATTTACACACAATATAATATTTAATGATAATAATGAATAAAATGCATTTTTTATTTTTAATGCAATGTGTAATTATTTTTAGACATTTAGTAGTAGGTATTTTGTATGAAATTTATCAAGCTTGCATTCCAGGTTTTGATCATTATTAATTCAGTGTTCACACGTAAAGTGTCGTACAAAATATTGTTTTTATTTTTAAGATCTATTTTGTTAATTAAATTATTAATTTAATAAGGAAATATTTTTAGCATGTTAAAAAATTAATGACAGTAGTTAGCAGTCATTAGAGAATTTTTTAACAAACAAATTTGTTCCAAAAAATAATTTTAAAAAAATTGCATTTTTTACTTTTTTAAATTTCTACATGTCAATTTTTTTTACCCTAATTTATTTGTTAAGAAAAAATTCTTGAATATCTGCTAAATTTATTTTCATTTAATTTTAACATGTGGAATTTTTTTATTAAATTTTTTTTTACAGTTATTTAATTACTTTAAAATTCTAAAAAAATTTCTGTCTGTCATAAAAATTAATTTAGTATATATTTAATAATTTTGAAAATTTTATAGCAAATAAATGATGGCAAAAAAAATTTAAAAAAAAAAAAATTGACATGTAGAAATTTAAAAAAATAAAAAATGCAATTTTTTTAAAATAATTTTTTGGAGCAAATTTTTTTGATAAATAAAATTAAAAAATTGTTAAGTGACTTCAGTGTCATAATAGAAAATGATATTTTTCCACTAAATAAAATATCAGCCGTATTATTTATCAATGAATTTTTTTTGCTATAATTTATTTGTTAAAAAAATTATTTAATATCTGCTAAATTTATTCTTATAAAAAATTGAAGAAATAATTTTTGATAGTTGAATTAAAAAATGTAAATATTTTATGTCAAGTTGTTGAATAGATAAAAATTGAAAGTGACAGTGCAAAGAAAATGTCACTCACTTTGGAGTTGACGACAACCCGGTAGTTATGATTATGAACAATCTGAAGTACGTTTGAAGGTGTAAATGTGTTGAAGCTATCGTTAATATTATTTGGAGGTTGTATATTTTAGTCATTTTCACGACACAATATTCCCAATTCTAAATGTATCCCTCTGGGAATAACATATAAGCTGCGCGGGATACAAAATATAATTTTCATAAGCGTAACTATTATTTATATCGCTAAATTTTAAAGATAAATTTTCTTATCAAAAATCAAAGAGCTAATTTATAATTCTATAAATTTTACTATTAAAATATTTATAAGATCAAAGACTAAATGTGCTTTTTGTTTTTAGCAAAATCATAAATTCAAAATTATTCATGAACCGCTAGATAATTTGGAGACCAAAAGTCCGGCCTGTGTAAAAGTAGAGAGCAACGACACGGTTAAACTTTTAAGCTTATAAATCATTCCAACATAACTGATGAAAATATACTATTACACACTTGTGACTCTGACGCGTATAACTTATGTGACAATTACACGAGCGTTGTATTTAATTAAACTCTAGTTTTACCTTTTTTTTTACACTATATGTGTATAAATATAGAACTTCCATTAACAAAGTACTGTAGAGTTTACATAAATTAATTACTGTAATTAATATTTTGCTTTTATTACAGATAATTATCTTATTCACGCGTCATTTACAGCAGTTTCATTGAAAGAGCTGTACAACACAGTAGTTTCATCCGAAGTTTGAATAAGAATAAGAAGTTGGGCGGTCACGGCTCCTGTAAACTATCAGAAAAAACAATTTTTTTTTTTTATCAACATTTTTTTTTAATAAGGACACTTACGTCTTTTATAAACGGATATCCAAGATTTAATAACCCGCAGGGTGAAAATATTAAAGGATTTTGTAAAATCTGGATTGAAAACTGTTGAATTTCTTTCTTTAATTTAATATCTTCAGTTTGGATCTCTAGTTTATGAATTAATTCACCAGTTTTTTGGTACTATAATAGATAATAATTACTTCTAAGAATTAAGTTGTTTTTTTTATAAAAAAAAAAATCTTTTTAATGTTTCAGAAAATAGAGAAGAAATATGATACTGAAATTAACTATAATTATTATTTTATTTATTTATTTATTTAGTTTTAATGCCAAGGCATTAAGCGGAATGGCAAATTTTATATACCATAGATAGTGTTCAAAAAAATTTTGAAGTAATAATAAAATATACAAGACAGATTGCATTAAAAACAAGAATGTACATCATGTTATTATATTATTTTCCAGCATACTAATTTCTAACTATTCATTATTTAATAATTTAATTTTGAAAGTCCAAATTAAGAACGTTTACAATCTTAGGAGGTAAGAAGAAATTTTAATAAAAAAATTATCAGTGCAAATTTTTTAAATATTTTTTTTATAATTTATTTGTAATAAAAATAAAAAAAAATTGTCAGATTGCTAATTTCAGTATCATAGAAGAAACGTTTACCTCAAGAATAGTTTCAGAACAAATTCTATTGACAAATATCATTTTGAAGCTATTGATAACGACCGTAACAATACTACCGGCTGTTTGTATTATTCTATCATTAGTTGACTGTGACTTGGTTCGAACAACAAAATATATAAATAGAAACACATGTGTAATTTGTCCGAAACTTGCAATAATCCCTAATATCAGTTGCAATCCATATGTTTTCATAAATTCACCACTCAATATTCCTAGCTCCAAATGAAGATACCTGTGAAGAATATAAAAATTTACAAAATATTATTTTTATCAATAGTAATTTATAAATATGACATTTAAAATATTTTTAATAAATTGCATTTTTTATTTTTTTTTAATTTCTTCATGTCAATTTTTTTGCACTAATTTATTTATTGAAGAAACTCTAAAAATTAATGAAAATTAATTTAGCAGATATTTAAGAATTTATTAAACAAATTTTTTTGTTAAATAAAATTAAAGCATGGTCAAGTGACAGCTAACTTTAATATCATTAAAAATTATCAAATATCTGCTAAATTAATTTTCATTTAATTAATTCACAACTCACTTGATAGTTTGAATAATTTTAATGACATCTACGTTTTCAGATTTACGAATAGCCCACTTGTCTTCGTTTGTCTTCTTGGAACGAGTAGAAAATAAATTATCTGAAGTAAAAATTTGATTTTCAAAATTTTCATCCGACACAAAAGTTTTTAACACTTTATTGAGACTTTCAAAACGGATTTTTATATGATTTATTGACAAGCAGAAAATTAAATCAGTCAATAAATTTATGTAGTGCGGATATTGGGTTACAAATATTATAGCAACTTTGTGAATCAATGGAATATTCATTTTAAACCATGCTATTCTGTTGTAACTAAGCAGCAATGAAGTAATAATCCAACATATTGAAACGGCGAGTGAATATCTAAACGCTCGTTGGTTGTCAATTGGTTCACCAATGGTGCTGATGATTTCTTCAATTTTTATATTTTTCAGATAAATTATATATTTTCTCTGCAATAGAACTAATTGAAATAATAAATAATTCTATGAAAATTAAATTAGCCGACATCTGAAAATTTTTATAATTTTTTTTATTCAAAAAATTATTACAAAAAAATTCACATGTAGAAAATTTGAAAAATAATACGAGCAATTTAAAAAACAATTTTCTTTTACTAGCAATTTAATTATTGTTGAAAAAAAATAAAAAATTGTTGAACGTCGGCTAATTTTGGTATAATAATAATAATAATTTTTATTTAATCTAAAAATACTCACGTTTTTGTGAATCCATCCCAGGATAATGTTGAAGACCATAATGACAACGTTTAAAAATATGATGAAGTAATCAATTTTATAAGCTAACATCCAGGAATTTTCTATCCAATAATAAGTTGTTAAAATAAGACACGTAAGATAACCGACAAGTCCGAGAATGGAAAAAATTAAATTATAAATAACGCCTGACTTTTTAATTTTTAAATATTGAAGCACTCCGTGACCAAATAGCAAATTAATTATGAAAATAGGTAACAATGCTTCTACTAAATTTTTTGGTTTCCACATTACGAGTATTTTACTGACGAGCCGGCTGGTAAGTACATGTCACGAATGATTGAAGTATTTATCTGCAAACAATGTCTATAACTGCTCATAATTAATTTATAACGATTAACGGTATCCTTATTTAATCTTTAAATATGGGCTTTATTTAGTATATCTGAAGCTATTATCTGTTTGCTAAATAGTTAATGATACATGTAGGTCATGACAATGCAAAGAAAGCTTCATGTATATTTATTGTTGAGCTAGTAAAAAAAAGAATAATTTATAACTAGTTTTAATTATTAAAGGATAACTTGTTAAAGTAATTTTATTGTTTAATTTTAAAAAACAAACTAAAAACTTTGGTAATTATTATTTATTCATTTATTTATTATGTACATATACGCCAATCGGCATTACACATCTATTAATTAATATAGTATTCTTTAAATTATTGCTTGAAAATTATAGCAAAAATAATTGGCTATATCATAGCACCTAGTTATGAAGATAATTAATAATTGTTTGGATTTATGTATTTATCTTTCTTAAAATTCAATAACAATCACAATAAATATCAATATTTATGGAAAGAATATTAAGATTGAATCAATATATATGTATATCAAATATATATAATATACTAAGACACTAATACGCTAAAGTATATGAATATTGTAAAACACAAAAACTGTAATACAAATAAAAAAAACCATTAATTCATTCATTGATATTAAGATTAAATTATAAAAATAATTTTTCTTCACATTTAAAACTTTATAAATTTTTTTACAATCCTCTGAAATCTCCAAAAAATCTAAGTTTTGAGGTTTTATTTTGATGACGATTACTGATTAATAGGAGCCATTTGGATAGAAATAATCAGGTAGGTAGCAAGTGTTCCAAAAAACTGAAATTTTAATTGAATTGTAATTAATTTTGGTAATATTATGGATGAACAAGTTTTACTTGATTTAAAAAAAAAAAATAATAATAATAATAATAATAATAATAATAATAATACAATTTATTTATTGAAGACGGTTAATTTTTAATTCTGAATTTATTTATTGGCAAGCCGGTCTATCCCAACGAAAATTTTAATCTAATTATTCTTATTATCTAATTATTCTTTTTATCTGAGAATTTATATTATCGTAAGCCTGTATTCCCTCCAGGCATACACGATCTCTTAAAATTCGTATATAAATTCGTCATTTAAAGTTAAATTTGACTGAACAAATAATTCGGACGGCCCAGACCAGGACTCGAACCTGGATCTTTTGGTATCGCGCCAACTGCTCTTCCCTTGAGCTACTATCCGAGACACTGTCCAGAATTAAATTCTTAGATAAAAAGAATAATTAGATTAAAATTTTCGTTGAGATAGACCGGCTTGCCAATAAATAAATTCAGAAATAATAATAATAATAATAATAATAATAAATTACCCCTTGCAGAAATGAATGTCCAAGTTGTATAAATCCTAGGGGGTAAATTTGTAATGGATTTTGTATCATTTGTATCGAAAGCTGTTGAATCGTTTTACAAATTTCGGCATTTGCAAACCTTGATTCTAATTGGTGAATTATTACTCCGGTTTTTTTCCACTGAAAGAAAAATTTTAACTTAAATCTAGAAAATATTTTAATCAAGTATGATGATTTATGAGTAATATATACCTCATTTACTGTTCTGGAGCAAATGTGATTGATGAACAATAATTTCGAACAATGTATTATAATCCAAAATGCGATAATAGAAATTCTTAAAGCCCAATCTGGGATATTCCGACCAAAAAGTGTTACATATAAGTTATAAATCATCACAGTCATCAAAATAAACAAAGAGGCCATTAACATTATCAATTGAATCCCGAATATTTGCGTTATTTTACCGCATTGCTGTTCTAACTCCAAATGAATTTCTCTGAAAGTAAATACTTATAATTTTATAATTATACAAAAGATAAATTAAATAACTTACTTGGATAATTGAAGAATATGAGCCGGCTTGTTATCATTAACTCGAATGTTTGTGACATGCGAATTGTATTCAAGTTTGATAAGCTCTTCGTTAATTTTCTTGAACCTGATTTCCATATTTCGGATCAGTGAACAAAAAAGCAAATTCACCAAAAAATTAACATGGAGCGGGTTTTGAAGAGAACAAACCACAAAAATATTCTCATACCAGTTCAAAGTTTTCATATTCCATATTACTGCAACGAAATTAATTGTCACCGCACAGAATAACCAGTAAATGACAATTTTGGTTGCAAAATTGCATGCTTTTTTATCGTGTAAAATTACTCCCATTCTCACGAGCTTCTTATCGACATTCAGACATTTTATATTAATCAAAAGTAATTCCTGTGAAAAAATATCACAATTAGATAGTTGCATAACATATATCAAGTTAAAAATAATTAATAAAAAATACTTACATTCCTATGGACCCAGCCAAGAATAAAATTAACAGGCATTATTAAAATATTGGCACCAACAGCTAGAAAGTATACACTTTCCGAATATTTAAACCATGCCGCAGTGACAATAGCTAATATTGAATATGCCATAGATACGCCATAAATAATAATTACGAGAAAAAAATAAAAAACTGTCTGTATGAATTTGCAACCACCCATCGTGTGCGGCATAATTTGGTGCCCAAATATCAAGTTGAGTACCAAAACCGGCATCAACGAATCGTTTAAATTATTAAATTTGTAATTTTTACGGAACATTTTGCACAATAAAAATGTTAAACTTGACAACTTGTACGTTCTGTGACAAGAGTGTGACTGTTTTTATATTTTACACAAGTTCCAGGATATAGAAAAGCTAACATAAAAGCTATCGGTGACGATATTGATCGATAACATATAACACGTTCTATTTGCTTTCGCAAAACGTTAACGAATAATTAGTTTAACAGCAATAAGCTTTTATTTTTATTGTATTCATGGGTTTGATGAGTTAAAAAGTAATTTACTGACTATCAGTCGGATGAATTTCAATCTGATAACAATTTGCGTCGCAGAAGGTCTAAATAAATATACGCCGTACTGGTTAATAATTCATATTTAATTACTGTATTTATGTAATTACTTACTGAGTTCATTTAATTAAATTATTGGATTCTATGGTCTACTTTTTTTTATATTACGCATATTTCTTCTGTTCTTATAAAGCTTTTATTTAAAAAGCAAACTAAAAACTTTGGTGCTTGATAAAAAGTTTATTTAATTATTACTTATTTATTATGCACATTGCGTATATGTATACGCCAATTGGCATTACACATCTATTAATTAATATAGTATTCTTCAAATTATGACTTGAAAATTATAACAAAAATAATTGGTTATATCATGTTACTTAGTAAATATATGAAGATAATTAATAATTGCTTGAATTTATGTATTTATATTTCTTAAAATTCAATAACAATTACAATGAATATCATTATTTGTGGAAAAAATATTATGATTGAATTATTATGTATGTATATAAAATATATAATATTCTCAGTTTTAAGATATTATTTTGATGACGATTTTCAATCAATAGGAGCCATTTGGATAGAAATGATCAGGTACGTCGCAAGTGTTCCAAAAAACTGAAATTTTAATTGAATTGTAATTAATTTTGGTAATATTATGGATAAACAAGTTTTACTTGGTTATAAAAAATAATAATAATAATAATAATAATAATAAGTTACCTCTTGCAGAAATGAATGTCCAAGTTGTATAAATCCTAAGGGGTAAATTTGTAATGGATTTTGTATCATTTGTATCGAAAGCTGTTGAATCCATTTACAAATTTCGGCATTTGCAAACCTTGATTCTAATTGGTGAATTATTACTCCGGTTTTTTTCCACTGAAAGAAAAAATTTAACTTAAATCTAGAAAATAATTTAATCAAGTATGATGATTTATGAGTAATATAAACCTCATTTACTGTTCTAGAGCAAATGTGATTGATGAACAATAATTTCGAACATTGTATTACAATCCAGCATGTGAGAATAAAAATTCTTGAAGCCCAATCTGGGACATCACGAGCAAGAAGTGTTACATATAAATTATAAGTCATCGTAGTCAACAAAAAAAACAAAGAAGCCATTGACGTTATTATTTGCAGCCCGAATATTCGCGTTATTTTACCGCATAGCTGTTCTAACTCCAAATGAATTTCTCTGAAAGTAAAGACTTATAATTTTATAATTATATAATAGATAAATTAAATAATTTACTTGGATAGTTGAAGAATATAAACCGGCTTGTTATCATCAACTCGAATGTTTGTGACATGCGAATTGTATTCAAGTTTGATAAGCTGTTCGTTAATTTTTTTGAACCTGATTTCCATATTTCGGATCAGTGAACAAAAAAGCAAATCCACCAAAAAATTAACATGGAGCGGGTTTTGAAGAGAATAAACCGTTAAAAAATTCATCTGCCAGCTCATAGCTTTCATAGTCCATAGCATTGCAACGGAATTAATTGTCACATAACAGAATAACCAGTAAATGACAATTTTGGTTGCAAAATTGCATGCTTTTTTATCGTGTAAAATTACTCCCATTTTCACGAGCTTTTTATCGACATTCAGACTTTTTATATTAATTAAAAGTAATTCCTGTGAAAAAATATCACAATTAGATAGTTGCATAACATATATCAAGTTAAAAATAATTAATAAAAAATACTTACATTCCTATGGACCCAGCCAAGAATAAAATTAACAGGCATTATTAAAATATTAGCACCAAGAGCTGCAAAGTATACACTTTCCGAATATTTAAACCATTCCGCAGTGACAATAGTTACTGTTGAATATCCCATAGATACGCCGTAAATAATAATTACGAGAACAAAATAAAAAACTGTCTGTATGAATTTGCAACCACCCATCGTGTGCGGCATAATTTGGTGCCCAAATATCAAGTTGAGTACCAAAACCGGCATCAACGAATCGTTTAAATTATTAAATTTGTAATTTTTACGGAACATTTTGCACAATAAAAATGTTAAACTTGACAACTTGTACGTTCTGTGACAAGAGTGTGACTGTTTTTATATTTTACACAAGTTCCAGGATATGGAAAAGCTAACATAAAAGCTATCGGTGACGATATTGATCGATAACATATAACACGTTCTATTTGCTTTCGCAAAACGTTAACGAATAATTAGTTTAACAGCAATAAGCTTTCAGTCGGATGAATTTCAATCTGATAACAATTTGCGTCGCAGAAGGTCTAAATAAATATACGCCGTACTGGTTAATTATTCATATTTAATTACTGTATTTATTTAATTACTTACTTAAGCGGTTTGGTTTTTTGGTTTGAAAAAGAATTTTATTTTCAGCGTTTTCTTTATAGATAGTTAAGTAATAATATTCTTATAAAAAAAACTTAATCACTAATATAATTTATTTTGATATGTCATCAGATGATGCTCTGATCAAAAATCGGTTGTTGAAAAAATATAAATATTTTCTTAAATTATTAATTTTGTCTTATTATAAAAAGTAAATTTATTAGTACTGTAAGAATATATTTAATGCTATGGAAAGATTTAAAATTTTAAAATATAAAAAACCATTGCAACTTTAACTTGCCTTCTCAAGGCGACTTACTTAAGCGGTTTTTTTTTTTTGATTTTGAAAAAGGACTTTATTTTATAAATATTCTCTTATACATTTTTTAAGTAATAATATCCTTATAATAACTTATTCGCTAATATAATTTTTAATTTTTGTATTGTCATCATATGATGCTCTTTACAAAAAACAGGAACTGAAAGTAGAAGTATTTTCTTAATAATATTAATTAAACTTAACAATTTGAAGTTTTTCAACTAAATAATAAATAATAATGTGCTAAGCATTGGTGAAAAATCAAAAATGTGAAAAAAAAAAACCAATTGCAACAATTACTGGCACTTACTTAAGCGGCATGATGGCCGAGCGGACTAAGTCATTATCCCTGTTAGTTCGTTCGTGCATCTTGTCGTGAGGCGAGGGTTCGATCCCCGACGGTTGTTCGAATAGTTCCAACACCAACCGTCGGAGATCGCTCCGGTAGCCGACTGTACTGGCATGGGTTTTCTCTGTGGTTTCCCCATCGCCACTATTCCAACAACCCATAGAAAGGGGTGAGGAATAGGGTGAATACAATACAGAAAGCACAAGTCGGTCCACAGCCGCACTGAGATTAGAGTTATGTGCAAAAAGGAAATGTCGATTATAAAAAAAAAAAGCGGAGAACATGTTGATTATAAAAAGAGTTGAACGCAAAAAGAAACAAGTGTTAGTTAAAAGTGGCGAAAAGCCAGGTATAACATTATGAATGTTATACGATAACAAAAGAGGCACTTGAGTGATATTACAGTGGTAATAGCAAAAATGTGGAGAATATGGGTTTACAGTCTTGTAAAAACCAAAATAGGTATACAAGTAAAAACGATATAATAATAATAATAATAATAATAATAATAATAATTACTTACTTAGTTCATTTTAATTATTGGATTCTGTGGTCTATTTATTTCTTTTATATTACTGATGATGATGATATAAAATTACGTATATTTCTTCTATTATTATTAAGCTTTTGACTATTTCATCTACTGAGGAGACATTTGGATCGAAATTACCAGGTAAGTTGTTATCGTTCCAACAAACTTTGAACATAAGTTTAAAAAAACATGATTAATATAAATGAAACTGAATTTAATAGATATCTAAAAATTTTTTAGATTTTTATAACAATTAAATTATAATGAAAAAAATTAAACATATAGAAATAAAAAAAAAAATTACAAGTGAAAATTTTTTCAAATAATTAATAAGTAGTAAAAATTCAAAGAATTGTCAGATGTCTATTAATTTCAGTATCATTTAATATAAATGAAAAAAAATTTTTTTTTTAAATAACATCGCGTACCTAAAGGTAAAAGGGCACATATTTTTTTTTATTGCCAATCGAGTAGCAGACACATTCTAGGCTTAAAATTTAAAAAAAAAATTGCAAAGGTAAAAGGGCGTATGTCTTTAATTATACGCCCTTTTATTTTTAAGAATTCAAAATTTTGGTGATCTAAAGGTGAAAGGGCGTATAATTTTTTTTTCGGCCAGTTTACAAAAGAAAACATATTCGTAGTTTAAAAATGTGAAAAAAATACTTTCCGTGGTAGTAGCGGCGTAAAACCTTAACTATAAAATTTTTGAAAGTTAAAAAAGAAAATATATCAAAAAAAAACAATAAAGTACGCGTGATTTAATTAATTACTTAATTTCTACGTAATTTGTTTTTGATTGATTTATTTTCAATTTGTTTATATCAAACTTTGTATATAAGGCTGTTATTTTAGTATAACTTGTCTTGTGAAACTATTATTTAACATTTGGTATCAAAACTACAATTTTTTTTATGGGCCCTTTTACCTTTAAGTAGTACTTTTCTTAAAGCTAAAAGGGTGTATGTCTTGAGATACCCTTTCAGCACAAATCCCTATTAACCTTTAGCTATACGCCCTTTTACCTCTAGGCACGCGACATACTTACACTTAGAACAAAAGAATAACCGAGTTCTATAAGCCCACATGGTGAAATAATTAAAGGATTCTGAGTCATTTGCAGTGAAAATTGTTGAATAGTCCGACATAATTCAATATTTTCAGATTGTACTTCTAATTTGTGTATTATTTGGCCAGTCCGCTTCCACTTGCAATAAAAAAAGTGAAGTTAAATTAAGTTTACTCATAATAAAAAAGTTAGTTCAATCAAAACAAAGAAGATATTACCTCGCCGATTGTTTCAGAACAAAAATGATTGACGAAAAGAAAGTTCAAACAATGGCTTATGATAGAAATAATGTAAATTAGTATTTTTAATCCGTCACCACTAGTTTCAGCATCTTGCATTATTAAGTATATACTGTAAAAAGTGGTAGTAACTAATGTTGATAATAAAAGCATTGTTAAGAAGATTTGAAACCCAAATATTTGTGTAGTTTTACCGCACAATTTAGTCAATTCTAAATGAACTTCTCTGAAAAATAATATATTTATTAATTTAAGCCGGTCCTGAAAAAATTAATTGTTAAAATTGATATTTTTGACAATTTACCTGAAAATTTGAAGAAGATGATTCAAATAACTCGAAGTATCTCGAAAAGAATTAGCACGATTGTTATTTATTCGCCTGTTGTCGTACAAAAAGTCGTTTACAATTGCCAATTTATTGTCTTGAATTTCAAATTTGGCAATCGCTTGATTGACCACTCGAAATCTGAGCGCCATGTGCCGTATAGACAACCCGAAAGTCAAATTGAATAAATAACTAACATACAATGGAAGATGTGTGATATTAATCGCAGCAATCTTTTTAAAAGCATCTTCCGTACCAAAAAGCCATAAACAAGTCGTCACATTAATTATCAATAAGTTTGTAACCCACGCAATTGTTACGATCAGACAAAAATTGAAAGCTTCCTGAGTGTCAATTTTAATACCTAGTTCCTCAAGTCGTTTGTCAAGTCTTCGGTTTCTCATATCAACAATTCGTGCTTTCTGTAATAAAAGAAGACACAATTAAAATTAAGTTTAATAAATCGCGTGCCTGGAGGTAAAAAGACGTATAGCTTAGAGTTAATAAGGATTTGTGCTGAAAGGGCGTATAAAAAATTTTTTTTTGCCATTCAGTTTGAAATTGTCTGAAACTTAAAAATCTGTGAAAAAAAAAAAGCTGGTATTCTAAAGCTGAAAGGGCGCATCTCAAAACATACGCCCTTTCAGCTTTAAGAAAAGTACTACTTAAAGGTAAAAGGGCGCATAAAAAAATTGTAGTTTTGATACCAAATGTTAAATAATAGTTCCACAAGACAAGTTATACTAAAATAACAGCCTCATATACAAAGTTTGATATAAACAAATAGAAAATAAATCAATCAAAAGCAAATTACGTAAAAATTAAGTAATTAATTAAATCACGCGTACTTTATTGTTTTTTGGATATATTTTCTTTTTTAACTTTCAAAAATTGTTTAGTTGAGGTTTTACGCCGCTACTACCACAGAAAGTTTTTTTTTTTTTGACATTTTTAAACTACGATGTTCTTTTGTAAACTGACCGAAAAAAAATTATACGCTCTCTCACCTTTAGATCACCAAAATTTCGAATTATTAAAAGTAAAAGGACGTATAATTAAAGACATGCGCCCTTTTACCTTTGCAATTTTTTTTTTTTTCAATTTTAAGCGTGGAATGTGTCTACTACTCGATTGGCAATAAAAAAAAAAATATGTGCCCTTTTACCTTTAGGCACGCAAAATGTAAGTAAATAAACTAAAGAATTAGCTCACTTTTTTGAGAATCCAACCGACAATGAAGATGATACTTGATATAGTGAGCATCATACCAACTATCCCTAAGTACTTGTTTGCGTCTTGGAACCAAGAAGCTAAGTGTAAATATGAAATCGAAAAATATAAGGAAACACCATAAATAAAAAAAACAAATAATAAATAAATGAATGTTTGCAAAAAATTGAGACTGTCTAAACGATAGTGGATCAATTGATGACCTAAAATCCAGTTGACTATCAAAATCGGCAGCAATGACTTGGTCAAGTTTTCGGGTTTGTAATTTATTCCGAACATTTTATAAAAACTTCACCGATCATGCACACTAGTGGTCAAAATATGACTGCTTGATTTTAATCATTGCACAATATTTTATTGTACTCTTCTCATTACACTAATAACCTAATACATTAGCGATAAAATATTTACGTAATTCACTTAGACGTAAATCGATAAGTCTGAATTGAAAGAATAACTTGCGCAGTTACAGTCCCAGCAAACTGAAAATAAATTATATTTTTATAATTAATTACTTTTGCATAAATTTTAGTGTTCATAAAAATACTTACGTCTCTTAAAAAATAATACCCGAGATCGAATAATCCGCAGGGAGAAAACTTGAGCGGGTTTTGGAGTATTTGAATGGAAAATTGTTTAATTTCTTCTTGAAATTCTTTGTTTTTGGAGTCGAACTCTAATGTGTGAATTATTTCGCCGGTTTTTTTCCACTTGAATAGAATTATTATTTAGAAAAATGTTAAATAATTTAAAAAATAGACAAATAATTACCTCGAATTCGCAGTCAGCGCAATTATAATTAATGATAAATATTCTTAAACTGAAAACTATGACCCAAAGAAGTAAGCTAGATACTATAACGGATTTGTCGAAATTGGGATCTTGAGGACTCATTATTATCATGTAAGTAATCAAAGTTAAGGAAGAAATGTTTATAAATGCTGTAATCATTGATAAAACTATCGGTATTCCGTAAATTTTTGTTATTTCACGACACAGAATTCCTAATTCCAGGTGAATGCGCCTAAAAAATTAATTTTTATTAATACAAAGCATATCGCGTTCCAGATGGCATAAGGGCGTATACCGACAAAAGTTCCTGGTGAAAAGCCCTAAAGGCGTATAAAAAATTTTTTTTCGGGAATCGACATATATTTGTCCGAAATGTGCAGAAATGCAAAAAAAAAAAATTCTAATTTTTTTTTTCAAGTCCACAAAAAATTTTTAGTATGAAGAAAATTTTTTTTTTGCATTTCTGCACGTTTCATAAAAAAATACGTCGGTTCTCAAAAAAAAATTTTTTTGGGTCCCGAGTCATAAGGGCGTATAAAAAATTTTTTTTCGGTAATCAACGTATTTTTGTATGAAACTCGAAAAAAATTGGATTTTTATTTTACCCCCTTATGGCATCTGTAACGCGAAATAAATATTATTTAAATTATGTTGAAACTTACTTAACATCATGAAGAATTTTCATAAAATCTTTCTCGAAATTAATTTTCCTCGATACAGCCCACTTGTAATCAGTATTTTTCTTATGCTTTGAATCATTGTCTTGTAATTTAAAAATATCAAGCAAAACTTTATTTAAACTCTTGAACCGTATTTTCATATGCTTTACAAAAAGACAAAAAATAGTATTAATCAAAATGTTGACATGGTGACCATGTTGAAGAATAACTGTGCGCATAATTTTCTCTGATCGATCATCACTTTTTTCAGTTGCTACGATATTAGAAATATCCAAAAATAATACAAAAAGTATCCAAATGAAGACAATCATGATGATGATGTAAAATTCTTTTTTCGCATTTACTGGAACTCCCAATTTTTTTAGTGTTTTATCAACTTTAATTACTCGCAAATTAGTCGCCAAAGTTTTCTATTTAAAAATAATAAAAAGTTATCAATTGAATTATTTTAAATAACATATTATAAAACGAAATATTTACTTACGTTTTTGTGAGTCCAGCCGACAATAACATTAATAATCATAGCCAAAATCATTATACCTGTGTTGACATAATAAATACCTTTGGGAGAAGTCAAAAAAAATCGATCCGTCCAATTTAAAAACACATACATGAAAAACATGAAGAAGACTATAGTCGTAGTAATTGAAAATATTAAAGAGTAATATAATTTAGATTTATCTAGGTGAGGGTATTGGAATATTCCGTGACAAAATATCGCATTTATAAAAAAAATCGGCGACATTGCCTCTATGAAATTCGCTGGTTTCCACATTGTAAACTTAAATAGCTGATGAAAGTGACTGGACGATTAATGGTTAAGTTATATCAACCCTTGCAATGCTATCAGTTATCATTTATCATATTAAAAAATGAATTTTTCTAGGGCACATTTTTATATAAAGGTCATTGGCTATCAACACTCGATTGTTGAAGATAAATACACAATGATGTGCAAAGTTATACGATGTCTTTTCTATTAATTATTCATTTAATTATATGATAGTACTAATTACAATCATAATAAAGATAGAAATTACTGATAAAGTGAACGAGGATCGATAATATGTGTTCACTTTTTATATTTATAAATATTCAGAGTTTTAACCAACAGAATAATTCGAATTGCCACTGAAGTAGCAAACTGCAATGAATAAAGAATAATTTTATGAGAATATTTTTATTATTGAAAATTTAAATTGTTGATAAATACTTGCATCTCTTCAAAATAAAAAAATTACTTCAACAGTTTCATAGAAGAAAATAAAATTTTATGCATAATTTTTAGATAAATATAAAGTTATTAATATAATTAAATTTTAAATATTGATTTAAATATATACATATATACAGTTTTTACATATGCGTATATTCTTCATCACTTAACTGGAAATCGATAAGTTTGAATCGATAAAATAACTTGTCCTGTTACAGATGCAGCAAACTGTAAATAAATTTTATTTCAATAATTTGTGCTAATAATTGATAATAAATACTCACTTCTCTCATAAAATAATAACCGAGGTCCAATAATCCACATGGAGAAAATTTTAGTGGATTTTGCAATATTTGAATTGAAAATAGTTGAATTTCTTTTCGCAATTTCATGTCTTGAGCTTGAATTTCTATTAGATGGATAATTTCACCGGTTTTTTTCCACTGAAAAATATAATTTAAAAACTATATATTTTGTATAAAATAATAATTATGATAATTGATTAATTACCTCACAAACAGTTTCAGCGCAATCATAATTGATCAAAAAGAATTTCAAAGCAAATAATGCAGTCCAAGGTAATAAAGTTATTAATAAAGTTATTTTCTCAGTTAGTGTTTCTTCTTTGCTCATTAATGTAGTGTAAACATACACTAACATCGAGGTTATGTTTGCGAATGCGGTTATCATGGTAAGAATTATGGGAATCCCATAAATTTTCGTCAAATCACGACACATTATTCCTAATTGCAGATGAATGCGCCTAATGGTGAATAAAATTCAAGAAAATTTATTAAAATATATTTATTATTTACATACACTGAAAAAAAATTAACTTGAATCAAGAAAAAAATTCTTGAAACAAAAAAATAACTTTGAAGCGTTTCATTGTCTTGAATCAAGTAAAATTTACTTAAACCAAGAAAAATTTCTTAGTTTAAGAATTTTTCAACAAAAAAATAACTTTGAAGCGTTTCATTGTCTTGAATCAAGTAAAATTTACTTAAACCAAGAAAAATTTCTTAGTTTAAGAATTTTTCTAATTAAATTAAGAAAATGAAGTTCTTAAAAATTATTTATTTAATTCAAGTTAATTTTTTTTCTGTGTAGAAGTGTTTATTCACAGGTAAAAAATTTAACTCAACTCAAGATCAAGAATCTTGAACCAAGAACACCATTTTGAAGAAAATAACGCTCTCAAGTCAAGAAGAAAAATTCTAAAACCAAAAAAAATTTTCTTCAACCAATAATTATATCTTGACTCAAGAATTTTTCCTCTTGATTGAAGAAATTCTCTTTTCTTCAAAATGGTGTTCTTGGTTCAAAATTCTTGCTCTTGATTCAAGTTAAATTTTTTATCAGTGTATGAATAGACATGTCTTATTTTTTTTCCTAAAATAAAATAGAGAATTTACTTGATGTTTTGAAGAATTATCACATAATCTTTTTCGAAAGTGACTCCTCTTGAAACAGCCCATTTGTAATCAGTTTCGATTTGATGGGCCAAATTATTGTCTTGTAGTCTTAAAATATCTAGCAGAAGTTCATTTATACTTTTGAATCGCATTTTCATGTGCTGTATAAACACACCGAAAGTTAAATCAATCAACAAATTCACGTGGTACCCATGATGAATCACAAATGTAATCATTAATTTTGTAATAAAATTAGTTGAACGTGAGGAACGGTATGTTGTTGTCAAATCAACAAACAACACACAAATCACCCAAAAAGCGGCGATTTTAATCACGGAAATATACTTTCCGTGAACATCAATTTTAAGTCCCAGTTCCTTGAGATTCTGTTCAGCTGTTATAATTCTTGAATTGATCATTAAACTTTTCTATTTAGAACAAAAAAAAATGAATTAGTTATCAAGAAAATTTGTATATAAATTAATAGCATGTATAATTATATAATTACAAACATTTTTGTAGACCCAGCCGACGATAATATTGACGAACATAACAAAATTCATTGCAGTGCTGTTGATTAAATACAACAAAGACCGTTATTTTGTCCAAGATTCTTTTAAGTAATTTACATGTACAATAATAAAACACGCGAAGAAGACTATCGTTGAAATTATTGAGTACAGAAAAGAGTAATAAACTCTAGATTTACTAACACGAGGATATTGGATCACTCCGTGACAAAATGTCGAACTGAGAATAAAAATCGGCAACATTGCTTCTATCAAATTCGTTGGCTTCCACATTATTAATACAACATGAAAAAGTTCTCTTAAAAGAACGACTTAATGTGTAATTAACTCTACGTACGAAGGTGGATTAACTAACTGTCATCTATCGTAATTATAATCAACGCTTAACATTTTATGCAACTTACTATCTATCAACACTTAATCTTTGGAGATAATTACTGCATGATACACACATTAATAGTATTAATTATTTAAAAGTATGACATTTCAAATTAATTAAATGTAATATTGATGAAAATTATTGCTTTGCTGCAGAATTGTGGATTGGGTAAGTTTGGATCAATAGAAAAATTTGTGAGCTCACTGATCCAAAAAACTATAAAGTTAGAAAAATTTTAAATAATTTATGAAAATTTATTTAGTGTGTACTTAATAATTTTAAAAAATTTATAGCCAATAAATTATGGCAAAAAATAATTGACATAAAAAAAATTTAAAAAATAAAAAATGCAATTTTAAATAAAATTAAAAAATTGTTAAGTGACTGCTAACTTTAATGTCATAAATAAATTTTAAATAAATATAATGAAAAATTTTACTTACATCTCTTAAAAAGTAATATCCAAGGTCAAAAAATCCACAAGGAGAAAATTTCAGGGGGTTTTGCAGCATTTGAATTGAAAAGTTTTGAATTTCTCTCTGAAAATTCGAGTCTTTGGAATTACACTCCAGTTTATGAATTGTTGCACCAGTTTCTTGCCACTTTAATAACAAAAATTTATAATTTATCTTCATTTTTGTGGAATTTTACTTTTTAATATTAAACAGTACCTCATTAACTGTTCCAGCGCAAATATAATTGATAAAAATAACTTTTAAAATGAAGACTGTCAACCAAATTGTAAAATTTAATAAAAAAAGTATTTTATTAGATAAAATCATATTCTGATCCTTTGAAATTATGAATATGAGAAAAAGAAAAGAAGTTGTGTTTGTAAATGCTCTGATCATAGTGAAGACTATTGGGATACCGTAAACTTTCATAAGCTCACGGCACAATATTCCCAATTCCAAATGAATATTCCTGAAAATAAAAATAAAACAGTTAAAATAATAGTATTATTATTATAAAATAAAAAGTAGTTATTTTATTTACTATTCAAGTCTTACTTGATTTTACGAATAATTTCCATAAAATCTTTTTCAAAGTTAATTTTTCTCGAAATAGCCCATTTGTAATCAGTTTCTTCTTTATGCGTTGAATTATTACTTTGCAATTGTAAAATATCAATCAATACTTTATTAATATTTTTAAACCGTACTTTCATATGATTTATAAACTGATAAAATGACAGATCAATAATTAAATTAACGTAGTATGCATGTTGGATAACAATTGCCAAAAAAGTTCTTAATAATAAATTATAATTTTGGTAAATTGAAACCATACTTATATTAATAAAAAGTAGGTAGACAATCCAAAAAACGGCGATTTTAATGCTAAAAAAAAATTCTTTTTTAAAATTCACCGGCACTCCTAAGGTATCAAGCATTACATCAGCTTTTATTAATCTTGTGTTAATCATTGCACTTTTCTGTCAACAAAAAAATCAAAGATTTATTTATTAATATTTAATAATTTAATTTTCTTTTAACACTCACAGTTTTGAAGGCCCACCCGGCGGCGATATTGATAATCATCACAAAAAATGTTATATTTGTATTTATAAAATACGATATTAGATAACCAGATGCCCAATGAGGGTCGAAGTAATTAAACAATACATACGCGTAGCTACTCAGATGAATTACAAGTGTAATTACAGTGTATAAAAACAAGTATTTAGTTTTTGGTTTATCAACACCCAGAAATTCAACAGCTCCATGACAAAATAAAAAATTTAAAATATAAATAGGAAACAATGCTTGGAGAAAATTTTTCGGTTTCCACATGATGACACGACTGACCATTTGTATGGACGTTAATTGTATAAATAACATTTATCGCTTATTATCATAAAATGTATGTCCTTACATCTATCATTTACTAATTTTTATTTTAATTTATTATTGTTGTGGTATCGCAAGCTTCTGTAAAGTTAGTTTAGTTGGAAAATAATAAAGTTATGATCGAGTGTTGATTGAACGTGTTTTGATCAATATACTGACTTGCGAGGTCGCGGATAATAAATTAAATTTCTAAGTGCATATATTTAATTAAAATATATCCAGTAAGATGAAATGATTTTAAATTCACATAATCACACTATTTAATTTTAATGACACTGAACTTAGCAGACGTCTAAAAATTTTTGATTTTTTTTATTAATTAAATTACAATTAAAAAGATATTTCTAAAAAATTGCACTTATAGTTTTTCAAGTTTTTTACATGTGAAATATTTTTTTTTTAATTGTTTAATTGAAATTATTTCAATAAAAAATTTCTATAAATTTTGAAATGTCGGCTAACTTCATTTTCATTAATTTTAACATCATTTATTAATTATATTAAATTATATTAATTACTTTTTAATTGCATGACTCATGATGCGAAGCATCAGAGAGTGCTTTACGATCGAAAAATTTGTTTTTCCTCGATTTCGCAACTATTTAATTAATTACACGATTGATAATCTACGTAGTCTAATTAATTTACGCACCATTCGATAGATAATTTAATGAAGATTAATTCTGTCACTGGTAAAAATCAATTTAAGATAATTGAACCAATTCAATCAGTTTTTTTTTGTTAGCTTGGCATTCCCTTTGCGGAGATCTCCATTGGAGATGGTCATCTTATTTAATGTTGTTTATTTGTTATTAACGAAAAACTAAAATTAATAAAAAAAATCTACACTCAGTGTGCATGATCAGTTTAAAACACCGCGCAAAACTTGAAATGAAAAAATAAATAAAAAAAGAAATTGTATTTAAAAGTATTAAAAATAAAAAAAAAAAAAAAAGTAGCCAACAAAAAAAATAGTAAATTGCAAAAGTAATATTTAAATAAAAAAAAAAATAAATAAAATAAAATTAAAAAAAATATTCTTTTAGAACATTAACTATTTTTTTTTTTTTATATTTATCGAACGAATCAGCATTTTAAGTCGTGCACTTTTGGATTTGCCAAACGTTTTTTAATTCTTTCTTTGTGATGAAGAGTTATCGCGTGAAGTCGTTTGAATTAATAAAACAAGCTGCGCCATCACCGATCCAGCAAACTGAAAAATTCTAAATAATATAAAATATAAGCGTTCATACTGATTATTTATCTAACAAGGACTCACATCTCTTATAAAATAATAATCGAGATCCAAAAACCCACATGGTGTAAATTTCAATGGATTTTGGAGGATTTGAATCGAAAACTTTTGAATTTCTCTCTGGAATTTCGAATCTTCATATTCTATTTCCAACTTGTGAATTATTTCCCCCGTTTTGTTCCACTATAAAAAATGAATAGGACAATTAAAAATTCAATTAATTTTAAACTATTAGGACTTACCTCATTGATTGCTTCAGCACAAGCATAGTTTATACAAAAAAATTTTAAAAGTGCGATTAAAACCCAACTTGACATACTTAAAAGGTGCAATGATTTGTCACTCAGTTTAGTTTCTGTGTTTACGATTACTGTATACATATTAAAAAGCTGCACGATTACGAGAAAAAACATTGTAAGTATCATCAGAGATATTGAGAATCCGTATATTTTCATAATTTCGTTACACAAAATCTTTAATTCTAAATGGATACGCCTGGAAGAACCAAAGTCTTGTATTATCTTCAGAAGACATGAAAAATCGTGCATTTTTGTGTCAAATTTTTAACACTTTTATGTGTAAATTTAACACTTATTCTATTAAATCAACTCAAAAAAGTGTTCAATATTTAACATAAAAATTTTTAACACAAAATTTTTCACTGTGTAATAAATATACTTACTTGATGCTGCAAAAAGTTATGGTAAAATCATTTTCAAAATTTGTTTGCCTCGAAATCGTCCATTTGTGAAACGCTTCCATATTTTGGAACAAATTGTTGACTTGAAGGTTAAATAAATCTGATAGAAGTTTATTTATGCCTTCAAATCGTGCTTTCATATGAATTATTAGCAAAAAAAATGTTAAATCGACGATATAATTAACGTGAAATCCATGATGAAAAGTTAAGACTAATATGAAGGCATTTAATAGTCCAAAAGATTTATCATACCAAATAACGGCAACTGCATTGATATAAAATGAATAAATGAACCATCCAACAGCGAATTTCATTGAAAGTGCAAATTCACGTTGGATATTTATCGACACTCCTGAATTCTTAAGAAGCTCATCACTTCTCATTAGTTTCGAATTCAGTATCAGGATTTCCTACAATAAAAGATTTACAATTTTAGTAATAAGAATGATTAGTTTTAGAAATTTTATAATTTACATTTTTGTAAATCCAGCTGACAATAGTATTAACATTCATTGTGAAGAATACTGCTATTATCAGAACTAAGTAGGCAACCTTAGGACCCTCACTGTACCAAGATGGTTCAATTCGTAACCAAAATACAAAGATGAAACAAGCGCAAAACAAAATTGTCGACACTATCGACCACAAGTAGGAGTAATTTATTTTTGACTTATCAATATTTGGATGTTGTATAACTCCATGACAAAATAACACATGAAGAATATAAACAGGCACCAGTGTGTCTATAAGACTCTTTGGTTTCCACATTTTTACAACAACTGAGTTTATATATAACATAATAATGTTAATTTTTATTAGCGTGTTTATTAAGTGAATATTTAATATTTAATACGGCAAATATAGCCTTTTAATTTATTACAAATATATCTTTAGTGCAATATCTAACTTTTAAATGATAAAAACTGCACTGTTTGTCATGCAACTAAATATTTTCTTTCTTCAAACTTCTAAATGGTATTAATTATTTATTTTTATTATAATAAGCTGTATGCTTATTATAATGTCGTCACTGATCCAAGCTATAAATATTTAATTATTATCGCATGTAGCTATTTTACAGCAATAAATTAAATGGATGACTTTTTAGTGCAGTGCATGTATTAGTTACATCTATTGTAAAATAATACCATCAAAATTTATATCTCTTCATATCTTTGGATATCTTCGTACGTCTAAAAAATGACCGAGTTAGATGTATAATTTTTTTTCTATGAATAATTTCTTTTTTTAATGAAAAAGTTAGTAAATATATGAAAATTAATTTAGCAGATACTCAATAATTTTAATAATTTTTGTAACAAATAAATTATAACAAAAAAAAATTAGAAAAAAAATTTACAAGTAGAGATTTTAAAAATTTTTAAATGCAATTTAAAAAATAATTTTTTAGAACTAATTTTTTTTGACCCTGCAAGCTGAAAGAAGAAATAAAGTTTAATTTAGTGGAAATACAAATTACTAGGTTGTGTCTAACTTACATCTCGAACAAAATAATAACTGAGATCAAACAATCCGCAAGGAGTGAATTTCAAAGAATTTTTTATCATTTGAATTGAAAATTGTTGAAGTTCATTTCGTAGCTCAGTATTTTTGGTTTCTATCTTGATTTTATGAACTATTTCCCCAGTTTTTTTCCACTGTTAACAGATTTTTATTACAAAAAATAAAAAAGTTTGGAAAATCCAAAGTGCACGCCTCATAACTTCATTTTCAACAATAAAGTTAATTAAATTAAAATACAAAATACAAGTTAATAAAAAACAGAAAACTGTATGGTTTAGAGGCGCCATAATTTTAAGTTGAGGAAAAAGAATACTATAATAAAATGTATATGTAGATATACAAACTTTTTTTATAAATGTTTTTAATAAATAGAAATTTTTTTATTATAATTAAAATTGTATAAAAATCTATAAAATTTTTTAAATTCTATTAAATTCATTATCATAATTTTTAAATAAGTTTACCTATCAGCAAGTAATAATTTTATTTTAATTTATTTTTGTTATTAGCAACGAAAAAAATTGATTATTAAAATCTCAAGAGTTACAAGTTAAAAAACAGATGGAGTTTGTTTCCCTAAATCCATGTCCTAAAAATGTAAATCGTTGTTTAGCCATGTATGGATCAACTTTTCTGTTAAAGTAATATCCGAATGACATTAATTGAGAATTAGAGAAGCGAGCGGTGGATATACACAGTGGGCGTGCGAGCCACCTGCTACCGAGCTGGTCTCTCTCGAATCTAAAGTAGCTAGGGGACCAATTGATTTATCGCACCCGAGGGGTTGTGCTCATGTCTCCCTTACACTTTAATACTACCACTGATACCACGGTCATTTCTATCTTTTTATTATTTTACTTATGCTACTCATCTTTCGTCACCTCTCTTCAGAACCAACTAAAGCTAATTTTTACAATCACGGAATTATTTTTCCGCTCAACGACTCGGGCTTTAAAAAACCTCTATTCTCAAAATAAAAAAAAAAAAAAACATGTCAGTAGATCCATACAAGCTTGATAGAGAATTCGTAACAACATATGGGACAGCTTAGATGACGGTGATTGTAGAAAAACAAACGCTTGAACAAGAGGATTTCATTCTCACCGCTTAATCCGCAAACGTCGTTTATCATTTTATTATTTCCCTGTAAAAAATCTCTAACATATATCTATTTATTTTATTTATATGTCTACTTAAGAATTCAGTTGTTTGAAATCAACAAGTCTGATTTTTTTTTTTCATTTATTTTATTAATAAAAATCATTTTATTTTTCATTATTTTTATTATACTTCAATTTATTTCTAAATTTACGTGGATTCAAACCGTAAGCTTTGAGTCTCTCGTCACTTAATGAAGCAATTGGATTATGAGGCTTCGTTGGTTTTGTTTTATTCTCATTCTTCTTCTTCTTTTTCTTCTGCCCTTTATTTATATTTCCATCAGAACCATCTTTAGCTTTTTTCGCTTGCGGTTCTTTAATATCAAATTCACCATTTTGCAAATTGTCCGCTTTTCTCTTCTTTTTACCCTTCGCTACATTTATTTCTTCACTAGCCACCTTTTCTTCTTTCACCTTAGCAACCTCACTTTCTTGTCCCTTCTTCTTGTTTTTCTTCTTCTCATTCAAAACTTCATCCTTCTTTTCAATCACCTCAGCTGTATCATCAACTTCTTCTTTAACAACTAACTTCTTCTTCTTCTTCTTATTCTTATTTTTAACTTCTTCCTCACCTTTCACTACATTTTTATCATTCGTCTCAGTTCCATTCACCTCCATAACTTTACCTTCAACAGCTTGATCATTTTTACCATCATTATTCTTCTTTCCTTTCTTCCTCTTCCTTTTCTTCTTTTTCTCCCCATCATCCGGATTTTCTCCAACAACCAGCTCTTTCTTGATCTTGATCTCTTCATCAACTTCCTCCTCAAAAGGCTTGTACAAACTGGTAAGAATTTTCCGTTTAAAGTTCTCATTTAAACTCTTTTGTTTATAAATCCTAGCCAGCCTTTGCTCGGTATTTTCATCCTTGTACTCCAAAGCTTTCTTCAGAGAGCACCACTTGTTCAATTCTTTGTCATCAGCCATCATAATTTCTTCAACAGTTAACCCGTAATCATTTGGCGTGACTTGGCGATACTTGAACCTGAACGTATTATCACCAACCTTATCTTCATAGTCCAATGCGTAATTCTTGACAATATATTCTTTAAAAGAGCCATCTTTATCAGGATTGTATTCCTGTTTTTTCTTCGCCATTAACTCTGCAAACTTGGACCTCTTCCTCCTTTTTCTTTTAAATGTGATTTCTTCCGCAGCCTTTTTATTATCATCGTAATCAGCGTCCATCACAAAATCAGGATCCTCACAGTATGCTTCGCTGGTGTCTTCTTGAGCGTTATCTTCAGTAGGATAATAATTGTCCCAAGATTTTTCTATTTCAAGCTCTTCATCTATGTCCGGAAACTCCGGCTTAGCATCTTCGTCAAGATCTTGATTATAATAATCCTCACCATAATCATTCTGCATCAATTTGTCGTATTCCTCTGGATCATAATCTTCTTCAAGGAATTTTCCATACTTTTCAATATTAATATCCTTATTGCCAGTAACATCTCTCAGCCTTGTTAATCGATCGAGTATTTCTTTACGTTTCAACGCATTGTACCTCTTTCGCTCTTCCTCTTCTTTTAATTTTTCCTGCTCTTTCCTTTTTTTCACCTCAGCTCTCTTCTCCGCTCTCCGGGTGTCTTTTTTCCTCATAGAGTCACTTACTGTCCTCGGATACCGCTTAATAAACTCCGGATCAGGTTCTTCGAATCTGAAATTATACTTGTGCTCAAACTCCTCCTGGTCCTCGATCTGCTTCTCGTCTTCAGACAAATCCTGATCGTCTTGCAAACGATCGGCGTAGCCATCTTCCTTATCACCATCATCAGCTTCGTCATCTAGCTCAGAAAACATGTTCCCCATAACGTAGTCTCGCAAAAATTTCTCATTGGCGTCAAGATTTGGATCTGTCCAATAATCTCTGAGAGGTTTTAGTTCTTTCTTATCCTCGTCGTCTACTTCTGCCGGCTGTCCCAGCAGCCAGAGTTTGTAGGCTTCTTCTTCTTCTTCTTTCTCTGCAGAAGTCTTCGATTTTTTCTTCAACAAATCATCGTCTTCAGTGTCGTCTATGTTATCGGCGACATTTTTTATACTTTCCAACAACTGACGTTCTTCTTCTACGTAAGGTAGCTTAGTTTTCGGTTTTACTTCATTCTCTTCATCATCGCTGAATATTCCTCCATTTTCCACCAAGATTTTTCGTTCATAGTCACGCAAAGTCATCTTTTCATTTTTCTCACTTTTCTTTTTCTTTTTTTCTTCATTCTGATTTGATTCATCTTCTTCAGCGTCCTCGGCTTTTGCAGGCGGAAAGAACTCGACGTTGGAGTCATAAATTTTGGGATCTTTTTTTTTTAAATATGCAAGAGTTTTGAAGATTTGTTTGTCTATCTCGTCAGTCAGCAACTGTAAAATTATTTTTTAATTAGAAAATATTAAATATTTGATTAAATCACAAAAAAAAAAATAGAAAAGAAAATTAATTGTAAATTTTAATAATTAATACTATAATCAACAGAAATTAGAATTTTATAAATTCTTGATAAGCAAATAAATTAATATAAAAAAAATTTATGAAAATTAAATTAGCCGACATCGAAGAATTGTTAGAATTTTTTTTTTATTAAAAAAATTATTACAAAATAATAAAAAAAAAATTTAATTTATAAAAAACTTGAAAAACTGTAAGTGCAATTTTTAAAAAATATTTTTTAGTCCTAATTTAATAATTAAAAAAAAAAATCAAAAAATTAAAAACGTCGGCTAACTTTAGTGTAATAAAAATTTTCACATTTATTTAATTTCTTGAATAATTTAATTTTTAAAAAATGCATTTTTGTTGACTGTAGTACTATATAATAATAATAAAAAAAATTACATGAGCATCCTCATCGTCCTCAGAACTGGAACTATCTTCATCTCCGTTATCCTTCAAATGACCTCCATACTTAGCTGTAACTAAAAAAAAAGTATAAAAATAAATAATAAATAAATGACATAAGTATAAATTGATATTTTAAGAATATTTAAAAAGATAAGAGTACTTACGTTTTTGTATTTCTTCTCTCGTACACTTTTTTTCGTAGTTTCTCGCATAATTTTTATTTACTTGAAGCTTCGTCTCCTCAACATCATCGTCTTCGTCAAATAATTTTTGCATTTTTTAATATTACTTTATTTTTAATAAAAAAAAATATATTAAAGGGACCGTCTGACGTGTGTACTTGGAGAACACATGGTCGACAATAATAATGAAAAAGGTTAGGATCAATAGATCTTTAGAGAGTTTTAAACACCAGAGCTGCCCTCTGTACAAAAAATCTTACCTTCAAATAAAATAGTAGGAAACTCCGCAATTTCTTTTAAATAAATTTTTTTTTAATTTACATTCAAGTGAAAAAATAAAAAAGTGCATGGATAAATTTTACAAACATTTTCTTTGATAAAAATTGAAGAAATTTTCTAATTATTTCAATTAATTTTAACACCTGGAAAAAAAAATTTTTACAGACCTGCCATCTTGTGAGCAAAAGGCTTACTACAAATAAATCGTAAATTTTAAATAAAAGTGCTGTAGCGGGCCATGATGAGAAATGTCTGACATTCATGTACTACAAGTATCTATTGCTATATATATATATATATATATATATATATAGCAATAGCATTTGGCTTTCGGCAAGTAATTTTTTCATCGTGAGAAAATCCCTTCGCCAACGTACACATACCACCGATTATTTTTAAGTGAGCTAGTAATGCTGCGTAGCTGAGAACAATAACGATTCTTAAAAGTATTGTTAAATTTATAATTGAACCTCAGGTAAATATCTAATTAGTACACTATACATATATTTTCGCAAACAGCCGCATGCAAATACAAACGTGTCACCGGTTTAGGTTAGAATTTGTCAACTGATAATTTTTATTATAATTTTTATCTTTTTTATAGTTGTAAGGAGCACCCAATTTTTTCATCATGTTTAAAGTCGAAGAAGATGGATTGAGATCTCACAAACAGACTGTGTATGTAATTGATTATTATATTTATCATCAACTAAAAATCTTTGGCATTCCAAGGTTTTCTTTTAATTTACCGAAAAAATTATTTTTCAACACAAAAAAATTTTTTCTTTAATCTTATGACCTTAAAGTTAGCAGTCGCTTGACGGTTTTTTAATTTTATTTAACAAACAACATTTGTTATTTTTTTATTTTTTAAAATCTCTACATGTCAATTTTTTTTTTTGCCAAAATTTATCTGTGACAATAATTCTTAAAATTATCAAATATCTGCTAAATTAATTTTAATGAAATCGTTTTCTATTTTTTTTTTTTTTAATCTAAAATTTAATAATTTCAATTAAATAATTATGAAAATTAAGTTAGCTGATATTTGAAAATTTTTATAATTTATTGTGTTGAAAAAATATTTTTTGTTCTAATTTAATTATTAAAAAAAAATTAAAAACGTCGGCTAACTTTAGTATTATTAATTAATTTATTTTTATTAAATTAATTGACAGAGAGTTCAGTGGCCAGGAAGATCATCACTCAGCGGATGTATACAGCACAGATGTAACAGTAATACCATCGCGTGGAGAACATGACCACGGGAGTTCAAAAGTAAAATTAAAAAACATTGTAGATTTCACATGGGAGTCACACTATTATACTGGACAACTTCTGGCCGTTCATATGTCGGGAAAGTACCTCGCATATGGAATAAAAGCTGGAAGCGGGGCTGGTGTTGTCAGGGTAGTATATAAAGATTCCGAGCAACGAGCTCTTCTGCGAGGAATGCGAGGCGTGATCCAAGACCTTGCATTCGCCCATGTGCAGAACGTCATCCTGGCTTGCATCGACCACACGGGTAGCTTTTTCGTTCACACGATAGTTTCCACAGCAGCTCAGTTGGTCTGCAATCTTCTGCTACTTGTTAATTCCGAGGTAGTGACGCCGACCACCCACCGCGTGATCTGGTGTCCATTTATTCCTGATGAAGATACCGGTGAAACGGATGACGTTTCAAAGCTGCTTATGGTCACGCGAGGTGCTGCCGCAGAACTATGGTCTATTGACAATGTCTATGCGCAATTAGGCTCTGGACCTCTGGCGATAAGTGACCCAGCTGTCAAAGGATGTGGAGGCTTTGCTGAAATTTGCCAGCATGAGTCGACTATTGTCGAGGCCATTCTCAGCCCAGACGGTACTGCAATAGCAACTGCAAGTCTTGATGGAGAAGTCAAGTTCTTCCAGGTAATTTAAATTATATTTTGATGCTTTTGTTAACACTATTTTTATTTTAAAATAATTAATTTAATCAATTATGAAATTTATAATAAATTAAAACTTAAATTATTTGCTCTAGCAATTTAAATTTAAAGTTAAAATTAAAATTGATATTAAGTTTTAATTTTTATGTAAAAAAAAAAAAAAAAAAACTTAAATTTTAATCTATATTATTAAGAAAGTAAGTAAAATTTTGTGGCCAATCTATTTAGATGATAAAATGGGTTTTTATGATTAAATTTGGTATCAATAAATCATAATTAAGAAATGACCCTGTATCTCGTGAACTATTGACATTTTTAAAGATATAAGCTCATCCCGATGTTACACTCATCAAGACCTTTCATTTGAGTACCCACATCAATTTTTTATATATTTATATATATTACATATATGTATTTATGAAAAATATATCAAAAATGCATGTGGGTACTCAAATGAAAGCTCTTGATGAGTATAACATCAGGATGAGCTTATATCTTTAAAAACGTCAAAAGTTAAAAAAATACAGTACAATTTAACGAAAGACATTATTTAATAAAGCAAATTTTTATCAATTTTAAGGTTGCTAGTTTAATAATTAAATTTCCAAATTTTTATTCGTTCAATTATCTAAAATAAATAATATTTTCCAGGTAGTTTACAACAACACCCTTCAAGAGGCTTGTTGCCTTCACCAATGGAAGCCTCACGACGGACGACCAGTTTCATCTCTTTTTTTCCTCGACGACCACAAAAACTACAACTCAGAAGCCCAATTTTGGCGATTTGCCATCACTGGGTGTGACAACAACACTGAGTTAAAAGTTTGGTCTTGTGAAAAGTGGAAATGTCTTCAAACAATAAAATTCGAACCTTCTCCATCAAGCGGCAAGATGCCGATGCTAAAAGCAGGGCTTGATTTATCCGCAGGCTTCCTTCTGCTATCTGACATCTGTAACAAAGGTCTTTACATCCTCAGCATCGCCAAAGACACTGGCGACGGTCTAGCCTGTATATCAACAATTTCCGAATTCCGACTTCCATACCCAATCCTGAGTTTCGGGATCGTCGACGCTGGCATGCGTAAAGTCCGACCCACCGGTGAGTCATTGGAAGATCTCTGTCCCCTGGATGACGAAAGCGACGAGCAGTTAGTAATTCGCATGTATCTAGTCCAACCTAAATCACTCCAAGAGTGTCACATAGCCTTCCAGCCAGCACGACAACTCACCAGCGGCTGTATGATGGACACACTAACTCACGACTCTCTGGACTACTCCGAAGACCTGCAGCATATCAGACACGAGCAGAACGGCGTCGTCGAGGAAAATGGCGATGAGACAGTCTCCGGATCTCTGGAAGCCAACCACGCAAGCTTGAATCTCATGACTCCCGACGCTTTTAGCTCACCAGCTAAAAAAGAGAACAACTTGTCTGGATCTACCAGCCCGGAACTCGGCAATGTTTTGTCCGCTAGTCCTTCACTAGCTCAAGCAGTCCACGCGTTGAACACTTCGGATGTACCTCTGGCGACCAGCGAGCGAGAGCGCGCTCAACAGAGTGGAGGTAGCAGTCCTTCGAGAGAAGTTAGAGAAATTTTGTCTCTAGCCGAGCCTGAGGATGACGAAGAAGAGGAAGACTTCAAAGAAATTGAGTCGGTCAATAAAGACGAAGAAAACTGGTCTAATATTCCTGTGGTGATGCTCAAAGACGTTCACCTGGAGCCTGAAGACCTTCCCAAGGACGACATAGTGCCAAAAGAGTCTAAGTTAGTCTCCCAAGAAGCCTGGCTGTCTACCAACAAAGCAGTCGCGTCTCTCACCACCAAAATTGATGGACTTTTTGAGATTATCCAGGACCAACATCAAGAATTGAGAGAGTTGAGGTCGGAAGTTTCGAGATTAAGGCAGGATACACCTGTACTGACGAGAGTTGAGAGCGCGTTTTCGCGCGTGTCACAGCAGCAGCTTGCGAACATCGAGCAAACCATCTACGGAAGACTTGCTCGACAAAATGAATTTTTGACTACTGTCGAGACGACGGTTAAAGAAAATATTCAGTCAACTCTACCCAAGGTAGTTACTGATGTTGTAGACCCGCTGAAAAATCAGTTTAAATTAGAGGTGGAAAAAATAGATGATTTAATGAGAGAAAATTTCACGCAACTGATCACCAGCAATCAAATGCGTGATATTATTGTCAATGCGGCCAAGTCTGTTTTAACTGAGTCTTTTAAAAGTTCTTTTGAAAGCACCTTGCTCCCGGGATTTGACAATGCCTGCCAGAATATGTTCAAGCAAATCCAAGTGTCTTTCTCAATGGGAACTGAACAGTATCTTACTAATGTTAAAGCGAATCTGGAGAAAGAGTACCAGAAGAAAAATGAGTTACAGAGCGAAGAGTTGTCGCGTTTAGTTCGCGGGGAACTTGAGACTGAAGTTACACGAGGATTTAATAATCTGCAGGAAGGAATTCTCAGGTCGGTCAGAGAGTCTATCAGGGAGAACATGGGCCAGCATATGATGGACATCCAGGCCAGGTCAAGAGCCACGACACCTGGTATCACGGCTTCGAGTCCTGCGGATGGCCAACTGAGGGTACTTGGTTATCTCCAGAAAGGTCAGCTGTCTCACGCCTTTCAATATGCACTCAGTGCAAGTGACCTTGGGCTTGTGGTACTTGTTTGCGACAGAATTGAGCCTCAGAAAGTCTTCAGTAGTCAATCTGGAGGTCGCAGCATCCTTGCACAGCCGGTTATTCTGTCTTTGGTGCAACAATTGTCGGCGGACCTTGGTCATCGCACGGAACTGAAGAACAAGTGGCTTGAAGAAGCAGTCTTGAATTTGGATCCTAATGACCCGGTAACTCGGGAGCACATGGGTGTTGTTTTGATGACTCTTCAGACACAGCTGACGACTTTTATGAATGCTAATCCAGTTCATCGGTTATCCAAGCGCATGAAGATGCTGTCGATGGCTGCCCAAGCTCTTCTTAACCAGCAACACCCTTAAGTAATAAAATTATTGGTAAAAATAAATTGATTATTTAAAAATAGGTAAGAATCAAAAGAATATTTAAGACTGGCAACCGAGCTACAGAAGTCCTTAAGGGGGAACATCACTGTGATGATCGAAAAAATAGAGATGATTTTCGGGAATATTTTTGACAGGAATTTTGGGAAAATAAAAGAATTTGGGAATCGGGTTTTTTTTTATTTTATTTAGGGTAATAATCTTTAATGTAGCCTTAATAAAATAAAAAAAAATCCGATCCCCAAATTCCTTTATTTTCCCTGTCAAAAAAATTCCCGACAATCACCTCTTTTTTTCGATCGTCCCAGTGGTATTCCCCCTTAAACTTCCGTGATTCTAAAAACACCGGCTGATATTTTATAATGTAAAGACATGTGATTCGTATGACTAACTTTTTTTTTAGTAATACAATAAGCTGTAGTAAGTTTAAGAACAAGTGCTCGGGTTATTCATGCTAGTCTTAAAATTATATTACTTACAGAATATTTTTTTTTACCATCTTATACTCAGTTTGTATATTTTTCTTTTTTCAAGATTATTTTTACTAACTTCTCTGTAAAGAACAAAATTTAATTTTGATTTTTTTTTAAGCTTTTGGCAGTGTTGATTGATATGAATTGACTCACTACAATCATTAATATTTTTCTTTGAAATTATTTTCAATTATAGTTGGCAGTTTTTCTTTTTTATCTAAGCAATTTTAGAAATAAGTTATTTAGATTTAACCATAAGACATAAATAAAATAACTTTAAAACTAAGACTATATAATAAGGCCAGATATTTTTTCTCATAAATCCAAAAACATGTATTATTATGTATTATATTAATAAATAATAATAAAGTTTCTTATAAATTTATTTTATTTTATTTTATTATTTTATTTTATTGACTGTTTAAGAGCTTCTTTAATGTGCGCTGATACTTTAACTCGTTGACGTTTTCTGACTTTACCAGAGCTTGGAGCTGGTTGAGTAAGAGTCGGTTTCTTCTGCTTCTTTTTGCAGCTCAGAGGATTCGGGCCTTTCTTACGCTTAACTTTTGTAAACTCCTGACTTGGTTGAGGAGTTTGTGGTAATAATCCTTTTTTTGCCATAGATTCTTTCAGTTCTTTTAATCTTTCTACCTCGGCATTTTTAACGCTCACTTGGTTTGAAAATTCAGCGCTTCCTTTGTCTTCTTCTGAAGGAGGTGCTAAAATCGGCGCCGGACCGTGTAAATACATCGTGGGAACTCCAGGAATCAATTTTAATTTTCCTTGAAGAGTTGCATCTTGTGTCGCTACTATATACCTGTAATTAAATTAATATAATTTAATTATTACAGCAATCTAGTATTGCAAAAATTTTATTGTAATTTTTTTAATTTGAGTGTTTCACATCAAAATAATCATAATAAAAATACTAGCAACCTTGCAGTCACTATGTGACTGCCATGACTTGAGAACTATAAATAAATAAAATTTTGCTTCATTAAATAATGATTTTGGTTAAATTGCACTGTATTATTTTAACTATTGACATTTTTAAAGATATAAGCTCATCCCGATGTTACACTCATCAAGAGCTTTTATTTGAGTACCCACATGCATTTTGATATATTTTTCATATATACATGTATATATTATATATAAATATATGAAAAATTGATGTGGGTACTCAAATGAAAAGTCTCGATGAGCGTAATGTCGGGATGAGCTTATATCTTTACGAATGTCAATAATTCACAAGATACGAGGTCATTTCTTAATTATTGACATTTTTTAAGATATAAACTCATCCCGATGTCACACTCATCAAGAGCTTTCATTTGAGTACCCACATGCATTTTGATATATTTTTCATATATACATGTATATAATATATATAAATATATGAAAAATTGATGTGGGTACTCAAATGAAAAGTCTCGATGAGCGTAATGTCGGGATGAGCTTATATTTTAAAAAACGTCAATAGTTCACAGGATACAGGGTCATTTCTTAACTATGTACCTAGAGATTTTATCATATAAATATACTGGCCACAAAATTTTTCTTATTCTCTTAACAATATAGATTACACAATCTTATTTTTATATAATTTACCTCGAAGGATTATTTCCCTTGAGCATCGACAGGACACATTTAGCAGCAGATGTTGGAGCCTTTTCATGATCACACTTGTGCAACGGAAAATTTTTCAATATCGTCAGCGCTCCGTAAAATTTATGTCCCAGATTTTCAACTTCCTTGGCAATGCAGGAAGTTGTCAATAATTTAACTTCTCCTTGTAAATATTTGGGAATTTGTTCCCGAATATTTGTTTTATTCTGTAAAAAAATAAATTAATAAAATAAATATAATTATTAATGAAAATTTATCAATGTCTAGGTTAAGTAATTTTATTTACTTACCGCTAAAGCATGAAAACAAAAAGTTCCATCAACTAACACTTGATACGGTTGACGAAATTTATAATTATTAATGTAAAAAGCCAAATGTTTTTTTGCTTTTTTTAATCTTTTTACTTTCATTTTTGTTTTAGGTTACTTGATACAAAATAAATAAATGTAAACACCACGTGGTTCAGGGTTCAGGACAAACTGAGTAGTCTTTTCTCGAAACTATATATACGATCAAAGACCTATTGCGCATGATCAAGTATTAACCTGTCAAGTTGCTAATGTTGCTAAAAAGTCATGTCAGTGCTACGACGTTCAAAAATACGAATTGCTTCCATGAGTCTCTGAACAGGAGACATTGGTTCAGAGTCATCCTCTTGATGATAAATTTTTCTACTGAGTTGATGATAAACTTGCTCAAGACTTTGCTGGTTTATAAAATAATTTGTTATTTCAGAGTGTTTTAATTTCACGGCATTCAGGATACTGTATACACTCTCAAGGTCGTCTGTTTTTTCGAATTCATATGACAATACATCCTGCAAACAATGTTAATAATAACAATAATTATTATTATTATTGTTGCTTAACTTGACACTTAATTATAGCTTAGGTAATTATTTTAATTATTATATTATGCGCATATATTAAAAATAAAATTATAACATATAAAATTTATAAAAGAGAATTATTTATGACATTTAAGTTAGCAGTCACTCGATTCTTTATAATTTTATATAACAAACAAATTTGTACAGAAAAATTATTTTTAAAAAATTGCATTTTTTATTTTTTAAAATTTCTACATGTCAATTTTTTTTTTTTGCAGTAATTTATTTCTTAAAAAAATTTTAATAAATTATTAAATATTCATGACACTGAAGTTAATAGATAACATTATTAAAGTTAGCAGTCACTTAACCATTTTTTAATTTTTTTTAACAAATAGATATTTTCCAAAAAAATTATTTTTAAAAAATTGCATTTTTTATTTTTTAAAATTTCTACGTGTCAATTTTTTTTTCTACGTTTTTTTGCCATAATTTATTTTTTTAAAAAATTCTTAGAATTATTCAATATCTGCTAAATTAATTTTTATAGTTAATAGTACTAAAATTAGCAGACATTTCTAAATTTCTAAAATTTTTAAAATTTTCTACAAATTACATTTTTTTAAATACTTTTTTTCAATGAAATTATGAGAAAAATTTAATAAAAAAATTCCACATGTAAAAATTATAAAAATTATAAGTAGAAATTTTTAGAAGAATTTTTTTATTTTAATTTATTTGATATAGAGTATCGTAAATATTCTACATATATATATATACATATATATCTTCAGATTGAAATTTACTCACAAGATGGCGGCCCAAAAATACAGAAGATGGAAGCGCTTCTTCGATAGACTTCAAGATGACGTCAACAGTATACAACGACGTTTGTGGGTCTAAAATAACCTTCAAAATAAATTTATTTCCCTGTTTTTCAACAAGACGTTCGCAAGATCCCACAGTGGCCAAATAACCGTCTGCTAAAATTCCCACCCGGTCGCAAAGAGCTTCTGCTTCTTCAATACTGTGTGTCGTCAAGAAGATACATTTACCCATTTCACGAAGTTGATACAGAGTCTCATCAAGCGCACTACGTCCAATTATGTCCATACCAGAAGAAGGTTCGTCCAGGAAAATAATCGGTAAGTCCCCAATAAGACTTTGTAACACGCACATTTTTCTTCTCACACCCCACGCGCAATTTTTCAGAGGAATGTTTTCAAATTCCAACATGTCTATTATTAAATAAAAATTTTTTAATAGACGTTCAGAGTCTTTTGATTTTATAACTCAATTTTTGGATGTTTGGAAAAAGTTAGTTTTAAATTACCAAAAATATCAAGCCATTTATCAACTTCATCGCGAATATTCTTCCAAGGGACTCCTCTTAAAGCTGCGAAGAAAAATAAACTTTGTCTTCCAGTGAGAAAATCAATTAGCCCGCCTTTTTGAGGACAGTATCCAATCATTCCATAAAATTTATCATCATTTAGGGAAGAATCGATACCACAAATTAATGCTTTTTCAATATTAGCTCGTGATTCTCCAACAAGTGCCCGAAAAATTGTTGTTTTTCCAGCTCCATTCATCCCCAACAATCCAAAACATTCCCGTCTATTGATCTAATAAAAATAAATTAATATATCAACTAGCAACCTTGCAGTCACTATGTGGCTGCCGTGACTTGCGAACTATAAATAAATAAAATTTTGCTTTATTAAATAATGACTTTTGTTAAATTGCACTGTACTTTTTTAAATATTGATGATTTTGAAGGTATAAGCTCATCCTGATGTTACACTCATCAAGAGCTTTCATTTGAGTACCCACATGCATTTTTATATATTTTTCATATATACATATATATAAATATATGAAAAATTGATGTGGGTACTTAAATGAAAGGTCTCGATGAGTGTAATGTCGGGATGAGCTTATATCTTCAAAATTGTCAATGGTTCACAAGATACAAGGTCGTTTCTTATGTTAAATTGCACTGTATTTTCTTAACTATTGATGTTTTTAAAGATACAATCTCATCCCGATGTTACACTCATCAAGAGCTTTCATTTAAGTACCCACATGAATTTTGATATATTTTTCATATATACATATATATATAATATATATAAATATATGAAAAAATTGATTTGGGTACTTAAATGAAAGGTCTTGATGAGTGTAACATCGGGATGAGCTTATATCTTTAAAAATGTCAATAGTTCACGAGATACAGGGTCATTTCTTAATTATTTATGTAGAGATAGA